TGCTGCGAGGTATGTGGTAAACAAGAGGCGAGCACTGTTTATAATTCAACGCCCCTTCTTCGCACCAGCTGTCGGTGATGGTTACGATGACCGAGCGCCCATCCCCGTAGCAGCCGCCGTTGCGGTCGATGTGGTTGCCGTAGCCGTCGGAGAAGGAGGCGGGGTTGCACTGCACCTCGTAGCAACGACTGGGGGAGATTGGGATGGGAAGCGAAACCGGTAAGAAGGGAAGCAAACTTATGCTAGGTTTGATTACGGAACTGTGATCTCAGGCCAACCCAAATCAGGCCAACCCAAATCAGGAAACCTTGAACTTTACAACCCTTGCGGCACCATACGTAAGCCCAAATCAAACACGGCGATGCACGCGACAGGAAGAACGGAGACTCCGACCCAAATCAACAGACTTCCGACCCCCGCAGCGCGACTCACCCGCAGCTCCCCGCAAAGTCGTCATCCGCATCCGAGAGCGCCGCGATGTTGGTTCCGGTGCTGACGAGGCCGTTGGGCAGACTGCCGTACATGCAGGAGCCCTGGTCAATGGTGGCGCCGCCGTCGTGGCCGTAAAAGGTGGCGCGGCCGGTGCGCCAGCCGCCGCCGTCGTCGCCCCAGGCGCGCACGGAGAGCGGGGACAGGGAGGACAGCAGCAGCACGCAGGACAGCGTGTGCAGGGCGGAGGAGCGGGGAGAGGAAGACAGCGAGGCGCGACGCGAAGAGGAAGAACTGCAGCTTTCTGCTGCACCAGCATGCGTAGCACGGTCCATGGTTTCTGCCATCTGGGTCGCCATCTTGCAGTTAATCTTGGCGCCGGTGATGGGGCCTTGCTTGGAGGGTGTCGCGGGCGGTTGTCGAAGCCTGGTGGGGCTCAAGTCGCCGCGATGCCGAGTGTGATGGCAGTAGTGCCGGTGGTTACTGTTGGCCTACAGGTCCGGAGAGCTGAAGAAGTAGGCTGTCGAGATGGAGAAGGATGATACGAACTTGACTTCGAACTGTTAGTAAACTGTGAGGGTGAGGCAGAGCCCATAACGCAAACGTCAGTAATCGCAAGCAAGGGCTCAAACGGTATAATATCCGACTGTGGCAATACGGCCAATTGCATAACAGGGCGACCATCACGATGGCGGCGTCGGAGTCGCAAGCAGGCTTTTGCTCTGGATACCGGTAGTTTTCACGGTAGGCCTACTGTCAAGCCGAAAGCAGGCGAGTCAGCATTTTGCCTCGGTCACGAAAACAGGATCCCACGTCATCCGGGCAGCGGCCGCGCGTCGATTGCTTGGGGCAGCTGTATTACGCAGTATGGAGGCCGGCCTCACCTGACGAAGAAGGGAAACAGAAACGACCTGAGATGACTCCCAAGAACGCTTGATAACTCTTCGGGGAGCTAGCGCTGGCAGACGGGTGGCGGATACAATAAAGACCGAATAGGTTAGGGTCGCAGCCACCGCAGATCACAAGTGCGCTGAGGGAAGCCTAACAAGATACTCTATATGTTTGTGCTCACTATTTGAGGAAGTGACTGGCTTTAAATAGAATGGGCTGCGCTTATGTAGGGCTGGCGGGACCGGGCATCCTCATAGTTGTACTGCTGTCGTGCATAAAATCGGCGCATGGGACTTCCTGAAGCAGGTGTCTGACAAGAACTATCAGCGTGGGCATGGTGCTTGTATTGGAAACTGCGTTTCCTGGCCATACCTTCCGGCCATACCTTCTCCACTTGCCATTTGCCGTGTGCTTTCCATGCTTTCGCACAAGCGCCTTATAGGTCAGCGGCAACACAGATCACATGGAAGCACAAACATTCTTGGATACGTTTCTCAGCACGGATACCATACATGTTTTCGGTTGTCTGCAACAATGTTGCAATTTCATGTAGCCGCGCCGATCCAAGTCTACAGCCGAAGTTGCAAAGCCGGTCGCCGAATTGCGTTGTGCACATATAACGGTACACATTTCCTTTATGTATCGAGCATCGCTGCTGAAGCATCAACCGCTGGACCCTGACTCGCATACTGCTGACGACATGACTAACGATTGACCAGTCGTAGCGGGAACCAAGAGGAGGAGTTATACCATGTAGAGTAAGAAGTAAACAGAGAACAGCACATATATGCCATCTGAGAACCTACCTTCACAAGGATGTGCGGGTCGTCCGTCCGGAGCTGCCGACATCCTCCCATCCATGCCAACCCTGCCATCCACCGTCCCGCCTCGCATCCACTCAATAATACAAATAATAACATAGGTTGATCTAAGTCAGCTTCCTAGTTTAGTCATACGACATAAAACACTCTCCGCGCAATCCTATCGCCAAGCCGTACTATACACTGTCCCTTCTGGCCATCATAGGGTGCTTTTGCGATACAATGCTATTTCCGATACATCGGTATTTCCATTGCCACTGCGTATACTTGTTGGAATGCCAGTATGTATGTGCTTGTGGACAGGTTCAGCCTCCAAGAGATGCCGTCATGTGGCAGTTCTTACCGGTTGTACTGAGTAGATTGATGTTACTTACACGTACAACTCACAAAGAAGACGCGTACTTGTAGGCATGCAACAAAATAGCGGGAGGATACAAGCCATTGTAGGGTTTGATCTCCACCTGAATTCAACATGCAACTGTCTGCAATATGTAACCTGCTGGGCATCGTATTAGCCCGTTATACACCGACACATTCTTCCTCCATAACAATCCTATTAGCTGTGCAAGGTAGCTAAGCTAGCTAAATATGCGTACTCTACGTAGCAGGCAGAGCGCACGTAAGGTCAACACCGCTAGACCAACTATTAGCGTTTGTTAGGCATGCCGTCCTCGGCCATCCCTGCACACACTTACGATAACCAAACCACCATGTATGTACTACCAGCTCGCGCGCTCTGGCGTAAAGATTCACGTAGCAGGTAATTGCCAAACGCCAAATCCTGCATGCAATCACATTTCGCTATCCTAGTATGCTAGTAGTAAGGCAGACAATCCCCTCGGCCTGGGCCATGGCCCCATGGTACGGAAGGGTCATGATTACTCATTAGATTTGATTGTCGTATCCTTACCCAAACCTCCTCTGGAAAGGAGCCAAGCAAACGCTCCAAAGTTCACCTGCCTGCCGCAGTTAGCGGTAACGCAGATATGTACAGTCAACCATACGGCTTTCGTCCTTGCACTGCTGCCCCGTGGATCGGCTTCAAGGCTGGCCATCTCAGCAACTCCCCAAGCTTCTTCACCGACTCGACCCCTGCGGGTAGTCCCAGGTCTTGGCTCGCGGCGAGGCCTTGAAGCCACCCGGGCAGGCGACTTGCCGGAACTTGATGCCCATGACTCCCTGGCTGGTGCTTGCGAGCTGCGAGAAGGCCTGCGTGGAGAGGTCCATGTGGTACATGTCGCCGCAGCACCAGCGCCGGTTGGAGTAGGCGTTGCCAGGGTAGTTGCAGGGGCTGCGGAGGGGGGAGGGAAGGTGGGAGGGACAGGGACAGTGGGTTGGCAGTTACAGCAGGCAACATGCACCAGGTCTCTAGCATGGAAGCGGTTGTACTGCCGCAAAAGCTGCAGAAAGCAGCGAAGGATGTCACCCAATACGCGCGTATCATACCAGCCTAGGCTACTTCCACCTCGTTTCCATCCTGCTATCCCGACCCACACATACACAGGCTTCCTTTATCCCTCCCTCCTCTCACCAGCTGTCGGTGATGGTTACAATGACCGAGCGCCCCTCCCCGTAGCAGCCGCCGTTGCGGTCGATGTGGTTGCCGTAGCCGTCGGAGAAGGAAGCGGGGTTGCACTGCACCTCGTAGCAACGACTGGGGGAGATTGGGAAGGGAAGAGACGTGCGATCAGGACTTGGCGGCAAACAAACCGACCCTAATGGCCCAACGTCTTAGGACAGAATGCAACGAGTCGAGCTATACTCAGCTGTCTCTGGAAAGCCGGGACGACCCAATCAACAGACTTCCGACCCCCGCAGCGCGACTCACCCGCAGCTCCCCGCAAAGTCGTCATCCGCGTCCGAGAGCGCCGCGATGTTGGTTCCGGTGCTGACGAGGCCGTTGGGCAGACTGCCGTACATGCAGGAGCCCTGGTCAATGGTGGCGCCGCCGTCGTGGCCGTAAAAGGTGGCGCGGCCGGTGCGCCAGCCGCCGCCGTCGTCGCCCCAGGCGCGCACGGAGAGCGGGGACAGGGAGGACAGCAGCAGCACGCAGGACAGCGTGTGCAGGGCAGAGGAGCGGGGAGAGGAAGACGGCGAGGCGCGACGCGAAGAGGAAGAAGAAGAGGAAGAAGAAGGGGAAGAGTCGGCCTTGACGTTGTCAGCAGCGGTCTCGGCGCTGCGCGAGAAGACACAGGAAAGGAAAGCTGCCGCCATCTTGGGTTGTTGCTTGGCTTGGGTTGAAGAAGGAGGCGTTGGGCTGTTGCTGTTATGAAAGCTTAGGATGTGCGACTGAGAGATTGCTCCTTGTTAGAAATCTGCAGGCAGGGAAGCGGGATGGGATTTGCCACATTTAGCACGTATGCAAGGCCGAAACCTGTATGGGAGCGCTGGCAGCTGTGCGGTAAGCAACTGTGATGCGTTACCGGGGTGACATGGCGCATTCGGGATGCGGATTTTCACATGCGTCGCACCAACATGCACCATGACTAGCGTTAATTATGAGCGTTGGCAGCAGTTACATTGTCGCGGCCGAACGAAAACTCGAGCTACCAGGAGGCTAACTTTCTGCTACAAACATCATCGTCCCGTGAATCCGAGTCGTCGGCCAACCCACCTGTTGCGCTGGCTCAATTGGAAGAGCGATGGGGTCTTCTTCAAAGGAGATTTAAAGAAGATGAAGCGCGAGGTTGCCGCGTTAAGAAAAGGGCCAGTAAGGAGGGCTAGCGCCGGCAGACGGGTGGCGGATACAATATAGACCGAATAGGTTAGGGTCGCAGCCACCGCAGATCACAGGTGCGCTGAGGGAAGCCTAACAAGTTACTCTATAGGTTTGTGCTCACTGTTTGAGGAAGTGACTGGCTTTGAAGGAAATGGGCTGCGCTTATGTAGGGATGGCGGGACCGCGCCTTTGGACGGTCGTACCCGCCGTACCAAAAATCTGCTGCATGCAAACAATTCGATGCAAAAATGTGCATGACGTTTCGCAAGGGAAATGCATACGCCCTGGACATTGCAGCGACGTTACACGGAAACATCATCGCGCCCTGAAACAAAGCTACACCTAAGTAGCGGAATTCCATGCACCCTAAGCCAGTATACGTTTGGGCAAGCTGGTTCAATCGCTCAGGCGTCCTCCGCAGTTGCCGCCTCCGCGCCGCTCTTGCTCGCAGCAGCCACCTGCAGCCCCAGAGCTGCCTTCAGGGGCGGCAGTTGCGCCATCAACCGCTCCAGCATCGCGCCCGTGTCGACAGCGGCGCCAGAACTCCCAGACTGCGATGCAAGATGGAAGAAACAAGGTAGCATTTGCGCAGGCTTCAGTCTGCTTCAGAGGCGCGTGTTTTAAACTTCGAGGAGCTACAAGCCTACAACAATAGTGAACAAGGAAAAACCTGCATCGCTAAACATGCTTAATGCTAAACATGCTTAATGCTAACATACCGGTACAGGCAACTTGTCTGATAGACCAAACCTAGGCAGCTCCGGTGACAAGTACATACATGTTGTAAGCTGCCTGGAATGCGCAACCAACCCAAATCGACCTCCACGTCCGCCGCTGCGCCCACCAACCCAAGCCCTGCTCCCCTCTCCCTCTTCTAGGCCCCTGGGCAGGCCGACCCCTCCCACCCAGCCCCCCACACCCTCCGCACGCTCCCTTCCCGCCCTTCCCACCTGCGCCCGGAGGTACTCCACCACCCCCTCATGCAGCTCAGCAAGCCCCCGTGCTGCCGCCGCTAGCTCCGCCCCGCCCGCCCCCGCCGCCGCCTCGGCTTGCTGCTGCACACGGGTGAGTACGGCGCCCAGACACTTGCCGGGGAGGGAGACAGCCTTGCCTGGGGGCGGGAAGGGGTTTTAGGAAGGAGGAGAGGAGGGGATGCCGGTAGGAAGGTCGGGAAACTGGGAGAGAAAGGATGCAGTGAGGGTATGGGATGTGGCGGCTAGTCAAGGCAGGCAGTGACCCGTGGGTCACGGCAGAAGCGATCGCGCATCCGCACGGCGACGATTTGGGTCGGCGTCTCGCTCTGCCTTACATGGCGCTCTGCAACTTCCCCGAACGGTCCTAATACTGGATAAACAAATACACCCCCTTCCTGCTTGCACCTCATTCCGCTTCCTCCCATACCCCAACAATCAACACCCCGTGCTTAAACCCCACCATCCCGGCTCGACCCACATCCCACACTCCCCCGCATCCCCCGCCTGCCTGCGCGCCCCCTCGCATCCCCCACCCGCCCACGCCAACACCCCTCACAAAGCCCCGTCCCCTCCTTCCCTCCTCCCCTCCCTCGCCCCCACCTGCCACCCGCATGAAGGCCAGCGGCACCATCAGCGCCAGTGCGGCCGGCGGGTCCTGCTCGCCCGCCAGCTGACCCAGCAGCCGCTCGCGCAGGGCTGCCAGCGCGGCCTTCTCGCCTGCATGGGAGGGCAGGGGAGGTGGGGGAAGAGAGTGAGAAACGGGGTTCGAGCTTACACAACAGACCCATGGGTCGTATTTCAGCTGCCTACGTGCAGTTGACGGGACAAGGGCGAAGAGGCAACACATGTCGTTTGTGGCGTTTGGCGTTTACGAACCGGAGACCTGACCCGAGAGACGGGGCCCGAGGACAGGGTTCCACCGGACCCGCCAACGCACCCTTCTTGTCCAGTCGCCGCGCCCGCACGCCCACCGCCGCCGCCGCCCGCTCCAGCAGCGCCTCCGCCTCCCGTACACTGGCGGCAGCGGGCGCCTCCGCCGCCGCCGCCAGCCCCTCCGCCACGTCCGGAGGCACCGCCCGCAGCACCTGCAGTACGGCGCAGTACGGCCTTGAGACAACCCCAAGATTCTGATTCTGATTCCGGTGCTGCATGGCCCTGCTAGTACCGGTGTGTTAGGAGGGCACCGCATGTGCAATGAAGTACACAGCTCTTTCGTGCTATGCCCGCCGCCTCCGCGCTTTCCGCTCCTCATGCTTTCGTGGACAAGTCGTGACGGAGGCTCATGCAGTGGGGTATCTCCGACAGCTGCGGGTATCCCAAGTGACCTCCTCTCGTGGACATCAAGTGGTGCAAGCACTGCAGGACTCCCTACCCGGGCGCAATCTACGCCCGCTCGTCCGCCCGCCCCTCCCCAATGGCCTCCTCCCACTCCCCGCACCTGCTTCACCTCCGCCGCCGACAGGAAGCCGCCTCCCCCTCCCGCTCCCGCTGCTCCTGCCGCCCCTCCTGCCGCTGCCGCCGCCTGCTCCGCCCCCTCCGGCTGGTGCTCCACTCGCGCCCAGCGGTGCAGCAGGTCCGCACACTCCGCACCTGCGACAGGGGAGGGGGGGCGGAGGGGCGGACGAGAGCAGGATGAAGAGGCGAGGAGGTCTCTGAACATGTTGGTGGGCCCACGACGGCCGCGAGAGCGCGCCCCACCACCCAGCATGCCACATCACGTCACTTACAGCATGCAAACGTCGGAACGGCCCGTGGAATGCCGCATCATGATGGTTTTTCTCCGGGCCCGTCACGCCTCCTCCCACGCCCCACCTCCACCCCAAGGTTCCGGTACACTCTCAGGAAATTCCCCAACCTTCCCAATCCTTGCCTCACAAACGCCGTCACGGTCCTCCGCTCCCCATCACTGTCAACCCGCCCGCTCCACCCCTCCCGCCCTACCCGCCGTCCTTAGCGCATGGCGCTGCAGGGTGCTGTACGTCGCCTCGTCCTCCGCAAACGCCTCCGCCCCGCTGCCGTACAGCTGCAGCCGGCAGTGGGCCTCCTCGAACTGGCGCGCCAGGAAGTCCCGCTGCCGCCGCCGCTCCTCCGCACCCGCGGTGAAGGCAGCCTGCGTGGGGGGGAGTGAGGGGGAGGGGGGAGAAGGGAGGGGCGTTGTGGGCGGGTTGGAGGACGGGGAGACGGCGCAGCAGGTATGCCTAACGAGCGCAGGAGGAAAGCAGCAGGTCAGCGAGGCTGTGGCCGTAGAACAGGAAAGAAGCAGCTCCTTCCAGCCCCACCTCGGACCCCACCACTTCTCCGCCCATCCCACCTCCCTTCCCCTCGCCTCCCTCATCCCGCCCACCCCCCCCCCGCCCACCTGCAGCGCCTGCTCGTACGCCGCCACTGCACCCGCCACCAGCAGCGCCGCCACCTCCCCCGCCTTGTCGTCGCCCCCCTCGCCGCCCCACTCCATGTCGGGGCACCAAACGGGCAACAGCTCAGCCAGCTGCGTGGCGCTCACACCCACACCGCTGCCGCCGCCGGCGGAAGCGCCGCCGCCGCCTTTAGCGGAGGCCTTGCCGCCACCGCCGCCGCCTTTGGATGCGGTGGCGGTGGCGGCGGCTGCAGAGGAGCTGCCCTTGCCGCCCTTTTTCCCCTTGGCGCCCTTCTTGCCTACGTGCGTGCGCCGTGGTGCGGAAAGCCAGCCGGGAAATGGACATCAGTCTTAGCTCGCTGCGTAGCCTTGCGGGAAAACCCTTGTGAAGGCATACCGGTAACGCAACGTGCATCCAACCATGGCCCTCCCAACCCAACCCCTACATTTACCAACACCAACAGCAGCAACCCGTCCAACCCACCTGACCCCATCGACCAGTCGTCCTCATCATCGTCGCCCCCGCCTGCACCACCTCCGCCGCCCTTCTTCTTGCCGCCTCCCGACGCAGCCGCCGCCGCCGCCGCGGCGGAGCCGCCCGCCGCCGCGCCGCTCGCCTTCCTGTCCTGCAGGGCCTTGCGTGCTGCTGCGCGCGCCTCCGCCTCCGCTCGCTCTTGCAGCGCCGCCAGCAACGAGCAGCTGAGCACCCAGGTGCCGCCCACCTGCAGGAGGGGAGGGGCGGGGTTGGTAAAGACCATACCGAACCATAGGAAACCACAGGTTAGGGCAAAACAGGAGGGGGTTAAATGAGGACACTCACGAGCGGGAGGGGGGGGCAGGGGGAAGGAGACCGATGGGGAAGAGGGGTGTGATGTCAGAGCGACGTCGTGCGAAACCCAACGCAAAAGGCGGTATCCGGAGAGAATCCGGGCCGCATGCAAGCTTGCGAGGTGGCACAAACAATAGCAGCATCACCGTTCCCGCGGCTCCCTCCAACCCAACACCCATGCAACAACACATTCCCGATCCACACGCCGTACCCTGTCCACCCCTCTCCTCCTCCTGCCCTCTCCCGCCCTTCCCCCACCCAACCCAACCCACCACAACCACCCTCCGCTCCCGTGCCGGCTTGCGCTCCGCCTCCCTCAGCAGCGCCACTCGCCCCAGCAGCGCCGCCACGTCACCCCCACTCAGCACACTGGGCAGCAGGCCCGACACATCCAGCCACCCGCCACTGATCGTCACACCAGCACCAGCACCACCCGCGGCGTCACCGCCTGCGCCCCCTCCTCCCCCAGCTGCTACCCGCTGCTGCTGCTGCTGCTGCTGCGGCGGCGGCTCCTGCGAGAGGGTAAGCTGCTGCGCGGCCACGTCCTCCACCGCTGCTTCCAGCGCCGCCAGCAGCGAGGGCGCCACGAAGGCCGACTCCAGCGGCAGGCCCTCGGGGAAGGCGGAGCGCAGGAAGGCGCGCTCGTTGGAGATGCCCAGACTGCAGGAGGAGGAGGAGGAGGGAATGGAAGGGAAGGAGATACCATTATGAGGGTGGCGCGGGAGTGGAAGAGGCTAGGAGTGGGAGCGACCCATGGGTCTACCGAGAGATGCAACGCAACATGCACACAGCTGCCGTGCACCATGCATTGCCTCTCACTGAGTGTGAAATCTCTCGCCCGGCGAAGACTTCCACCCCTTCGTCAAACCGACTCGCATCCCTCCTTTCCATGCGTCTCCCCTCCGCCGTTCCGGGCTTCTACACAAGCAGCACCCAACCTCCCTCCCTCCCACCCGCCCCCCCACCCACCGCCGCACTGTGTCGTACGCCACCCAGCCGTTCTGGCTGTAGAAGTTGGCGACCGCCTCCTGCTGCATCTCCGCGTGCAGGGCGGGCAGCCAGGTGCTGCCGCCGCCGCGCAGGGAACCGCGGAGCGAGCCTGGGGTGGGGGGAGCGGTGCAGAGGGAGGGAGGAGAGGGGGAGAATTGGATGAGGGGCGAAGCAACTGGAATCCCAATCCCATATCCCAACTCATGCAGTACGCGCATACAGAGGAGATGCACAGGGGGGCAATGGGGAAAGAGGAAGGAGGCGGGGTAAGCAGCGTGGGGGAGTTAGGAAGGGGAGGCCGTGCGGAGGCAGGGCAGGGCGGAAAGCATATGCAGCCGCGTTGTCGAGGAATGGAAGCGACGGAGCGCTTTACACGGACCAAGTGGGCCTCCCAAGTTGCCCACTGCACGGCACCCCTGCACGTCGCCTCCCCCCCCCCCACATTAACTCTTGTTTCTTTATTTTTACCCCCCACATTAACTCAGCCTCTCACCCTCCTGCACCAGCTCCTCTATCAGCGTCGCGATGACACCGCCTCCGCCTCCGCCCGCAAGCGCTGCCGCCAGCCCTCCTCCTGCTCCTCCTCCTGCTGCTGCTCCCGCCTCCGCACCCGTCCCGCCGCCTGCTGCCCCCACCGGCCCCAGCGCCCCCTCCCGCACCAGAGAGGCGATCGTGACGGGGCCGGCGGCGCCGCGCAAGGCCCCCCGCAGCTGGGCTTTGATGGCGCGAAGGTACGAGGGAGTGTACAGCAGGCCGCCCTCCAGCCGACCTGGAGCCGGGGGGTAAAGGGGAGGGGGGTTGAGGTGGGGTTGGAGGGTGCGGGAAGGGATTGGGTGTGCGGGAGGAGGGCAACGAGGAGGGCAGTTGTTGACGCGGCGTGGGTAAATGTGGGTAGGCGGTATGGGCATGGAGAACGCTGATCGATGAACGCACGTATTGCGCCTGGCTGCAGTTCTGCTCTCCTACGCGCGGCCTGGGGAGGGGAATCAGAAGTGCCAAAGCCACTTGCTCACCGTTAATGGTGGAACCCAACCGCGAGGACACGACGCTCAGCACCATTTCCGTTGCCAGACCGTATTGAGCAGCCAATTCGCCGATATTCAGCTGTCCAGCTTCCTGGAGCTGATCATTGATCTCGGCAGCGATGGAGTCAAAATACTGAGTCGTGATCAGCTCGCCCTGAACCTCCATGACCGCGCCAGAGCTTTCGGCAACAATCGCCGCGGCCTGGCGTTCGCAATGAATATAATCCACACCCACGATGGTTGGAAGCTCGACCAGGGCCAGACGGCCCCCCGCCTGGCGAAGCGCATCCTGGATTTCCTTGCGCAACCGGTCGACTGTCAGGTACTCCTTGCCGTTCAATGTATGGAGTAGCTCGCCTTCTGAGAGAATACCTAGCTGGCGCAGCTTGTTGATCAACTCCACAACATTTCGTTCTGAAAGCTTGGCCGATGAGCGAGCCTGCTGCGTTACTGCTAGCTGGTTCAACAGCGATCCAAGATCAAGGCCAAGAGCAGCTTCCATATTGACTGCTTAGGCTCGAAAACAGCAGGCCTTCACGGAATGTTATCAACGGGACTCTTCGCCTACGCGTTGCCCCTTTCCGCCCTCTACAACGCGCTTATCCTGAACTTTGTACTACGTTTAGCAATGTTGTATGCATCTGACAACCGCGTGAAAATGTGGGTAGACTCTAACCGTCGCTCCGTACCGGAATCACCTGATGAATGATGACCCATGGCCCACTGCAGGCCCAAGGACAGGCAGCCCCGCGGGTATTCTTTCCTTTCTGAAGTCTATATGGTGGTTTAGTTCCAGGGCTGCACAAGCTACCGTTGCGGGAGGACCGCACGCAACCCTAGTAGTGCAACATAAATAGTGAACAAATAGTGAACAGTGGCACTAATCAATCAACGGACGGGCCATTACGGCCAGTATACTTGCCAGTATACCCCATGCTCATGCCCAGTACTATCCATTGCGTGTACGGGACAGGAAGCGTCCGTACAGTGAGGAAATCCTTCCAACAGGAGCTCCTCTTTTGGCACAGCGGTTATCATTAGCACGGCCCTTACTGACCTTGGCCTCCATCCCTGCAGCCCCCTTCCGAAGGTAGCTGACGTACCGGACATGTGAATCTGAATCCCCTACACAGACGAGGGAACCGAGTGCAATTGACATGCCACGAACCACCACGCCAAGCGCTCGTTGCTGCAGAACCAGTGCAGAACCGCAGCGCCCAGGCCCAAACAAGGGCAGGCACATCGGGGGGACGAGAGCACCCAGCCAGGTAATGGCAGTCAGGGCGGTGCAGCGCCATACCCCCGTACACTAAGGGGGGAGAACATCCTCACTGGCGTCCAAGGGAAAGGGCGCAGAGAACGCCGGACAGGGGTTGCCACTCGCCAGGCGGGTGACGCTAGGTGGTCAGCAGGGTGCAGGGCTGCTGTTGCGGCTGCGCGAGCTGCTGCTGGCTTGCTGCCATCAGAGGAGGAGCTCGGCGTAGAAGCGGCACCTGACGCGACCGGAAGGCGAGGCACCATGCCAGGGTGGTGGGGTCGGGAGTGGGTCCTGCAGGGCGGGACGGAGGGGGAACACCCGGCGGCTGTACAGGCAGGGCGGCCAGCGGGGTGGGCTCGGAAGCCGGCGGAGCTGCGGGAAGGGCCGGGCCATGGGAGATGGGACGCCGGCGGGTCAGGAAGGAGGCGCAAGGTCCGGGCCTCTAGGGATGCGACCTGCGGTGCGGGGGCCCCCTCAGGTGGGAGCAGCTGCGGGGGCCCTGCGGGTGCTGCGACTGTTGCTGCTGCTGCTGCTGCTGCTGCCGAGGTGCTGCCGAGGGTGCCACTGCAGGTGCAGTGTGGGGGCCGCTGCGCGCTCACAGCAGCAGCCGAGGCGGAGGCGGGATCCCCTGGTTGGGCTGGCGGGGAGGGGCGCCGGCGGCCCCCGAGGCGGGTGCAGCGGAGCCAATCGAGCCTGGGGGCCCAGCATCCAGGCCAGCGGTGTCAGGGCCGTTAGGGAGTGAAGTTCCCTGCGGTATAGGCTGTGATCCCGGGTTCGAGCCTTGATGATACAGAGCCCCGGAACCCGCAGCCAGAAGGACCCGCTCCCCAGGAGGGCGATTGCTCCCCAAAATCAATGTGATGCATAGTTGGGGAAGTTAATAAAGTGAATGGAGTTAGCTATGTAAGGAGCCCAACAGGTGCAACGACGAATTAGAGCGGAGAGACTAGGAGCCGAGGTGCGCTGCCAGGCGAGTCAAAAGTCGTAACGCCAGGCCGCCGACCCGTGGGTCGCACGCGGCCCCGCACCAACAGGAAAGCATCTGCGCAGCTTCAAGGGCTTGCTGTCTGACAGCAGGCAAAGCTACCATGCCAAATGACCGGCGCTGGCTGTAGTTCAGAGTCCCAAAGCGGGGGCCTTACGTTCAATCGACTGCTTCGCTGACCGGCAACTCCGCATGGGTGGTCAAAATCCAGGCATAAGGCTGCCCGCATGCCTGCAGTGCCAATTGCAGGGTCCTCTTGTTCCTTCTCTCCCTCTGTAAGCCCACATACAAAGACCTGACATTGACTACTCTCCCTCTGCAAGCCCATGCAAAGACCTGACATTGACTAACAGCTGCGTGCGTTTACCAGCCCAGTTACCGCCGCCTGCACGCCCTGCAAATACACCAGCATCATCCTCCAGCCGCCGTTTCCTTTCCTGTAGTGGGGCGCTCGTGCCAGTCGCACTGCGCTTCTCTGAAGCAGCGCGGCCTTAGTAGCCTGAGCGGCAGGCGTCCAGGTAATGCTGCACGTTACGGCAGGCGCGGAGCCTGCCGTGTGCCGCATTGGCGTTGGTTTCCGCTGCAAATGCTTCATGGTTGTTCACTGAATCAAGCGCGTCCTTGCACCCTTCCTGACGTGCACGTCCAGGCGAGTAAGACCAAGGCCCAGTAGCTACAGCACCAGCGTTCCCCTTCCAGCAATTTCAGTCCCAGCACTGCGTTTTGGCAGCCAAATCATCGTCATCGTGACTACTATCAGGCAAACTCGTGTCTGTTTGTGTGCGTCCTGTGACCATGTTTGGGTCCGCACGTGTGGTGTCATTCGCGCGGTGCTTCTCATGTTGTGAGTCCAGCGAACGTGTCGTGCGTGTTCGTGTCCTCCCAGCTAGCTTAACGACAGCAGCAGTGCTCTCTTACCTCGCGTTGTCGTCTTGGCTGGTTTCACTCGCAACGGCAGAGGATGGCTGGCGCGACGGCCGAGCCACGTTTTACGGATGGATGGGAGGTGAGCAAACTTGCCTTTTGACCTTTTGGTATAGGGTGCGCGCTAATCGAGTTGCGCTGGAACGACGTTGTGCTTTTGTCCCAGTTTACTGTAACCTTCCAAGCCTTACGGGCAAACGTACGGGCGGGACGAGCCAGCACGTACTGTCAAAGCGCGGCTAAGGGCTTACTTACGCGGCTACTTAAGCTATTTAGGGTGTCCTTCTGTCCTAAAATCGTGGAATAATTGAACCTGACGCGCGATCGGTGCAACGAACTCCTCTTTGCCGTAGCGACATTGTTGCCCCTACTTGAATAACGGATGACCGTTATTCCAGTGGTTCCCCAAAAGGGAACACCTCTCTACCGCGTGCAACACCCGTGTCTATAACACAATGTGGCCCAAGGGTTCCTCACACGCGGTATCTGCAAGTCGTACAACTTTTTTTCCACGGTCCGTACTTACCCGCTTCCCTACCTCCCTCCCCCTTACCTCAACCGCAGGCGGTAATGTTGACGACGGGTCTTGCATGTACGGCAAGCTGCCCAACAGCCAAGTCAGCACCGGTACAGATGTCGTGGTAGGCCGGGAATGAAGGGATGACAGTATACATGGCGGTTAGCTGGACACGTACGGCGCCTGAAGCGCCACGTGACCATGCGTGTACAGGTGGCCGGATTCCCCTCACCTTGTAATGGGTGCTGCTGCAGAGCTGCACCAAATGCGCTAGGCACCCGCCGCCCAACTAAGCATGACCGGTAACAGTGCTCCTGTCTGTCTGCTTTCCATGCATGCCGCAGGCGCTTAGCGACCAAGCTGCCGACTTCTCGGGCAGTTGCGGGTGAGCATCCCGCCTTGTGAACTGCATGCAGCGCACTAGGACTATGGATCCATCAATGGCTCACCTGATGCGGACTGCCGCATGCATCAGCCTGCCGTACTCTCCGCGACGTATCTGTTCCGCTACAAAGTGGGAGTGCGCCGTCCATGGCGCGCATCGTTTGGCCCCTTACTCCTTCCATGCTGCCCTCCCCACCACCCTCCATTTCATTCTTTGGCTTCATTAATTCGGGAGGGACGGGATGGGCCGGGTGCAATGTAGCAACCCCTGGTGCACAGCCGTATCATACAGCTCGTCAGTTTCTTCTTGCTTACCCCCCACCAGCACACCTGCAATATCTCTGACTCCCCCGCCTGTCTTGCGGACGCCTGCAGGCGTTGCTACGAGGTGCAATGCCGGCCCGCCTCCTTCTCCGACGGCTACGGCAACCAGCTCAACCGCACCTCCGGCTGCCGTAATGCACAGGGCGCCTCAGTCAAGGTCACGGTGACGGACTCCTGGTGGGTGGTGGAAGGCAGCAGACCGGTACCAGTTTCGACACTGCATGAGGAGACGAATTAGTGATAGTTGGGCTGCTGGGCGCCTGGGAAGAGAGCTGCAGAACCCCGGCGACGTAGGAGTTTTGGATGGGATGGTGTGAAGGTCGAGTCCGTAGTCCGTGCGGGGTTGGTGAACGTCATCTGTATTTGACTGCCTCGCGTCCAGCTCACCCACCTCCCTTTCCGCTCCGCTTTCCCTCCCACCCCCCCGCAGCCCTTGCAACTACCCGTCAAACGCCTACTCCAACCGCCGCTGGTGCTGCGGCGACATGTATCACATGGTGAGGCGCGGAAACGAACCACGGGTCAAACAAGCAGCCCGATATGAAGTGAAGGGGCGAGAGGTTTGAATGCAGCTGCCATCAGCCTAACTCCATATACGGTACTTTCCCTTCACCGCTGGCTGCCGTTCACATTCGTGACACCTTTTCCCTTTGCCCCAATCTGTGGTTCCCTATGCTATGGTATATTGGTATGGTCTGTGACCCCCTTGGCTTTCTTCGACCCTCCAAACCTCCCAGGATCTAAGCCAGCATGCCTTTGAAAAGGTGAGCCGCAAGCTAGACAGCCGCAGCAGGGTGCCATCACTCGCATAAGCCATGCATGCGTCTTCTGTAGCCAATCCCTGCTTGTGAGGGCTTAGTGGCTGAAGCTGAGAGGCTTAGCTGGCCCATTGGTGCTGGAGCAAGAGCGTGCGGTGTTGCGATGGTGGCTGGGTTTGGTGGGGGACAGTAAGGAACGAGTGAGGCTTTACTGAGGCATGCGGTGAGGTTAAAAAAGATGGCACGCGGTGTGGACAGTGTATGTCATGACTCATCTGGCAAATGACGACGCACGCACAACCTGCAATACCGTAATCCCTGCCTCCCTGCTGTGCCCTGCTGCTTGCATTCTTGCGTGCAGCTCGCGGACATTAGCAATGGTGTCATCGGCATCCGCTACCGACAGGTGCCCTGCCCGGGCGGCTTCAAGCCTGCGCCGCTCTCGGCCAAGACAGTGCAAGCTGGTTAAGAGCAGCTAAGAGATTGCCTGGTGGTTAAATGGTTGTTGGAGCATCTTCACTAGCTGCTGAGTAGGCGCTTGCCTAGGGAAGTGCGTGCCTAGGAAGTCGCTTGCATGGGAAGTACAATCGAAGGTTATCGTTGATACGAACAAAAGGACGCTGACGTGTAAACGCGAGTTCGATGCAAGGATAAAGCCGCATCGCGGCCTCTGTGAGCAGTCTAGAAGGTCGTCTCAAATAGTTGCCGTCACAAGAAGTGCCGATTTTACTACGGTCTGCGGTTGACCAAGTGTTGCTATGTCTCACTTAGCGAGCGGGCCCCGTTGCGCCACTGGGGTCTTTAGAAGAGCAAATGTCTAGTTTAATGACTGTGTAACCATCTGTACCAGAATTGCCGAGGAACGAGTGGCTTCGTAGACGAGCGCCATGGGCGACAGTTGGCATGGCGCCGAATCTGCGCCGGTGCTGGACGTCACAGCCTACCGTATCATTAGGACAATAGGGAAAGGAGGATTTGCCAAAGTCTTCTCTGTAGCCTACACTTCACAGTCGGGCGGGGAGGACATCATGGCCTTGAAGCTGCCGAGGCCGCTGCACGCGGACAATCCGAAGAGCAGGGACCTGCTTGAGCGACTTTTCCTGACCGAAGCGCAACTAACTGCATCGGTGAAGCACAAGTAAGTCATTCTTCGCGCTGGCGGGTTTATCAACCGCCAGCAGGAAGACAAAACTTCGACAACGCGCTTTGGCACAAAGCAAGTCGCAATAATATAAAACGGATAAAGCAACAGCGCTTGTTGATTACAACGAAAATTCCTTATAACCGTCGATGCAAGTCAGTCAGTCAAACATGTTGTGCTTCGCATTGCGTCCTAAGCAGGACGGCTTTGTGTTTCTGCTTGATCCAATCCACTTGGAAACTGGGGTCGTGCTATTCGTTTGAAATGGACGAGCGGCGGCGGGACCCCTGTCCCCGCCGGTGCGCTTCAACTGCATCCGCTTGCTAGGACAGAACCCCGCACACTCACGTCTCTCGGCATCCCAACCCTCCGCAGGAACATCGTCCGCTGCCATGGCCTGCGCCGCGTCCTTCCCGGCTTCCCCGGCCTGGACCCCCTGCCCGAGCCCTCCTGGGGCATGCTGCTGGAGTACTGCGAGGTGCGCACCAGCCTGCCTCTGCTTGCCACAGCGTACCTCTGCCTCTCGCACCTCCCTCCATTTTGCACACGCTCCTTTCGCACCCTCCTCCCCCCCTTCTCCCCTTCCACCTCTACCAACCCCTCTCGCTCCCTTCTCCTCCTGCCACCAGGGCGGCTCCCTGAGCGACCGGCTGCTCCACGCCATGGCTCGCGGCCGCGCCTGCGCCGCCTCCGAGCTCACGACGCTGGGCTGGCTGGCGGATGTGGCGGAGGCGCTGACCTTCCTGCACGAGGGTGGCGCGGGGGCGGGGGCAGGAGGGGGAGAAGGGGCTTTTGGCGAGGGGGCCACGGCTGCTGGTGCTGGTGGTGCTGGTGGAGATGCTTCCAGTGCTGCTGCTGTTGCTGCTGCTGGCTGTGATAATGGTGGTAGTGGTGCAGGTGGTGGTGCTGTGGTGATCCACCGCGACGTGAAGGCGGAGAACGTGTTGCTGCGGTGGGAGGGCGGCAGGCTGGTGGCCAAGCTGGCGGACCTGGGGCTGCATGCGGTGAGCGGGGGGGGGAGGGGGTGGGGGGAGGCGGGTCGGGGGAAAAGAGAAAACAACTAGCTGACCGTGTGACAAGACGGTTGCAACATGTCAGCCAGCCCGACCCGCCCAGCCCGAATCAGCCAAGCCAAGCCAGGGTGGGGGGAGATCTGCACTTTGCACACGTCTGCGGAGGACTATAGCTGGGGACCCCTGCTGCCCGCCGCCCGGTGATGGCTTTAAGCTGCCCTGCGCTTTACCGCGTTGCTCTGACATTCCGAGTAAGCTGATTTTCTTGCCGTTCTAGGCCCCTCTTGTCCCCTGCTTCCCTCCTTCCCACTCGTCATCCCTTCGCCTCCCTCCTCCCTCCCTCCCCCAATCCCTCCGCCTCCTCAGTGCGTTCACGACGACCGCCGTGCGATGCTCCGACGCAAGCCCCACGACTCCTCCTCCGCCGCCGCCGCCACCCCATCCGCTATCAGCACTCAGCCCCTCGACGGCAACAGCAGCGGCAGCGGCAGCCAGCTCCAGGCTCCCACCGCTGCCGCCGCTGCAACCACCACCATCAAGACCTGCTGCGGCGGCGGAGCCAGCAACACCGGCGCTACCACCTTCTCCACCGCCTCCGAGAAGGATGCTGGTGGCACACGCGCAAGTAATATCGGTAAAGACAGGGCAGCTGCGGGTAAGGTAACGGGCCGCAACAGTGCCGACACCAACCGCAACGATAACGGCGCCGTCAGCGCTAGTCGGCCCCCAACGAGGTCAGCCTTCACGTTTGTGACCATCACGCGTGGCAGCATCGCACCCCACACGGAGGAGTCGCCCGGCAGCCCCAACCGCAGCAGCAGCTGCAGCGGTAGTCGCGTCTTGCCTTGCACGCAGCAGCAGCAGCAGCGGCAAGAGCAGCACCCGCGTCGTAGCGCAATTGACGTCCTGGGCACCCCCGAGGCTCGCAGCAGCAGTTCTTGTTGTTGCCGGGAAGCTGACCACGGCGGCAGCGGCAGCGGAGGTGCTTGCGACGCCGCCCCTGAAGGCGGCTTTGTCGGTGCCAGTGGCAACCCATGCTGCGCTAAAGGAGGCGGCGGCGGCACAGCTGCTGTCGTACGGCGACCTGAGGACGCTGTGCCTGCTGCTGGCGAGGAGTTGAGCCCTGACCCGGCGGAGGCGGAGGTGTCGGAGGCGGCGCAGCACATCCACACCCACCACACCCAGCGCCCGTGCGGGCTGGGCCCACCACCGCCATCACCGGCGGGTCTGACGTCCTCAGCCTCCGCGCCATCGCTGCAGCAGCTTCAGCAGCAGGGCGCCGCCGCAGCGGTTGCGCCGCCGCCACCTCCGCCGCCGTCAGCAACTGCGGAGCTGCCGGCCTTGTCGTCGCCGCTGCCGCCATCGTCCACGCCGCCGCCGCTGTGGACGGCAGCTTGTACGACAAACGCGGCGGATGCTGCTGCTGCTGCTGCTGCTGCTGCCCCGGCGTCGGCAGAGGCGGAGGTTGCAAAGGAGGCGCCGGATGCCGCCTTGGGTGATGCGCGCTGCCAGCACCAGGAGCAGCACCAACAGCAGCACCAACAGCAGGAACAGTCGCCTCAGAGTCCCCCGCATCCAGGCTGCCCCGCTGGCCCCCCTCAGCAGCAGCAGCAGCCAGCCGCCAGGCAGCAGCAGCCGCTGCTACCGCGCACCTCAGCACCGCCCAGCAGGGATAGTGGCTCGCCGCTGCCTCCCGTGACCCCGCGGAGTTCGTTGAGGGCACCGCGGACCAGCGGCTTCTTCCGCCCCAACATGCGGCTGTCTAGGGGCAGTCTCCGCGTATGCCAACGTGCGGCTGCTGCTGCAGACGTCCGCATGCCAACTCCCTGCACAGCTGCCTCCCCGGGGACACTGATGAGCAACTCCTCCATCCTTAACTCCACTTGCGACTCCAACCCCAACCCCAACCGAGGGAACAGCAACAAAGACAGAGCTGATGGCCACAACAACAACAGCGGCGGTGGCATCGGCTGCCGGCAGAGCAATGTCGTCCATGTTTCCACAACTGCTGCCGCCGCTGCTGCTGCTGCGGGCATTGGTACCATGCGGGAGGAGAGCCTCCTGCGCCTCGTGTCGCCTGACTGCCGCTTGCGGTTGGCTTCCATTACCGAACGAGCAGGCTGTGGAAATGGAGCAGCGGGCAGCGGCAGCCGCTGCGGCGGGTGCGGGGGTGGCTGTGAGGGTGTGGGGGGCAACGCTGCTTGCTGCGCCGCTCCTGCATCTCAGCCTCCTTCTATGCCTCCCGCACGGCCCCAACCGCCGACACAAGCCGCAGCTAGCTTCAAACGAGCCCATGCAGCCGCCCACATGCGGCGAGTGGGCAGCCTGAGGGCCCTGCTGCTGCAGCACAAGCAACAGCAGCAGCAACGGCGTGCACCTGCTGGCACTGCTGTCACGACTCCTGGCTCCTTTGCAATCACAGGCACCACCACCGCTTCCGCTACTGCTACTGCTGGTGCTGTTACTTCGGCTGACAGTACCGCCGCTAACAAGGCTTCTGCAGCCACGGTCTCGGTTGCCGCTGCTGCTGCCGATGATACTGCTGCTGCTGAGGTGTGGATTGACGCCTGCGCCTGCACCTCGCCTGCTCCTGCACCCGGGCGCCTGCCACCGCAGCTGCCACAGCCGCCACCGCCGCCTCCTCTGCCGCTGCATCTGCCGCCACCTCCTGCGCTGCCTGCTGCCGCGGACTACTCCTGGGTGTACGACATGACGGGGCAGGCGGGCAGCTTCCTGTACATGTGAGGCTGGAGGAGGGGGGGGGCAGGGGAGAGGAAAGAGGGAGGGAGGGAGGGAGGGGAACAGAGGGAGGTGGGGGACTACCGGGCTAGTATGGGCCGCATTACGCAACGGGGGCGGGTTTTGCTGGTTGGTGGCTAGTGGGAAACTGTGGATAGGGGGTTGGGAGTAGGATGGCAAACCACCAGCCGAATAGGGTGCGGAGGGCCATGCACCATGCTCTCCACCGGGCCCATCCCTTCTTCCTTGCGGCTCAGTTCCCCTACCCTCCGCTCCCCTTCCCTGTCAGGGCTCCCGAGGTGTACCTGCGCCAGCCCTACAACGCCAAGGTGCGCCACACCCTGTGTACCGGTATGCATGGGCACCCTCCTCACCCTCCTGCAACCACGCATAGCGGCGCCGCACACCGCACCGCCATTTCCACCAACCTGCTCTTTCTCGCCTTTCCTTCTCCTCCCCTCCCCCCCCCCCGCCTGTCAGGTCGACGTATTCAGTTTCGGCATGCTGCTGTGGGAGGTGTGGGGCTGCCAGCTGCTGCTGGTCAACTACCTGCTGGCGGGCCGGGGCGCGGAGCAGGGCATACGCACCGCCAAGGACTTTGCACGCAAGGTGGGTGGGTGGGTGGGTGGGTGACTGGTTGAGATGAGGTGCTGGTGGCAGGCTGGTGCTGTGGTGGTGGGGGGGGGCGAGTGCGGCAGCGGGTGCTGTGATGTGTGAAGGAGAGCGGAGAGCAGAGCGCCCCAATGCTCCCAATCGGTCCCGCCGGCAGGCGTGACGCGCTTACCCACTGTTACTGCTACTGCTACTGCTGCTGCTGCTACTTCCCTTCCTGTCTCCTGAAATTGTTTGGTCTATAACTCTATCGGTATATATTTGACCCCCTCCCTCTCCTCCTCCCATGTGGTTCTGGTATGTCTTTGTCCCCCGCTGGGTTGCCCTCTCCAGGTGTCGGAGGGCTTCCGGCCGCCCCGCCCGCCCCGCCTGAGCGAGCGGCAGTGGCGGCTGATGAGCGCCTGCTGGGAGGCCGACCCGGGGCAGCGGCCCACCATGCGGGGCGTGCTGGCGGAGCTGAGGGACATGGAGAAGGTGCGAAGGGGGGAGCAAAAGTAAAATAATGAGACACTGACGATGTCACTGACGAGCTGTATGACAAGGCTTCACCATGGGGGGAAATTATAAATAAGTGCAACAACACAGTCCCAATCCCGAAGAAGAGAGGAGGGGGGGAGAGGACCAGGACGAAACCGTAGGAAACCACAAGTAAGGGCAAAGCAATCGGGATAGGAGAAGGGGAACGGAAAGGGCATTGGCTGCACCATGGGTTGCACCAGGAGGGAGGGAGGGAGGGAGGGAGGGGGGAAGGGAGAGGCAGGGAAGAGGAAGGTAACAGGCAGCGGCACTACCGCCCCAGAGCCGTGTGAAAAGCACCACTTCACTCATTCCTTGCCTCCGGTTCCTACCTCCGCAAGGCACCCTGCCGCCTGCTCCTCCTCCTCCACCTCTTACTCACCACTACAACCCCCATTTCGTCCACTGCAGGAGGCGGCGCTGAGCAAGAGCCTCGCCCAGCGCCTCACCATCACCACCACCACCGCCACCATCACAACCGCCACCATCACAACCCACCAGCAGCTCCCCTACGGCCTCAGCGGCAGGTGCGAGGGCGGCGGTGGAGAGAGCGCCGCTGCTGCCCGCCTGCTGGCGTACAGGCACACGCAGCGGCGCTACGAGCAGCAGCAGCAGCGGCAACAGGAGCTCAGGCAGCAGCGGCTGCTCAAGGAGCTGCTGGGCGAACATCAGGACCAGCAGCACCCGCAGCAGCAGCAGAAGCGGCAGCAGCGGAAGCAGGATCCAGGATCTGCTGTCGTCCCGTACGGCATTGCAGGAGGGCTGGCAGCGGCAGCAGCGGGGGATGTCGCCCCTGCCGTGATGCATGGTGGTGCCGGCGACGTGGCACATGCTGCTGAGTGCGGCTGCAGGTGCGTCATATCTTAGGAGGAGGAGTGTGTTTGAGAGGAATGGATAAGTAGGGGTTATGTGGGAACCAGGAGTACTGGAATAAAGGAAATGCGTCAGCTGTACATCAGGCAGGCCTTTCCATCGTACTGGGGGGTTGGGAGGGGATTCATTTGGAAGCGGTACGGCACTCTCACCTATTTTGTCAGCGCTTAGACTTCTCTTCGGCAAGAGCACTTTGCTTACAGTAATAAAGCCATCGTATTGTTTGAATGAACGACTCGTCAGTATTTCTCGCCTCAGAGGTCACTGTACTGCATGCATGTCCAAGTAAGCAGGCCTGGGTTTATTTCCCGGTTGTTGGTTAACGATTTGGGGTTGGCTCTTGCCAGGAAAGGAAACAGTTGGACTGTTCTTGCACCGCTGTCCTCTTCTTTGTACGCTATTTTCGTACGTTATCGTAGATGTTGCCATAACAACCAGAGGCTGTGATGATGACTGAGATTACTCTTGCTGTCCCGCCCATATATTAGCCAGTAGCTACTGTTAATAATTTCCAGTTTTCAGTTCACAACATATGCATTTGCCTTGCTCGTGATGAGGTTATCGTAACATTTCGTTCTTCGTAAGTTTAAGGAGCTGCTGCTGTGGCCCCGCTTCTGTACTTCGAGGCAGAGCGGTCCCGAAACGGCTGCGGAGGGTTGTGTTGAGAGCAATGATTGACGTGCCGAGACCAAAGGTGTATGTACGAGATATGTTAGGCTTGATCAGGTTTGGTGCTTAAAGTATTGCGTTGTGCGATGAATGGGCCGTCGGTGTCGGTTTGAGAATGTGATGAGAGCATGAGACGGCCATTGGGTTCGGCGTAAGGCTTAGTAAATACAGTAATACGGTACGGTAGGGTGTGTTAACGACTGTAATTTGAGAGCACTTTTGCAGCTAGTAGGATAAGAAGTTGGGCTGTGGTCTATATAGGGATGCCGAGTGACCCGTGGGTCATTCCTGCTGTGCGTTGATATCTATTTGGTAAGCGCTGCACAAGGCAGGCAGGAGGGCAGGCTAGTAGGAGTTATTACTAGGGAAGGCCAGTGGAGCAGAGGCTTATGGACTTGTGCACAAGGGAAAATTGAAGCGTCAAGCTGAGCAACTTAAGCTTAAGAGCGTTACCGTTTACCGTGAGCAGTAGTAGCAATACGAGAGGAGAGTCGTAAAACATATATATTCAATATTACTGCGGAAATTGTACGACTGCGGCTGTGACTTGGCTTCATGTGGGCCTTACATGGGTGTGCGGGTCGCCGCGGCGCTACCGGTAGCAGAGCGGGCTGTTGTGGAATCAGTTCGCCTTTCCATCGTCATTTCGTAACAATGCGCTGTAAGCCTGTAACCATTCCGGTCTGTCTATCGTCTTGTGAACTAAATAAAAGAGGGAGAGGAGAGGCGACAGAGAGGAAGACAGAGAGAGAGCGAAGGAGGGAGCAAGAGCTCGCCCTAGTCCGACACTAAGAGGGGTACGGCAGGTCTACGACAGCTGTACTACCGTACACAACTCGGTACCATACAACAACACTTTGCCGTATGATCGGCATACCGATATGTCTTGGACACCTCCAAAACCCAACTGCTTTTAAGCATTTGCCAATCGCGTATTCGCCCCGCCTCACTCACCCACCTCACCTCAATCAACACTATCCGGTTAGCTAGCTACTACCACCACCGCCACCACTAACAGGCGGTTAAACCAAATGCGCACACATCTCCACTTCCGCACGAGTCGAGTGCAGCATCTAGCTTCCCACCACCCACCCCCACAGCTCCACACCCGCCACCACTAGTGCCCCTTCAGCCCCACCCAACGAACATCAGCCGGCCAGCGATTACAGCAGCCCACATTGCCACAACCCCTTCCCCCCCCCACACACAGCGAGTCCACCCTTACACCCCCCTGCCATATCCCTCCGCCACCTTCCCTCTGCCCTCGCCAACCCCCTGACCGTCGCTATCACCCCCTAATAATCCCTACTCCCTCACTTCCCCACCCCCCCACTCTCTCCCTCCTCTTTTAAACCCTCACTTCCGGCGATCCTCAACCCCTCACTTCCCCCTCACTTCCCGCCCAGCCCGCTCCGCACCACCGCCTCCATCACCTCCGCCGGCGGCTCCCGCCCCCCCGTGAACAGCCGGAACTGCTCTAGCGCCTGACCCACAAACATCTGCAACCCGTCTACGGGGGTGGCCCCGCCGGCGGCCGCATCGCGCAGCAGCCGGGTGTGCAGCGGCGTGTACACCGCATCGAACACAACGGGAAACTGTACGGGGGGGCATGCATGCGGGGGTGGCGGGGGAGGGGGAGGGCAAGGTGGGGTGGGGTTGGTGTCGGTGGTGTTTTGGGTTTCAGGATTGGTGCGCACAAACGGTTAGAGATATGTACCTAGCCGTATTGCGTGGAAGTGAACATAACACCTCATGGTGCGTGCATCCCAGCAAGCATAGACCTCTCACGGTCTCACCATGCTCTTCCTTCCCATCATTCCGCCACAACCCTCTCCCAGCCCTATCACACAGTCAGTTAGTTGTTTCCCCTTCCCCCTCCCCACCTGCGCCGCCACCTCTGCCGGCACCGGGCTCTCTTCCTGCCGCGGCGCCATGCCCACACTGGTGCTGTTGGCAAGCACGTCGCCCACCACCCGCCCCGACACCAGCTCCTCCCAACTGCAGGAGGCGGCAACTGCTGCTGCTGCTGCTGCTGCTGCTGGGGCGGAAGAGGAAGAAGAAGACGGGGCGGAGGCGGTGTCGATGGGAGTTTCGGAGGAGCCCGAGGAGGTGGAGGAGGAGGCAGCTGCAGCTGCGGCTGCTGCGTTGAGTGCTGCTGCCAGCTGGTCGGCCCGCTCGCGGTTGCGGTTGGCGATTATGACACGAGCACCCCTGGGGGGTGGGAGTGCGGAGGGGAGAGGGGGGAGGAGAGGAGGAGATGGAGTGCGTGGGTTTCGGTGCACTGATTGGACCCGCCAGGGGTGGAAGGTGTGTGGGTGTGGTGGCTCACCTCTTCGAGTTTGCAGGCTAGGGCAACACCCCGGGGGGGGGGGGTTCCGCTGCACACGCTGCGCACATACACACGCAATCACAGTACGTTTGGCCTCGCGGCCAGTTATTTTAATACACACACATGCATGTGTCGCATCCAGAAGAGCCCTACAGCTGCAACCACAATAACCACCCACCCACCCACCCACCCGCAAACCCCCCCTCCCTCCCCACTCACTTTGTCGCCGCGCCGAACGCCAGCGCCCGCCCCGCTCCGCCCGCCCCAATCACCACCACCGTCTTCCCACACAGCGGCGACACACCAGCCTCCCCTTGCTGCTGCTGCTCCCCACTTCCCACACTGCTGCTGCTAGCTGCTCCCGCCGCCCCCTCCCTCGCCGCCACCGCCCGCTCAATCGCCCCAATGGCCGCCAGCCAGTCGGTGTTGTAGCCGCGGTAGCTGCCGTCGGGCTGCCGTACCAGCGTGTTGACTGCGCCGATCTGGGCGGCCACGGGGTCCACGGAGGAGGAGAGGCGCAGGGCGGCCTCCTGGGGGGGGGAGGAGGGAGGGAGAGGAGGAGGAGGTGGGAGGGGAGCGAGGAGGAGGAGGGCACATGAGGGGAGGAGGAGGGCATGCGGGAGAGTGGGGATGTGCGGGGAATGGTGCTTACATTGTGGGTGGGGAGGGAGGCGTTGCAGGCGGGTCAGTGACAAGGCTACGACAGGCTACTGGGGCTGCATGCACCCGCTGACATGCGCCCACCTTGTGCGGGATGGTTACGCTGAACCCCGCCCAGTCCGGGTGCTCCTGCAGCGCCCCCAGCAGCCGACCCAGGTCGTCCACCAGCAGCGGCACGTACACACCGTCGTAGCCTGGTGGAGGTGTACGGCAGGGAGGAGGAGAGGCGTGGCACGGTGGTACGACAGAGGGCGAGGGGCGGAGGGTGGGGCGGGGCATACACTCGCCGGGGTCAGTTTGAGGTTTGCAACCCGCCGCCTCTTGCCTCTTGCCTTGCCTTGCCTTGCCCTCACTTGTGGTCTCCATTAGTACGGTTTGGTTTCTCTTTGCCACCCAACCACCAACCACCAACCCACCAATGTGCTGGAACGCCGTGTTGTGTATGAGCGGGCTCTTGCTGTGCGACACGGGGTTGCCGATGATGCCGTACAGTTTCGTACGGCTGCCCTGCCGCCGGTAGCCGTACAGCTCCACCAGCTTGCCGATGTCGGGCTGCCCGGGGGCGGAGGCGCGCTCCGGAGACATGGCAGCGAAGGTGAGGTAGCCGCCGTACTTGGCAGCGAGCAGCCGTACAATCTGACCCTTCTCGCCCATGGAGAGCGCGATCATGGGGCCTTATGTCGGGCGGGAAGGGGGGTGGGTGGGTGGGAAGGATGGGGGGTGCGAGGGAGAGGGGTAGGGTGTGGGAAGAGAGAGGGTACTAGGCGGGTGGAAGAGGCGGTAGTTCAGGAAGGGGCTGGAGGCTGCAGGCGCTTGCGTGTTAGGCAGCGCTAGCTCGCAGCCCCCGACTGCCGGGCGAGTTCCTCCCTCGCCCCCCTCCATGCCTCACCCGTCCTCCTCAGCAGCTCCCTACCCCCGCTACCCTGCTCTCTCTCCTCCCTATGTATCCATATTACCCCCCCCCCACCTTCTTGCCCCATCCCTCCCTCACCATCCTTCTTCCTCCGCTGTTTCCTACCCTGCCACCCTGCGCTCTGCCCCTCTTCCCTACCCCTCTCACCATCCTTCTTCCTCAGCAGGTCCAGCATGCGCACCGCATCACCCACATCATTGGCCATGGCCGCCAGCTTCACGATGTCCGCCCCGCCCGCCCTCATGGCGGCCGCCAGCTGCGACAAGGTGGCGGCGGAGGGGGTCTGCTGGAAGTCGTGGTAGGAGAGGATGACGCGCGTGGAGAGGGGCACCTCGTGACGGTCTGGGGGGGGACAATGAGGAGGGCGAAGGAAGGGAAAGGGAGCGCGGGTGGGAGGGGGCGAGGGAGGGATGGCGCAGGGAGAGGGTGTTTTCTAGTTGGCTCGGTGATGCGGGGTAACTGGGGGGGAGGAGAAGGGGTGTGCGGCCGTGCTTGGGCGCATGTACTGCAGGTTGCCCGTCCCCCCTACCTGCGAAGAAGTACGGCGAGGCTTTGAACTCCACGTCGATGTACGGCGCCCCCATCAGTGCCGCCATCTTGAGTACGGCAAGGCGCTCCGGCTCCGGTCCGTCGTACTTGCCACTGCGTATTTGTGCATGTTTTGTAATCACAAAGGCGATTGGCAGTAGGAGAGGGCGTGGCGCATGCGTGCAGTGTATGTAGGGTGACTGTACTACCTGGTGGCTTAGTGCGCTCAGCGCCAAACGACTGCGCAACGTCAGTGCATCTGGGGGCATCACCAGCCCCAACATGGCTAGGCCCTCTAGCTCACGCAAGCAGCGGCTCTTACCCTTCCCACACAGGCCTATAGGTGACGATGTACGGCAGGGGACAAGAGCTCATGATGAGCTGCAGGTGCTTCTCGGGGTCAAAATCCGTGAGGAAATCCAGGCGCAGTTCGATGATGTCCACACCGCTGGCAGCCGCCTCCTGAATCTCCGCGAGGAAAGCATCCACCGTCGTTGCTGTAACGCTGGTACAGATGTAAGACGGCTCGCTCGCGGCCTCAGCTGGTGCAGCGTCGGGGGAAGCCGCTGCAGAAGTTCGCATCATTGCTTTTCGAGGCTCGTGCGCAGCGAGCAGTGGTGAAAAATCAGATTGGTGTTTAATAGGTTCAACGTAGGAAGAAGCGAGTTGTCGGTGGATATGGGTCGTTGGGTGGGGATGGAAATGAACTGGGTATGGTCGGGAGGCCTGAAAGCAGCGCCGAGCGCAGCGCCCATTAGCATGGGCACCTAGCTGCGCCATGGTCCTAATTGTGAAACAACATGATGCGAGCGTCTGCGAAACGATACATTGCCGCCATCTACATTGTACGGCAGTTGCGCTTGCTACTCCGGATGAAGAAGTTTGAAATGGAGAGGACATCATCTTGTGTTGCGCTGGATGCGAGTGTCCTTACATAACATTCAACTGATCGGGCTGATACTGTTCCTTTCGAGCCCAACTTCGTGGCGCAACTTTAGTTAAACAGCTCCTCTGACATTGAACCTGCGCTATCTACTCTCCAGCACATTCACACTCTACAATACGTGGAAAGTGCGCTAGTGGATAGTGGAGCTGGACTGGCGAAAGCCGAATCGGGGATTCGCTCGCAGTTTGGGTAAGTTTTATATGACAACGATTGGCTCACTTGTTCCTTATAAACTTGGGAGACGCTGTCTGGGGACCGGGGGGAAAAAGGGTGGATCGTCTGTCGCGCGGGAGAACTGCGCATGAAAGTTTAGATTTGCAAGTCTCCCAAGCCCGACGTGTAGCCGACTGCTTTAGGCTGAAGGCTGAAACTATATGATGCTACAACGCGTCCCTTCATGCTGTTGCGGAATCGTGTCTGCCAACAGCAACGAACAAATTCAAGCATCGCTTGGGCTCATCCGGGAAAGCGCACAACCAACACCGTGTTTCTTCCGCAGACACGTACACGACTTGCTTTTTATGTTTCTTGGCATGTCACTTCCTGTTTGTCAGCGCTGGCATGACGTCTTCGCTTGTGCTAAGGGCTCCTACCCGGCGGAATTGGCCGACCGACCCTACTTGCGTCACGGCGACCGCAACACGCGTTTGCGCGCCTTGCTTGTAAAGTATGAGATATAAGCATGGGAACGGCCGTGACGGTTTTCCGAAGAAAACGTGGATGGTGCTAAGGTTGGCAATCCCTCGCTGGCCGCGAGTCTGGCTTGGCTGCGGCACCCGAACGAGCTCGTGTTCTAGAATAAGAGGAAGGAAGAAGGAGCGCCTCAACCTCTACTGCTCACACCTCCAAAACACATCCTCAACCCTGCCCTGTGTCCCATGTAACGCCCTCCTTTCTTTCACGCACCTCAAAACGGTTCAAATTCCGCCCCAAGCTTCCCCTATCCAGATTAGTCCCCAACCACCCCCACCACCCCATCTTTCACCCGTACTGGCGGCCAATTAACCCCAATTTCACTCTTTTGTCCACATTCCCGCACTCAGGTCTCACATCGGAGGCCAGTAAGCCGGTCATCACTCCCAGCAGTAACGGCCCCGAAGGAAAGGGTCACGAGCCACGTGTAACAACACCCTGGCAGTGATGCAGCGAGAGGGGCTGCAGCAGCAGCGGCCGTGAAAGAGCGAGCGAGCGAGGTTTACTATCGAATGATCTGACGGTGCTATCCTCTGATTGCGAGGCGTACTCACAGCCTCCGAACTGTAACGCACACCGGACACACGGAAGCCTGCTAGCTGGGTGTCAGCACCCCTCGCCCTCACATACACCGTTGAGGGGCAATGCCGGCGGATGAGGACGTGGTGATGGACGAGGCGGCGGAGGCAGCCGACGTGCCCGTTTCGGAAGTCGCTGACCCACGGGTCGCTGCTGCCGAGGTAGACGGCGGCGCTGCTGCCGAGGAGGGCGAGGAGGATGGGGATGAGGACGCCATGGGCACTGCGCCCGCAGCCACAGAGGGGGCAACGGAGGGCACTGCCGGCACCGCTGCTGCTGCTGCCGCTGCTGCCGGTGAGGGCACTTCTACCGGGGCAGACACCGCTGCTGCTGCTGCGGGTGCGGACACTGCGGGGTCGCCCGGTGCTGGGGTCAGCGGTGGAGGTGGCGGTGGGGGTCGGCGGCCCGCGGTGGAGGACCCGGCAGCGACTGAGAAGCTGAAGAGCTATGTGGCCAGCCATGGTGGGTGGTGGGTGTTTGGGAGGCTGCCTGGTGAAGGAGGAGGTGTGTGACGCGGCAGTGCAGGGCGGTGGTTGGCTGGGAGGAGGGCGGGCCGGCATGTGCCCCTATATGCACGGCCTCTTGCCGCCCTGCTCCTCACCGTTACCCTACAAGACCTCCTTCCCACGCTCTCCATGTATCCATTGACCTAACCTGCGACGCATTCCCTCCGCCCCCTCTCTCCCCGTCCCCTCCCTGCCTCTACCCTCCCTGCCTCCACCCTCCGCTCCCCCACCTCACCCCACCCTCCACCCCACCCTCCACCCCACCCGCTGCAGGCGGCACGTTGCCTCCCGGCTGGATGGTGGTGTACCGGGTACGGCAGGGCGGCAACAGCAAGGGACAACAAGACGCCTTCTACCGCACCCCGGAGGGGAAGATGCTCAGGTGGGGGCGGGTGGGAGGCTGGGAAGGCGGGGCTGCTGCAGAGACCCATGGGTCACTCCCCCTGCTTCTGGGAGTTGGAGTGAAAAGGAATAGAGATGGGAAGGGGATTGCATGCGACGCATGAGATAATGAAAAGGGCACGAATCTGGTTTATCCACACCGGTGCACGCTACCACGTTTCATTAATATTTATGGGTTAATTATAATAACAAGCAATAATTATGGGTTTAATGGGTATAATTAATGGGTTTAATGGGTATAATAACAAGCAATAATCATGGGTTTAATCATTATTACCAGTAGTTGTAACCGACCCACGGGTCACAACACACTCTTTATCCTGATCTTGCTGTAGCCTGGCCACTGCTGTCCGTATCCGTATCCAACCCGCATAGCTCCGGCTCACTCGCTGCTACATCACCGGTGTACGGCCTTGCTGCTCTCATCCCCTCTACCCCCCCTGCTTTCCCTGCTGTTGTTCCTGCTGCTGCTGCCGCCTCCCGACCCCTCAGAACTCGCCCGGAAGTCCTGCGCGCCCTGGGGCTTGAGCCCAGTGGGGGCGCGGCGGTAGCAGCAGGAGGGGCAGCGGCAGCAGCCCCCAAGAAGGAGAAGACCCCGAAGGTACGGGGTCAACCGCGTGGTAGGGCTCGTGTGACAGAGAGGCAAGGCGAGCGCCGGGACGTCCCCTTCCGTGGCCCTTACCTACTTGCTAGATGCCGCGATAGACGCGTTGCTCCCTCTCACAACAGCATCCATCTCCCTGCATCCCCTTCCTTCCCTTCCCGCCACACAACATCAGGCCCCCAAAGGCAGCAAAAAACGTGCCTCGGAGGCACCCCAGCAGCCCCAAACCCAACCTGACGCGGAGGCAGCCGCCGACGCAGCAGCGCCGGGGGGTGAACCCGCGGCTGCAGATGCCGACACACAGCCCCCACAGGACTCTGCTGCGGCCGCCGCAGCCACCACAGCTACCAAGGCAGCAGGCAGCAAGGCAGCGAGCAAGAGGAAGAAGAGCACAGGCGGTGGTGTCGCATCGCCCTCTCGCTGGCCCATTCGTCTGGAGATGAGTCGCGAGGAGGCGCTGGGGGCGGCTGGGGAGCGGGCGCGGCAGCTGGGGCTGCAGCCGCCCTTTGAGACGGACAGAGGTGCGTGGGAGGGAGGCGGAAAGGGAGGGGCTAGAAGGGTTAGTGGGTTGGGAAGAAGGAGCGGTCTAGGGTAGCATGGAGGGAAGGCGGCAGGGAGGCAGCCCTAAGGTGCTGAGAGAGGCAGCTGGAGCAGGGTGGTGGTGCTGCTGATGGGGGCTACCTTGGTCGCTAGCATGCTGCTTACTCGCTTCGATTGCTGTGTCTCTGCATCTTTACTGTCTTGTGTCCTTTTCCTTGCCCTGCCCTGCATAGGCGTGACTATCCTAAGCCTCGGAGACGTTCATAAGGCCCCCGGTTTCCACGACGACTCGCACATCTGGCCGCTGGGCTACCGAGCAGCCTGGGCTCCGAAACCCTCCGCCGCCGCCGCCGGACGAGCCGCCAAGAAGACGAAAAAGGCGACAGCAGCAGCAGCCGCAGGCAAGCCGGAAGGTGCAGCGGAAGAGGCGGCCAACGGCGGCGACGGTGACGCCACCATGACGGATGCCGAGGCTGTGAACAGCACGCCGGCGGAGGCAGCGGCGACGGCAGAAGCTTCCGCCGCCGCGGCGGCGCCGCCGCCTCCACCGCCGCCGCCGTACCGCTTCATTAGTGAGATCCGCGCCGCCGCTGACGGCAAGGGCCCTGAGTTTGTCGTACTTCTGGAGCCCAACCCCGCCGCCACCGGAGGCGGCGGCGGCGACGCTGCCGCCACCTCCGCCGCTTCGGAAGAGCCTCTGACGGTGCTCTCCGCCAACAAACCCGACACCGTTTGGGCCGCCATTGCGGACCTGCAGACCACCGCCGTCACCCTCTGCAAACGCCCCGCCAAAGCCAGCAGCGCCGCCGCCGCCGCCGCCTCCCAAGCCACTGCCGTACAACGTGCCCTCGCCGTCATGCCCCCCGTCGGCAAGGTCTGGGGCATGGACTGCTTTGGGCTGTCCGACGTCCGGGTGCTTCAGCTTCTGGAAGGCCTTCCGGGAGTGGAAGACTGCGGGGATTACATCCTCGTGGAGCAGCGGGGAGGTTGGGATCTTGAGGCCAAGGGAATCACGACGCAGCGGGCTGTCGTACTGGCGGCGACGTCGGGCCGTCGTAACGCCGCCGCCGCCGCCAGCAAGCAGCGGAAGCGGCAGCAGCAGATGAGTATGGAGGCGTTTGTGGACCGGTCAGCGGGTGCGGGTGCGGGTGGGGAGGGAGGTGGCGGTGCATGGGAAGGGGGGCTTGAGGACCTGGCGGCGGCGGCGGATGCGGCAGCTGCGGAGATGACGCAGAGTGGGAAGAAGGCGGCGGCGCCGAGACAGAGGAGCGTTGGCGGCGGCGCAGGAGGGGTTGCGGGAGGAGGAGGAGCGAAGGGGGAGAAGACGGGGAAGATGTCCCGAGACGAGTTTGAGGTAAGGATTGAGGTGTGCGAAAAGCTGTCCACGTGTGTGTTATTGACACGCTGGAGTCGTGTGTGTGTATTTGTACCCATGTGGTTACTCATGCGCATGGCCCCTCTTGAGAGCATGTGTGATCCCGGTTCTGCCCCCCGCCCCCCGCACCTCACCTTTCCCCCCTCCCCAGGTGTTTAGCGTGTTGGACAAGGTTGTGGAGCGGGTGTCGGTGGTGATGGCGGAACCCGATGAGAAGGAGCGGGAGAAGATGGTGGGGGGGGGGGGACACGAGGGGGGGGGGAAGAAGGACAGGGGTGTTGGTGAGATGGGGTTACACAGGCAGTAGCAACCTTGAAGGACACCACCCGTTCTTGCCTACAACCTCACCACCCCCACGCGCGCTGCGCCCTGGATGCTTCGCGCTGCACCTTCCCTCACCCCCCCTCACCTTGGCCCCCTCAGCTCAAGGCGATGGAGAAGCAGGACCGAGCCGCGGCCCGACGCAGGGAGAAGGCAGCGGCGGAGAAGGCGGAGAAGGCAGCGGCGGCTGCAGCCGGGGGAGGCGCGGCGGAGGGTGCAGCCACGGGGGCCGCAGGTGCAGGGGCTGCTGCTGTTGCTGCTGGCGCCGCCGTCCCAGGCAGTGAGAAGGTCACCAAGGCTGCCAAGGCGGCGGCTAAACAAGCAGCCAAAGCGGCAAAGGTAGGGGGAGGTGTGTCCTTGAGTGAGAGTAGGGAGGTCAGAGGGAACAAGGGTCCACAACAGGCCCCCCTCCCCAGGATCGCATGTATGTGGCCGCGGGGTGGGAGGTGCAGGGCGCGGGGTGGGAGGTGCAGGGCGCGGGGTGGGAGGTGCAGGGCGCGGGGTGGGAGGTGCAGGGCGCGGGGTGGGAGGTGCAGGGCGCGGGGTGTGCCTGCAGAGCTGGGAGGCAGTTGCATGGTAGGGGCTCATGCACACGTCATAGGCACACGTCATAGGCACACGTCGAAGGCACATGTCATAGGCATGCAGGGCAATAACAAGGGAGCGGTAGCCCTTCCACTTACCACAGGTTACCAGCACCTGACCTTCCCACATTGCTGTGCCTCACCGTATCCTCCCTCGCCGCAGGAAGCCGCCGCAGCAGAGGCCGCTGCCGCTGCTGCTGCCGACGCCGCCGCCAGCCAGCCTCCTCCCCCCAGCAGCAACCAGGTGGACGAGCGCTCGCTTCCCTCGGCGCGGGAGCCCCCGCCGCCGGCAGTGCTGCTGGAGCTCTCGTACGGGGCTGCTGCTGCGGGTGGTGCGGGTGGTGCTGGCAGTGCTGCGGCCCCGGGCCCTGATACCGGTGCTGTTGCTGCCCCTGACGTCAAGCAGGAGGGGGAGGGTGGTGCGGTGCTGCTGGGTTGTGATGAGGTGCAGCGGCTGCTGGGGGTGTACCAGTTCCTGTGGGACCACAGGTGGGTGGGGGTGGGAAGGGGGGTGTTGGGGGAGGGGTGTGGTGTGGTGGGTGGGTGTGGGGCTACGAGGGGTGCCTAGGAGGGGCCAGGAGAGGTCCTGCTCCAGGGCTGGAGGGCTCAGGGGGGGTCCTGAGGGGCGGGGGGCCCTCACACCGCATCCACACTCTTCCTCCTTAAACCCCTCCTTCCCCTCCTCCTCACCCCTCCCCTCCCAGGGAGCTCCTGGGCCTCGAGGGCCGCGTGCCCTCCCTCGCTGACCTCCTCCTCCTCCTCTCCCACCCGCCCGCCCGCCTGCCTCCCACCGCCCGACGCGCCGCCGACGACCTCCACCTCTCCCTGCTCCGCCTCCTAGTCGGCGAAGCGGTCTCGGAGCTGATCGATTACACCGCCCAGACCAGCACCCTGCCCCGTCGGGAGCTCTCGCCCGCCTCGCCGCCCCTCACTCCCGCCACCTGGCCCGAGGTGGCTCGCCGCTACCTGGCTGCTGCGGCGGCTGCGAGGTACCTGACCAGCAGCGAGCCGCGGTCCTCGGCGCTGGCGCAGCTGCAGCTGCCGGGGCAGTTGCAGAACTTGGAACCCGCGGTGAGAGGGGGGGAGGGAGGGAGGCGGGGTGGTGAGGGTGATGGGTGGTGACGGTGAAGGGTGGTGAGGGTGAAGGAGGATGGTGGCAAGGGGCGATGAGGGCGAAATGGAACATGCGGGGCTGTGCTTACATTGTCGTCCCGCATTACCTTAAATCCTAAGTCTTTCTTCCTCCTTTTCCTCCTCTCCCCCCCTCCTTCCCCCCAGGACTGGCTGCACCACTTGCTGGCCGGCTTCAACTTCCCGCACCTGCTCTCGCGCATCGCACTGCTGCCGCATGCATCGTCCAGGTGGGGTGTGGAGGAACGGAGGGGTGGGTGGAAGGTAAGGAGGAAGAACCTCACGAGGGGAACCGCCGTGCGACGGTTGTATGGGTTCCAGTCCCAACCCCTCACAACGTATCATCGGTGATTAGCTAAACTGAGCCGCGGAACACTGACCTTGACCGTAGGTTACCGGAAATTGCTTGATAAGCAATGATCGGTGATATAAGCGAGCCTGTTCGCCTGATGCTGGGCCCCTCATGCCCTCCCTCCCCTCCCCCTCCCCTCCTCAGGTGGGCGGCGGACGCGCTGCTTGCAGCGGACGACGCTCGCGCCCGGGCTGCTGCTGAGCGGCTGCTGGGGGGCGTGCGGGAGTTTGATATGCAGGTGGGGGTTTGGGTTGGGGGGGTTGGGTTGGGACGCATGACTTTGAAGGGGGATGATGCAGGTATAGGAGGCCAGGGAAGGGGCTGCCCGAGGTCGGAGGAGGGGCGCATGTCACCGGCCGCAATCCCTCGTGAACTCAAGCCCCCCCTTCCTTTCACGCCGTACAGCCAAGGTACCAGAACTCCCCTACCCTCTCCGTCCCTTCCATCTTCCCCTGCCCCTTCTTCTCCCCCTCCCCCCTCCTCCCCCCTCTCAGCACCTGGACGGCGAGGGCCAGGTGCGCCGCGGCCGCAGGCTGCTGCACGCGCTGCTGACCCTGCCCGAGGGCGGGGAGCAGCTGGGCTTCTTCGCACCCGAGTTCGGGGAGGCGCTGCGGGCACCGCGGGGTGTGGACCTGCACGCGGTGGCTGTGCGGCTGGACGCGGGGCTCTACCAGAGCACTGGTGAGAGGGGGGGTCATGAGGGGATGAGGGGAAGGGAGGGAAGGCAAGAAAGAGTGTTTTAAAGGGATCACAAGGTGTGTGTGTGTAAAGAGGGATCAAGGGATGATGTAGCCAGCCGAGGCATTACCACCACCGGACTGTTATGTCACGTTTAGGCAAAAGGACCGAAACCCAACAACCACCACCATGCACCCTGTTCCTGCCGCCAGGTGACTGGCTGGCCGCCCTCAGCTCGGACGTGCGGGCGGCTCTGTCGCTGTGGCGAGCGGCGCTGAGCAGCCCCCGGGGCAAGAGCATTCCCGGACACCAGGTGGGTGGGAGGGGGGTTGGGTTGGGGGGAGGGAGGGAGGGAGGGAGGGAGGGAGGTGGTTCTTGAGCGCGAGGAGGCGGGTGGTGCGAGGCAGAGTTCCTGGGACTATATCGGTATATGGAGGGAGTGGCAACGGGCGCATACCAGCATACTATAATATATAAGATATTTGTCTTCATGTAATCTTCCCCCATGCGCGGCTCATGCAATCATGTTCCTCCATGTCTGCAGGACGCGGAGGCCTCCCTCGCTGACGTGGCCGAGCGAAAGCTGCAGGAAATCCTGGCCAACCCCGAAACTACACTCGCATTGCCAGCACCTCCACCACCACCGACAGCAGCAGCAGCAAACAAGGCGCAGGGAGGTGACGTGGAAATGCAAGACGCCGATGCAGCAGCCGGGGCCTCCGGCGCCGCCGGGGGCAGCGGGGGCGGCAAGGGCAAGGGTGGTGGCAAGGGGCGGAAGGGGCGTGGAGGCGGCGGCAGGGGCGGTCGCAAGGGCGAGGAGGGCAGCCAGGCGGGGGCTCAGTCGCAGCCGCAGTCTCAGGGAGTGGCGCCGGAGGGGGATGAGGAGGAGGAGGATGCAGCGGCGCTGGACGACCCCACACGGCTGTTCAATCCGCGAGACGGATGCAGGTGCGCGCACTCGTGAAAGGGTAATCCGTGAAGGGCAATCTCCTTGCTACTGCTGCAACACTTGCAACTGTCCGTTCCGAGTGGCATTCCAGAGCACTATTTCCCCGGTTAGGCAGTCCGGAGGTGTTGGGCTGGGGGCGTTGGCTTTTGAGCACTGCCATCTTACCGGTATGTTTTCCCTTTCCTATTCCTACGCTCCCCCCCCCTCAGGGTGTGCTGGCTGGACGAGGACAAGAACCGCATCCTGCTGTGCGACTGCTGCGACGGGGAGTACCACTGCTACTGCGTTGAGCCGCCGCTGCTGGAGGTGGGGGGCGGGGTGGGGGTGGGGGGCGGGGTGGGGGGGGGCGGGGTGGGGGTGGGGGGCGGGGTGGGGGGGGGCGGGGTGGGGGGGGGCGGGGTGGGGGCGGGGGGCAGGGGACTAGATGAGGTGGGCCCCCCAGGGAGCAGGGGGGGGAGAAGGTGGGAGCACTGGTAACCCCATTCCGACTCTTGGTGGTGATGGGAGGGAGGGGGGGGGCACTGTGTATGGGGGCAGTTGCAACTAGCACAGGTAGTAGTAGGGCTTGGCGGTTTGGCCCCTAGCATGTTCAGTTGACTCACTTCAGCCAGCTCAGCCCCTGCCGCTGACCCATGGGTCCTTTCCCCCACTGCTGTCCCCCCTCCCAGGTGCCCGAGGGATCCTGGTTCTGCCCCTCCTGCACGTCCAAAGGCCTGGGGCCGCCCAAGGTAAGCGGACAGACGGTGGACGGCAGGTAAAGACTCCCTAGGTTGTGTGGGGGTAAACAGAGGAAACTGACGAGGCAGCTAACAGGCTGTATGCCATGTAGGATCCACCATGGGGTGCAAACATGGTAGCCGGGCGGGGGGCGGTTGACGTTTGCCCAACCCATTCGAATGCCACGTTGCCACTGCCGCGCGCTTCCATGGGGTTATCCTGCCTCTCGGTTTGTCCGCGTGAGCCTACTTCGTTGGTGAGGAAAGCTGGGTCTCTTCCCTTGACCCTCCCATATCCTGTTTCCCCGCCCACCCGCCATGCCCTCATGACCTTCCCCTCCCTCCTCTTCCCCAACCCTGTTAATCCCCCAACCCTCACTAACCAGGCTGAGGGCGCGGATGACGTCACTGACGCCCTGGATTCGGACACCTCCCCCGGCCGCCGCACGCCAGCGGACCCGCAGCAGCACTCCCCCTGCGGCGCAGTGACCCGTGGGTCCGCCGGCGCCTCACCCTGCTCCCCCGCCTTCCAGCACGGCCACAGCCACAGCCATCTGGTTTCGGAGCTGCATGACAAGGCGGCCATTCGCCGGGCTCATCAACACGAGCAGCGACAAAGGCAGCAGCAGCAGGGACAACAACATGGGCAGCATGCAGGGTGCTGTGGCGGGGATGGACGTGCTGGTGGTGGTGGTGGTGGTGGTGGGGCGGGTGCGGGCGAGGGGCCGCTGGTCATCCCAGCCGACATCCCCGAGGGTCCGCGCATCACCTTGCGGCCGCACAGCAGGCCGGGCCTGCAGGAGGTGGCAGGTGGGGGGAAATACATGGGGGGGTGGGGGGATGGGGCGGAGAGGTGAAGGGAGGTTGGAGGTAACGAAGGCACATACTGGGAGGCGAAGGCTACCTGTACTAGGCTTGCTGCGCACACGGTTCGTCTCTTCCGTCCTCGTCCCAAAGCCACTTCCCTCTTCCCCGCCCCCGCAGGTCTTCTCCGTCTAGCTCATCTACTCGGGAACTACGACTACTGCTCCGGCACCTCCTGCTGGCCCCCCTCCTCCTCCTCCTCCTCCTCCCCCCCTGCTGGCTGGACTCCCTCCCGCCGTCTGGCGCTGCTGGCGTCCTTGTGCGACCTGGCGGCTGACACCAATGCGCTGCGGGGCTCGCTGGAGGAGGCGGTGGAGGCGAGGAAGAAGGCGAGGGTGGAGGCCATGGCTATCCGGGCCCGGGCGAGGCAGATCATGGTGAGAGTGGGTGGGGGGTTGAGGAGGGCGGGATGCGTAGGGGGGAGTTGGCGGTGTGCTGTGTCGGTGCTGCGAAGTATTGGTGGCTGAAACAGAAGGAGGAAGAGTATATTTGGTACGGCATCGGAACGTGTGCGTGCGCGCCTAAAGAGATACTTTCTTGCTCTTTCTTCCCTCCTCTCTCGCGCGCGTGTGCACACGTCCCTCCACGTCTCTCCTGTTTGCGCGCCGCAGGAGGAGCAGGCGGCCGCCAAGGCAGCAGCAGCCGCTGAGAAGGAGAACGCACCCGTGAAGGGGAGCGAGGGGGGGGCGGCCAACCCCAACGTGCCCGCGGGCAAGGGGCCGGGCGGTGGCGGCAAGGGCGGCAAGGGCGGCAAGAAGGGGGATAAGGGCGGGGAGGCAGACAAGGGCGGGAAGGGCGGGGATGGCGAGGTGGAGGCGAGTCAGGAGCCGGGCAAGGAGGGCGGCGAGATGGCAGGTGTGAGCGGGAGGGGAGGGCAGAGAAGGGAACTGTGCTGTTGTTAGGATCTATCAGGCTCCCCACCTCCTACTCCTGTGCCTTACCCGCCTCCCCTCAACCGCTCATCGCCATACCGCGGACTCGGGATCGGTAGGGGCAAATAACTTTTTTGTTTCGTCGGAGACAAACTGCTTCACTCTATCCCCATTGCTTTGCCCTACTATGTGGTTCTGGTGCATCTGTTGACGTCTGCCCCCCCCCAGGCTCCTCCAAGTACCCTCGCACCTCCCGCAAGCCGCTGGACCTGTCGGTGCTGCCCGAGGAGGAGCTGCGGCGGCTGCTGGCGCTGGAGGCGCGGGTGGAGGGGCTGGGAGTGCGGGGGGAGGCGCTGGGGGAGGACAGACACGGCAGCAGGTAGGGGGGGGAGGGAGGAATGGTGGAATCGGGAAAGGAGTAGGATACCTTGGTACCCTCTTGGCGCAAACCGAAATGCCTAGATGCGTTGTCTTCAGTTCGCAACAGTCTTCCATCCATCAACGCATCCAACCATCCTTGCATCCTCGCCTTATGCGTTAAGCTCCTTAACTGCTCATCCCTGTCCCCTGTCATAACCTACTTTGAACCCGCCCACCCGCCCACTCCACTTCTCATTCTATTTCTGCCACCCCTGTCCCCCTCCCTGTCCCCCCCTGTCCCCAGGTACTGGTGGCTGGGTGCCGACCACGTGCACCCGCAGGGGCCCCAAGGGGTCATCCTGGTCGAGCAGGTGCCGCCCGGGGTGGAGGCGGCGGAGGAGGAGAAGGCGGCACGGGTCTTTTCCGAGCGGCAGACCCGACGAGAGAAGGAGGAGCAGGAGGAGCAGCAGCACAAGGCGCAACTGGAGAAGAAGAAGGCAGCAGCAGCGGGAGAGGAGCAGACGCAGGAAGTCGAGGAGCCGGAGTTGGATGAGTGGGGGTTGCCGAAGGAGCGTCCCCGGCCCAAGATCGTGGCGATCGGGCAGGACCGACCCGCGGGTCACTCGTGGGGCATGTATCACACGGCCGAGCAGCTCACGGCGCTGATTGACTGGCTGAACCCCAAGGGGCTGCGCGAGGGGGCGCTGCGGGGGGCGCTGCTCAAGGCCAGGGACCGTATCGCGGCCTCTCAGGCGGTGGTTCCTGACACCAAGCAGAGAAACAAGGCACTGCCGCCACTACCACCACCGCAGCCTCAGCAGCCCCAGCAGCAGCAGTCTTCAGGAGCTGCGGAGGGACAAGCTAATGGTGAGGGAGGCGCATCGGATTCCGCGCCACAACCGCCACCTCCGCCGCCAGCGCTGCTGTGCCCTTGTGTAACGGTCGCGGCCGGCAGTAAACGCACCACCACCGCCACTCGGCAAGGCTCGGGCGCCGCACCAGAACCCGCTGACACCATCGCCGCCGCCGTCACCGCCGACGCTTCCTCCTCCTCTGAACCCCCAGCGGAGGCGCTCGCCATCCGATCCGAGCTCCTCTCCCTCCATCGCAACCTCCCTTCCGAGGCCTTTTCCCGATTCTGGGGCTCTGCCGCGCGTCAAGCCCGCTGGCGAGCCTTTGTGGAGTCCGCCGTCACGCCGCAGCAGCTCTCCGCGGCCCTCACCGTGCTGGAGTCCATGCTAGTGGATGAGGCCCTGCGGCCGCACTGGCGGCTGTACGGCCTGCCGGCACAGCACCCGCAGCTCTGTGCGACATGGGCGGGCGCATGGTACCGGCTGGGGGGGCTGCAGGGCGCCATTCGGAAGCAGTTTGTGCCACCGCGGGAGAGGCAGGAGAGGGAGGCGGCGGCGGCGGCAGGCATTCCGGCTCAGCTGTTGGCGCAGGAGCGATACCCCTCGCGACGTGGGGGTGCGGGTGGGGGTGCGGTGCTGCCGGGTAGGTGTGGGGAGAGGCGGGAGGGTGCATGGTTGGCGCTGGGTTTAGCAGCCGCCTCGCGAGGTGTTTAGCACTAATGTTTTACATGTTGTTTTCTTTTTCTTTTTCATGTGTGCCGTATAGCGCCTTTGTGGTGTGGGAACAGCCTTGTACAGAGCTGCGTGCCAACATCACTGCAAAGCTCATCAAAGCTCATCATTGTCTTGCTCTCTTGCTCCCTGCTTCCCCTCCCTCCAATCTGTTTGTCTTTACAGACGTTGCCAACGTTAAGAGCCGGGAGGCCGCTGCACTGCTTTCCTCCGCTCTCCCAGCCAAGAAGGATGCCAAGAAGGACGCCAAGAAGGGACAGAAGCGGCAGCGCAGTCCCGTAGAAGATGAAGAGAACGAGGAGGAGGAGGAGCAGCAGGAAGAGGAGGAGGAAAAGAGCGGCAGGGCGGGGCGGCGGCGCAGCAAGCGAGTGGCGACGGAGGCTTCAAAGGCCAAGGCGGGTGCGGGTAGCAAGTCAGCAGCAGCTGCTGCGAAGGGCAACGGCAAGGCTGCGCAAGGGAAGAAGGCGCCGATGGTAGTGGAGGAGGAGCCTGAGGAGGGCGAGGTTGAGGATGAGGAAGAGGAGGAGGAGGAGTCGGGCAGTGATGCTGAGGCGTCCGGGGCCGATGAAGAGGAGGAGGAGGACGAGGAGGAGGAAGAAGAGGAGGAGGACGAAGAAGAAGAGGAGGAGGAGGAGGAAGAGGTTGGCGGACGAGGGCGGCGGGCTCCCCCTAGCCGGGCCTCTACTCGGCTGCAGCGGAAGCCGGGCAGGGAGGCTCCCTCGGCACGTCGTTCCGGTCGGCTACGGAGGTTGGAGGAGGAGGAGCCGGAGGAGGAGGAGGAGGACAGCGATGAGGAAGAGGAGGAGGAGGAGGAGACCCGGCCGGCGAAGCGCACGCGTGGGGCGACTGCGGCGGCTGCGAAGGGGGTTGCGGCTGCAGCGGGTCGACAGAAGGGCAGAGCAGCGTCACGAGCAGCAGCTGTGGTCTCCTCGTCCTCTTCCTCTTCATCAGAAGACGAGGAGGAGGAGGAGGAGGAGCAAGGGCAGCGCGGGGGCCGGACTCGTGGCGGCGCTGCAGCTGCGCCCGCTGCACCTGCTGCCGCTGCCGTGACTGCTCGCGGTGCTCAGGACAAGCCGCAGACCCGCACGCGCGGTGGCAGCAGCGGCGGTGGCGCCCAGGCAGTAGCGGCTCCTGCGGCGGCAGCGGGTGCTGCTGCGGCGGCGGCGGCAGCGGTTGGCGGCAAGTCGGCTCTAGGAGCCCGGGCGGCTGCGATTCTGGAGAACCGCAAGCGAGCCCTGGCGGATTGGTCGGAGGAGAGCGAGGAGGAGGAGGAGGCTGGCGGCAGGGGTCGCTCGTCTTCGGAGGAAGAGGAGGAGAGAGAGCAGCGGCAGCCAGCGGCGGCAGGAGGGAGGAGGACGCAGGGAGCTGCGGCGGCTGCGGGGAAGCGTGGTGGGGCTGCGGCTGGCGGATCTCGGCAGCAGCAGCAGGCGGCAGCGGCTAGGGGTGCGGCTAAGAAGCCGCCGCCACGGCGGGGTATGGCACGGAGTGAGGTGGAGTATGATGTGGAGGATTTTGACGATCTGAACACTTAAGGGAGGCAGACGTATATTTGGGTGCGTGATGAACCGTGCTAGGTAGGAATAACTGTGATGATGAGGAGGATTATGCCGTTAAGGAGGTAAGGGGTAGGGACTGCAGGGTATGTAGGAAACGAGGGTGGCAATACGCATGTGGGTCGGCAATACGGACTTTGCGTGTTCGGATGCTGTGGATAGAGGGTTGCGATTCGCGTGTTGATTTGCTGACCAGTTCATAGGTCCATGACAGTACCGGGCGGTATGTGGCATTCGGAATATGGGTATGGACCTGGAAACATTGGGCTTTGTGTGCTGGCTAGTTAGTTGAGGATAGCTGTTGGTTAACAATTGTGAAGTGTGGATCGTCGGCGAAGCTTAGGTAGGTGATAGCAGTGGCGATGTGCAGCTGTGTGTGCGCACAGGAGATTAGGGCTGTCGCCACAAGAGCCGGCGGCATTATGGTTAAAGACTACTGAAAACGTACTTCATAAACGACGGTTGATTTGTTGACTTTTCCTGCATGCAAGAATTAGCTCTCAGGGCTTACTTTTGAAATCCACCCAATGGGTTTAGCAACCAGGGCCGTCATGTGCAGGCGTTAACTGGGCACTGCAGGTCTGCGGTGTACACCCAGATGGGCATCCTGTAGGGTAACGGGACGACACCAACATGCAATCCCTTCTGTATCCAAGGCAAGAGATCATGTTCACACTCGAACAGACCATACGGGCATGGTTCATGGACGAACCACGGGCTCCTCCGGGCCGTTACCAGCAATTTCCTGAGCGTCACTGTTTCTTCTTTCACCCCTTCCCCTTGAACCCCACATCGCTAACGCTAGGCAGACGAAATATGCTGGGCATCGATTCTCTGGATTACCGTTATGCTGATTTAAGGGCTTATCTTTGCCGCAAGTTACGGCATCTCTTCCGAATCATGGACCTCCAGAGCAACGTTTGCCTTGCTAGTACTATACAATCAAAATTTTAACAAGAAGCTCCTGGCGAAGGTGAGTGAGTAACCTTCTTATCTTGTGGCGCAATTACCCCTTCAAGGAAAGTCCAGTGCAAGCTATGTAGCAACAGCACCAAAGAATCTAAGATATGTCAGGTATGCGATATGGTTGGCTTGCACTAATGCTGGCACCTACTAAGCTGCTCGTCCTAGTCGTACATTGTTTAAATTCTCGGATTACAGCTGGACATGACGACCAGATCAGTTCATAGACGCCTATCCCACAAACGGCTTGTAAAGGATACTTGTGATTTTGTTTCTGTGATCCCTACACGTCCTAAATTAACAAGCTCTCCACATTTGCTCGGTTCCGTGTTACTAGCAGCGAAGGATGCAGTGCCAAGCGCAGCTACAGCGCAGTACCATTACTCTGAAGGGTTCAGCTCAAATAGTCACACAGTACTTTGAGTATGCAGTCCAAAGGTCCGTCATGCGCGCAACTTCGCGTCGTAGTGGCCTTTCGGACAACCTTCATGATTGCCGCAAACAACAGCTGATGTTTTCGTTTCTGCCCTACAGTATCCTATACCAGCGCGGTGTCTATCCTTCGGAGGACTTTAAGCAAAAGAAGGAGTATGGCATCATGCTCTGGGTCAGCAACGATGAAAGCCTAAACAAGTATCTCAGCACCATTCTTTCACAGACTAAAGGTAGGACGGCTTATCGTGGTCAAGCTGTTGCCAAGTTGCGATTTGCGGTCTGCCAAGTGCTGGATGACCGTGACATCCACAGCATGGCTCGAGACCGGTAAGCTTCGCCAGCTCGTCCTGGTCATCACCGACGTCAACACGTCTGAGGTGCTGGAGCGCTGGACCTTTGACATCGAGACGAACCAGGAGGTTGTTGCCGGCGGGTAAGTGGATACCCACTTGAGCCACTGTTTGGCAACCCCTGTTGGATTAACGCATGCCCATGTGCTCGCTTGCGGCTACGTAGGAAGCCTCCGGAGAAGGCCGAGAGCGAGATCAAGGGCGAGATTGCCGGCATTCTCCGCCAGGCAAGTACTGCTGTCACCACACCTGCAGCAACTGCTGATTTCGCGCCAACGTGACGTCGTTTCATGCAGATCTGCGCAAGCGTCTCATTCCTGCCTCTCCTGGACACGCGTTGTAAGTAACGCAAGGGTGCTGTTGGCTTGAGCCTTGACGTCCTTGCCCCTGTCGTAAAAGTCACCCATGCTTTACCTCACCATTTGCATGTTGACATGACGGCGCTGTAACGCAGGCTCGATCGACATCCTGGTGTACACGGACAACATTGACGAAGTTCCAACTGAGTGGTAGGTACCTACCAGCAAAACTAGCACACATACGGGACGCGAGCTCCAGCAGGGTGCCTACCGCTTGCAACACTTATATTTTCAAAGTCATTTCTGCATTTGGGTAGCGCCGCTAGCGCCCATTCGTCGCCTATTGCATGCAGAATCACGAACATGAGTATAACTGTAGTGCCTTCTCTGGCATGCAGGGAGGATAGTGACGCGCGCAATATTAAAAACGCTGAGGTCGTCAACCTGCGAGCCTTCAGCACGAAGGTACGGTAGGGCGCGTCGATTGTGCTGTCCCATGACCACTTGGTTTGACATGTCGTTCGCCTGCGTCTCCTCCTTCAGGTGCACAACGTCAAAACCATGGTGGCCTACAAGTCGGAGGACATGCTGTGAGCCTAGGGTGTCCTGCGTGCTACAGCTTTGCCGCTGTGCTGCTTCTGCTGGTGTCCCAAGTGGTCTTGCTACACGGCACGCCTCAACGTACAGTCGGAGTTCCCCGTGTGTAGAGCATGGATGCGCGCTGCTGCTATCGGCGGATGCGCGATCGCTGTATCCTATTCTGGTTATATAGTCAGCTACGTCTCTGTAGACTACGTAACATCTCAACGACTTGGTGACAACAAATGTATGTGCATTGACGTACAACCCAACCTGCATTCGGACGCTAACTATGTACTTATCTACGCTTGGTGCATGTGCTTCGTTTCTTGACAGGGCAACAATAACATTATGACCCAAATGCAATGGATGGCTTAATGGCGAGGAGAGTAGCTGTGATGAGCGCGGGGAGTGGGCAGTGATGCTGGGTATGCAGGTTCGTGCTGAGCTGCAATGTGGGGTTGACAATGCCGCTTACCAACATGAGTAAACGGCGAATTACTGCAAATCTTTCGAAGATTGCGCGACATGGGAGGATAGAATCTCGCAGTCTTTGTTACTGCTTGTCCCACCCTGAGCTAAATGTAAGGTTCCATGAAAGAAATGACGGTCATACGTCAAAGCTGCCTACCATGCCTATGCATGGATCTACTTGCACAGGGTGTGAAAAAAGGAAAATGCCAACCTGGCACTGGCTTGGCAATTAGCATCACAACGGGGAGCACACCGACTGGCAGCCCACAGCAAAGCATAACGCGCTACTTCATTACATGTCTTCCACGCAACCTACTGCACACGACCAAAACAACGCTTAATGGTACATGCTCTATACAGCAAACAGCTCATGCCGCTACACCGTTTGCCTGCCAGTGTTGCCTGGCATGTTTCCTTGTCTCTTCTGAACTCGTCCTCGGAGAATGATAACCCTATTGTGTAGCACCCATCACCGGCGTAAGTGGATCATCCATAGCACCTGATGCGGTCCGTGCAGCCTTTTGCAGTTGACTGTGGGTTTCCAAAGCGGCCGCCTTTAGCAAGGTACTGCTGGTGATAGTCCTCTGCGCGGAAGGCGGGAAACACCACAACTTTAGCCCAGGATCCTGGCATCCAGCACGTGGGGCTCATGGGTCACACTGCCGCTCCCCTTTGCAAACCGTGTTATACAGAGCTCGCCACGCCCCACTACCCGGCCACTGTAGGTGTATTGTAACTGTCAATTGTAGGATTATCAAATAACGAGAAACCGAGGCGTCGCCCCGTTACCCTGGATGTATGGATCCCTACCTGCAATGAAGTAGTCCCCCGCTGGCTGCAGTTCCACCACCACCCGGTCGCCCGCCCAGCCAGATGGTGCCGACCCCGACCGCAGCCTCTGGTTCTCCGCCTCAATCCGGGCAGCAGCAGCCTTCTGCTGCTCTGCGTCGTGGTAGTAGATGGCCGAGCGGTACTGTGTCCCGCGGTCATTGCCCTGGCGGTGGAGGGTGGTCGGGTCGATCCGACCGAAAAAGGTATCTAGCAGCTGCTCGTACGAGCATTCCTTGGGGTCGTAGGTGCATTGTACAGCCTCCGCATGACCGGTGCGGCCGCTGCAGACCGAGTCGTAGGTTGGTTTGGGATCGGGGCCGCCCGTGTAACCCACGCTTGTGGAGGTTACGCCTGGCACCCGCTGGTAAGCTAGCTCCAGTCCCCAGAAGCATCCGCCTAAGAAGTATGGGGCAAACCATCATAAATCTATTGATCCGGGCTAGCAATTAGGGAACTTCAGTAAATAGGCAAGGAAGGCTCGTTAGTCATACCACATTTCTGGCCATTGATTTAGGCCCCAATATAAATAGTTAATCACCATATTTACAAGTACGCTTCTCACTCGGACAAAGTAACTGGCTTCGGCATTGCAGGGCGAAATACCAAGCCCAGGCCACACAGCCAGGTTAATCGGTCTCAATTGAAGCATTTACGTATGTGGCGACATACAAAGTACGGGTACTCGGCAGTAGGGCAAAGGACAGGTCGCGCGTTGCGCATCGTGACGCGTACCTGCAAATGTTGCAAGCTTGAGCCCCGATGGAGCTTCCTTTGGAGCAAGCTTGCATGCTTCTTGCTTTGTAAACAGATTTCCAAACCCAAATAGTCCCATAGTTTGCAGTCGTGGGCTTCTAGAAGCAATTACGGGGCGACAGGTGCGGGTACCACTTCGCAGTGACTGCATTGAAGGCTTTCCAAAGTGTATATGGGATATTGCAGCGAGCGGCAGGTTCAACGGCCGTGGTAATCCTGTAACATGCCACGTCCTGACGTGTGTGATATCCGTATGGCTATCATTGCACGCGTGTGCGCCACAAAGATTGGGGCCCTTGTAGACAGGTTTCGGGGCGCAATCTCGGAGCGCAATCCCCGCCTGTGAGTGGTTAAGCACGTGGACAGTGGACTAGTAACCTATAGGTCTGTACCGGGTTACCGGCACTGTCCTATCAACAGGCGTCAGGACGAGCACGTGCGGACACGTTGACAGACGGCAAGGGATGGCTTCACACAAGATTAGCGGTTAACAGTGGCAACGGAAAGGGCGCCTGAACTCCTTGCCCTCACCCATTGCTCTGGACATGCGTAGCAGAGCAGGTGATGGCAGCACCGGGGCTGGTGAGCAGCACTCTTGCCTTTCGCTGCGTTCTACCCTAAGCCATGGAGCGCTCACCCCGACGGCGTGCTCGGGCTGCGGGAGTGACCCCCTAGGTAGTATAAATGGCTCGAACCTAGATGTTACGAACCTAGGTGATGGGATGCAGCAATGACGTACTTGCCATGCAAACTACTGCAGTGGCCAACGAGGGTTTCAGACTGGTATGCAGAGACCCAGAGAGGGTACAACTCGCGACAACATTCTCCCCATGCAGCTGTTTTGCCTACCAATGCAGCAGGTTTTGATGGTCCGTAGCGCCAAGGCTCGCTTGTGAGGCTGCATCCTCCTTGCTGAACCGAGGACCACATGCCAAACCTGGAGGTTGGAAGCAATGCCTTGACGTGCTAAGTTACCATGGACTGCCTAAACGTCTGGGCAAATATGAGGGCCTTTGGAGGCAAAATGGGGTCCTATACTCCTATTGCAGATACCTACAGTACTGCGCCCGGAATCCGTGGATCCAGTCTGATCCAGTGACGTTTTTTTCGTTACCAATCCTCTAGGTTCTATTTGTTGAAAGTCGAACATATGCGGGAACGTCTTCAAAGCTTTGCCTACTTTGCACCTGGAAACGCTGGGCACAATTAACCGAGCTCGTTCTCATAGTGTCACCCCACTGCATTCCTTAACCGCCTAGCTTTGTTTCTTACAAAAAATTTGTAATCTTGGTATTGCCCTATTCGAACGTACATGATGAACCTCGGTCAACCCAGTACCGGTCCACTGGCACCATCTGCTTTGGGCGGCCAAGCAGGCAACCAACAGCCGCAAAAGCCTCGTAGGAGAGTGCTTACGTCCTTAGGATTCCAAATATTTATCTTCTTCGGCGGGTGGTGGGATGTGGCATACTACATCCTTAACATCCTTGTGTTCGTGTACAAAGGTAAGCAATGCTAGGGCCCCAAATTGCGGCACGGACTAATCCTTATGCGGCAATCCCAGCTTAACCCCTTGGTGATACGCCCGCTGTCTTGCCAATCACAGGTCTGCAGCTGCCCTACCCAAACCGCAACTTCAGTATGGAGTTTTGCTTCTCATGGTTATGGATCCTCATAGAAGCCCCACGCTTATTCCTCGGTAGGTGTCTTTCGGCATAATCCAGTGCAGCAAGGCTGTGGCAATTCCAGTACTGCCTTGACAGCACATGTCCGCTACTTTATGCTTCATGAACCGCAGCCTCCAAGGGCAACAAGACAGAACGCGCAGCACCTATCATATTCAGCACCATTCTCGCGATGCCCCTTCTGGCGATGTACATCTACTTCGTCGGCTTCCAAACATACGTGTAAGACTGCCTGGCAGCACTTTCTATGAGCAGGTGTGCGTGTTGTACCAAGCGCTCATCCTGACACCCCGTTTGGCCTGATGTGCAGGTTGAAGATCGACCAGATCCTAAATGCCATCTCCATCATCTTCATGGGGATACAGGTGCGTCCGCATTGCACGCCTCATGAGTCAAGTCCCTAACCTGTGCACGCACGCCTAGGGCCCATCAATTGCTCGGGACTGATTGACTGCCAACCTCGCCCATACGAGAACTGCGACTGACGCGCTGGTGATGCCGACCCGTTTCCTTTCCTCCCCCTTTACATGCCCTTGCGCAGCTGCTGTTCTCAGTCCTGGTCACCGTGCGGTTCATCATGGCAACGCGTTTCACCTAGCATAGCGCGACGCCCCCCCTACACGCCGCTAGCTGTATAGCCCAACCAGCAAGCTCACTAGCTCATGCGGCTTCCACCTGGGACCGGCGACCCCCATGTTCTCCGACCTCCAAGGGGAACCGCACACGGCGTAGCATGGTAGGGGTGGCGAGCCACCCTGCGAGGCGACGGCAGCAACAGAGCAGCATCACATCGACATGCAAGGATGGGCCCGGAGAGCACTCCATCGGAAGCACCGCGTCTATCGTTGTCATTGCCTGCGGAAAGCCTCGAGGCCCGCGAGCTTGTGTATGTGGTGGCTACGGCGCTCTGTCCGGGTGCGCCTGTGTGCTATGGCCGCGGTCCCACGCCTCCGGCCCTGTCGTACACCTCCTGCGCCACTGCTCGCGCCAGCTCGTCAGCCTGCTGCTGCGTGGCGGCCTCCGCATACACACGGACGGCGTCTTCAGTGCCGGAGGGTCGCGCGAAGGCCCTAGGCGGGAGCGGAGGTGGTAGCAAGGCGAAGCGGGGATGGGAAAGCAGGCCAGACATAGATTTAGGCGTTTGGGTTGGGTTGCGTCCGGGCGCTGTGGTGGTGCTGGGGTGTATCGGGGTCGCTAATGGGTTTGCGGATGGCTATTCCTGTCCGTTGCTTGCAGCTAAGAAAGTGCGAGAGGACATGGCAAGGTGATGGCTGCGAGCAAGTAACACACGAGAGACAATGTACGAGACATTAGGCTTTGTACGCTGGTACTAAGAAACACGAAGTGTCAGGCTGGTCCGTTGTTCTTGTCTTAACAGTAGGGGTGAGAAGAAAAAAAATTTGACAGTAAGAGCAAAAAGTCCGACGACCCACCCTTGACCACCCACCCACCCCCAAAGCAGCCAAAAATGGGAATTCCGTGTACGACACTGTGTAAACAGCTTTCTTATGATGTAAACAGTACCCCTAACAGTCTTCATGAAGGTCGGAGGTCATCCTTGTCATGAAACCCGCCGCAAGGACAATCCGGGCACTTCCACTTAGCTACCCGCTTTGGCCTGTCTGCATGCTGTTGCTGACATTTTCCCACATGTTTCTCAAAATTGGCTTTGCTGCCCGGCGGAAAGAACTAGGAGCAGGTCGGTCAAGATTGCCCGGCTGTGCCGATATCTGCTTCTGAGACATCTTGGGTGCTTGTAGCAATGATTTAAGCAAATATTTCAACGCTAGTTGCAGAAGCAGAAACAGCCTTCGACCGGGTGGTTCACAATTGCCAGGTCTGGGATGGCATCGACAACTATGCGCTCGTATACTAAATGTATATGGAGGATAGGTGCGTAAATCAATAGAACTATGTAAGCCAAGCGTAAATATAGCAATTTTACAAAGAAATTCGCAGTCAGAAAAAAGTTGGAAAAAAGTTGACCGGCCCCGGGACCACCCCACACCCCACACCCCAAGAGCACCCTCGAAATCGACGGGAAATAGATTAAAAGGGCTATTCCCCACATCCTCTATACGTATAGCAGTGTTTGGGATCAGTTTACCTCATACCCCCAAAAGCTGAAATTTTTCACCCCTCCTGGTCTTAACTACTGTTTTTATTGCCACATGTAAGATTCAGTTGTTGCGCATCTCATGCCGGCGCATGCGTCCAGCGTGTTTTCTATGAAAAGCCACCTGCTAGGCTGCTACCATGCCCTCTCACCTGCCCTTGGGGAAGCCGCTCACTGCCCGGTCAATGGCCTGCTGTAGGCCGGCCGGCGTGACGCACACGCGCTCCGCATCTGCGGTGGTGATGCTGCTGCGGTCCGCCACCTTGAGCTTCAGCTGGCGGCTGGGCAGGTCGGTGTACAGCGCCTGCCAGTCCGCCAGCGTCCAGCCCTTGCGCCTGTGGGAGGGGGGCGGTGGTGGTGTAAGGTCTGGGCTGAACAGGGGATATACGGCACTGTGGATGTTGTTCAGGTGTTGCCACGGCGCTCGGGTGACCTGCTGTAATCGAGCCCCATGTACACTGTAGACTGATGTACATGTAGGCAGTCCGGTTGCTGTTACGAGGAGCTCTGGTCTTATCCAGCTCTGCTCCAGCTCAGCAAGCCGGGACACCCAATGACGGGCGCGGATGCAGTGGGCGGCAGCAGCAGCGCTCCCAGCTCTGCACCCAGGGTACGGCACTCCCTGCTTGCACCGCACCCCCCCCCCCCCATATCAGTAACGCTACCCCCTTGGACGCTGCACCCTGGCCCCCACCTGAGTATGAGCTCCACCAGCAGCAGCCCGCTGATGGCGTCCCCCACCGTCTGGTTGATCAGACGCGACAGCGCCAGCAGCTCCCGGGCGGCAGGTAGCTCGGCCGCCTGCGGGGCAGCAGAGGAGAGAGCAGCAGAGGAGTGCATGCTCGGTTAGCACAGCTGCAGACACACACACGCGCGCATGCGCAGCGGTAGCAGCAGCAGCAGCAACACAGAGAGCACTCGCACCCAAGGAGACCCAACCAGTGCCCACCAACCCCACCTCAGCCATAGTAGCCCCGAACTGGAACAGCCGTAAAATGTATACATGATACAGGCATAGCTGGATACCTCACGCGACCCCCTCTGCTGTGGTACCATTAACACCAGATACCAAAACCGCCGCCCCTGTGTCCCTCTCACCGCTTCCAGTCGCCGCCGCAGCTGCTGCGAGAACAGCACGGTGCCGTGTCCGTTGGACTCGAAGTACACACCCAGGTCCGCCTCATGCGCCGCCTCGTGAAGGTACTTGACACCTACCGCAGCAGCAACAGGAGCAGCAGCAGCAGGGGCCCGCAAACACAGAAGGTTGCTCGCAAAGCGGCGCTCGCGAAGTAGCGGTAAGAACAACGCGAGCAGGGCAGCAGCGCCCGCGTGGCCCGAGTACGGCCATAGAAGTACAGCGTCTGGACAGCACCCGCAGCCGAAGCAGCATGCACCCAAACAGCCAGCCTGTGTGCCGAAACTTGTATCCCTAAATTCCCTATCATTCCCCACCTGTTGGTGTGCACACCGCCGGCAGCTGCAGCACCTCCCGCAGGAAGGCCGTGGAGGCGCCGTTGGCGTAGGCCGTCTGCACGCAGCACACCTGCCGCCGAGGTGGGGGTAAAGGAGAGGGGTAGCGTCAAGCAACAGCTCGTCTACGGTAGGAGGGGAGGAGAACGACCTGTCCACATATTAAACGTTTTCAGCCTTCCTGGCTTGGGGCCGGCTGTAACTCGCGTGTCCCTTCGTTGGCAGGCAGGGGGCAGCAGTCCCAGTCCCCCCAAACCCACACACAACACCACACTCCAAACACAACCTTCCCCTCCGCCCACCCACACGCCCGCACCTTGACTCCCTCCAGCAGCTGCTGCGGCAGCTGGGCCATGAGGTCGCGTATGAACACCGCTGCCAGCAGCGCGATCTTGTCACCATCTAGCAGCATTATTCCAGCGCCGCAGCTGCTGCTGCTGGCTCCAACACCCTCCGTCGTCGTTGCTGCTGCTGCTGCTGGGGCCCCGGATGCGGGCTGGGGGCTGAAGTAGACCAGCCGGTCCGCATCGCCATCAATGCTGCAACACCTGAGGGTATATGAAGAGAAGGACGTCGAAGCAAGCGGGACGCTGTACGTGACGGTGTAGGCAAGTTCAAGGGAGAAGCAGCTGCTGTCATGAACACACTCGCACCTGGCCAACCCACATCCCCACCTCCTAACCTGCACTACTACTACACGAGTTCACGATCCCGTCCGCAAGAACCCTGAGCCCTAGCCGATAACCCCAGAAGGAAGCCTCCAAGCCCGCCCAGCCCGCCCGCCCTCCAGCCTGCTTACTGTGCGCCAGCTGGCACGTCTTCGAACCCCGCGGGCGGCAGCCGCTCCTTCTGCACAAAGTCCGCCCCGCACTTGTGGTTCAGCTGCCCGCCGCCCGCCGCCTCGCCCGAGTTCCGAAGCTGCAGCTCTATGCCCACCGCCTGCAGCGCCGGCACCAGCCGCTGCAGCTGCCCCGCACCCACACCGTTGGCGCAGTCCACGAACAGACGAGTCGCAGCCGCCCCGCCAGCTGCGGCGGCTCCGCTGGTAGGAGCACTGCTGCTGGTGGGGCTGCTAGCGCTGGCTGTGGTGCCTGCTAGCTGCACAAAGGCGCCTAGGATGGTGTCGAAGTAGGTTTGGAGCTGCGGCGAGGCGGGGGCGCTTGGGAGGGATGGGGCGGTGCTGCCGTCGCTGTCGCTGCTGCTGCTGCTGCCGTGGTTGGCATTGTGGACCAGGAAGTGCAGCTGTGGTGTGGTTATGCAGCCGCAAGACACCGCGTGCAGTTTGAGAGCAAGCACGCCAGCAGTGGCTGCTGCGAGCAGATGTGGCGCGCTAGGGCGGGTGTCGTAGCCTATGAGCACTGTTAGGTGCTGCTGGGCGCTTAGGTTTGCTTGCCCGAACACGCGATCCCGCAGCACGGCAACGACAGCTTCGTCGTCCTGGCAGTTGGCCAGCTCAGCGGCCACCGGCTCGAAGCTCTGAGGCATCATGTTGCCGTCGGGATCCACCATTTTCACGCCGTTGTCTTCCACGGGGTTGTGTGAGGCAGTGATCATGATGCCGGTATGGGCACCCAGCAGCAGGGCTCGTGCAGCTGCCAGTAACCCACATCGGAATACTGTGGAGGCCAGGAGGTCCGCATTCGCGCGGAATCCTGCAGTGCCGTAGGAAGGATGGAAGTCGACGGGCTTTACATAGGCCGAAGAGGCCGCTCTAACGCTATCGGCATCAAACGTCATTTTTAGGTGTACACATGAGTTGTGAGTTGGCGTTGTCAATTCTTTGAACGTCCCATATGCATACGGCAACGGCGTGGAATGCAAGCGTACCAACTTGCAAGCGAGCTTGCCAGTACCAATTTTGCAACTGCAATGCTTCATATTGTGCAAATAAATACAGTGTAGTTTTACGCTATTATCTTGGGAGCTAGTGGTTGTGGACGGAATGCAGTCCACCCTGGGGCAACGCGCCCCCTTTTCGGGAGGACTAGCATTAGGTAGCGCAACCCATAGTCGAAAATTAAGCACTCCTCTCTGTCGGCGTCAAAGTGTTTGCGTGGAAGCGCAGCTACGACATTGCGCCGGCGCTAGTGTGGCACCCTGCACCGGTGAGCTCGATCTCCTTGAAGCGTTTGCAATTCACCTCAATTACCGACATACTTTCGCGATCTCGCAGCCTTTGGGCCAGCATCGCCGTTGCAGAGGAGGCCGACCCTCCCGACCCAACGGGTGCGGACCGCTGCGCACCTCTGCGCATCGGTCATCATACATGAAATTGACAGCGTGTGTACTATTGCAGAAACTCGTTGTAACGTCCTCACAAAGCGGCGGCAAGGCGGAGGATGTAGAGAAGCAGGACTGGAAATTCGGGCGAAATGAGGGGCCAATGTCCTGGCCCTGGAAACTCATGTGCGCCATCCTGTACATGCTGCCGTGGGTGGACGTTACAGAAAAGACCGTTTACTTTGTTGAGCGCTTTCCGGCGTTCGTATGGACGGAGTACTTCTCGGGTAAGCATGCCCGCAGGCAATACCTTGACCACCACCCTAGCTCCCCGGTTGCAGCCAACCACCTCGCCTCGCCTCTGCAGAGCCCTTTGAGCACTGGTACAACATCCACGAGTACGCACCGCTCTTTATCTTCTTCGCGACCTACCTGGGCATTGTGCGCAACAAGAAGATTCCACATGTCGCCCGCTACCACGTGATGATGGTAAGCCCAGCAGGATCCCTCCTCCTGGGGCACAAAGGCCGGAGGATAACGGACTGCCCTAGAGCTTAGGAGCCAGCTTCCTGTAAACACCACCAGCATTACCGTAGTCAATGTAAGGGCTTCACTCCCTCCCGTTTCATCTTCCCCAAAGCCCACCCTTGAGGTGCCATTCTCCCCCACTCGCCTCTCTCACACGCACTTCCCTTCTCTCCCCTGTTACCCTTCAAACCGCCCCTCCCCACCACCACCCCGGGTTGGGATTCGCGATTGGGACTTCGTTGCTGCAGGTATTATTTCCCCACCCCCCTTCCCGCCCCCCACCCCGCCCCTCCCTAGGGTGTGATGCTGGACATCGTGGCCATGATCCTGATCGTGACGGAGGAGAACCTGCCCACCGGGGTGCTGTGGACGCCCTGGTCGGACCTCTTTTACGCGCTCATGTTCTGGTTCGTGTTCCTGCTGGTGGTCTACTGCCTCTTCTTCTGCTTCCTGTGAGCGCGACTGGGGGGCAGGGGGAAGGAGGAGGAGGAGGAGGAGGAAGGGGCGTGCTTAAGGGGGTGGGAGGCCGGGGATAAGGCGCGGACACCGGTTGGGGGAGTTGGCTGGAGGGGTACAAGGAGGGCAGACAGGGCGGGGGAGGTGAGGGGGCAGGTGGGCCTGTCGGGTCCTTTGGGATGTCTTGTCAGATCCCATCCCTTTTAAAAGTGATGGATTCCGACGCGGATGGTCCAATCCTTGACACGATAACGCATGCTGAAACCCCTGCCCCGTCCCCCGACTCCCTTCCCCCCTCCCCTCCCCTCGCCTCCCCCCCAGCGGCTGGTACTGCGAGATCCCGCTCATCTCGGAGGGCGTCTACCTGCAGATCGAGCAGGCGGAGCAGCTGGGCGCGTAAAAGAAGCAGCGGGAGCTGGCAGGGGGGGAGCAGGAGGCGGGGCTCAGCTGCGGAAGGGAGAGGGAGGAGCAAGGGGAGAGCAGGAGAAGGGATAGGGAAGGGAAAAGAGCAGGGTCTGGGTGGGCTCATTCGGGCGCTTGGGTGAGGTGGTGGGAGGAGGTGTGATGAGGGGCAACCGGAGGGCCGGCAGCGGCTGCTTGCCGGGAGCATGCGAGGAGGGCAGCTGCGGAGCAGGAGGAGGAGGAGGAGGAGGTGGCGGGTGCTGCCAGCGGCAGCAAAAAGCAGCAGGAGGAGCGAGGCCAGCGCAGCAGATCAGAGCTGCAGTGTGGCAAGGAGCACAACAGGTGCACAGGAGGAGGAGGAGGAGGGGGAGGGCGGTTAGCCCCCCGGCACCGGTTTCATGCGGGGCGGGGCGGGGCTTCAGGCGTTACGCAGCTTTATGTGCTCCGCTGTTGCGGTGCCGGGTGGTGCGATGGCGCCTGCTGTCGGTGCTGGCCTGGCTGCGCCGCAGCCCTTGGCACGTGGGCCTCACCGGGGGGGGGCGCCTGGCGGGTGCCTCCAAGCGATAACGGAGGGGTCCTGCCAGACACCTCTTGTCGCTGCACAAGGGGCGTTTGGTGTGTGCGCGCGTGTGGCCGCCAGCGCTAGTGCTGCTGCTGTGAGGCCGCCTGATGAGAAGCTTCCCGTACGTCCGGTCCGCACACCTCCCTCGGTTTTTGCTTCTTGAGATACGTTTCTTGGGCTACGTTGCACATGAAGCATATGGGCTTCAGCGGCGGCGTTTCGCTCGAGTTGGGGTCATGCGGCGGTGCTGGGGTAGCTGGGGTGGTAGTGGCGCTACAGCGTGGGTAGCGGGCAGTGGGTAGCGGACAGTGGGCGGTTGCTGCGTTGGAGCGGGGTGCATGGTTGGACCGGGGGGGGGGGGTAGCTTGAATAAGGCTGCGGCGCACCGCAAGTCGGCATGCGTTCTCGCCCCCGGAAGGTCTGGGGCGGGGGTTGCAAGGCTTGCACCTTTCGTTGATATGAGGGGCGTGATATGAGATGGGCTGGTCCAGGGATGTGGCCCTCAGCTGTCATGGTGCTTACCACAGCTTACAAGCAGCAGCTTTCTTGCATTGAAGGCTATATGACTGATGTGCGGACGAGTGGCTTACCGGTACTTAACTCGTGTCTTGCTTAATGTGGGAGCTGGGACGTGCCGACACCGGTTGTGGGTTGTCAGCGCATATAACACAGGTTCAGGCACGTGCTTCCACTGTTGTTGCTACAAGTCTGTTCAAAGCGAGCGAAGTCAAATTATGCCGGACGATGCATGTCTCCGACATTATATGCCCCTGACAGCGATCTCCTGCAATGCGCTCGACAATCTTTGCTGCTAAGATGTCAGTAACCGCCATCCTCGATGGGACCTACAACTGCCGTACAAAAATAACCTAGACCACGCAAAACACACATAACCTAGACCACGCAAAACATTTCCTCAAGGCAGTCGGTAGGCACGCACCCGATGTGCATCCCTACACCATATACCCATATGCACTCTTTCCTCTCACAAGCACCTGTTTCCTCCTACATGCACCTGTGTCAACTCGGCCTCAGTCCGGTTCCAGGCATCCTAGTCTACAAGCAAGCTACCAGAGTAGCCCTTCCGCACAGGCTCTACAAGTCATTCCGACCCCTGTTATCGAGATTTCATAAAGGTGTAACTGCTGCTGTCCGTATTCGAATGTAAACCCAGGTCACGCTCCCACCACGCTCCCACGCTCATGTCCCTCTTCCCTCGCAGGCCTCTGCAATACTTGGCTGGTGCGCAACCACGATGTGTGATGCCTGCATACCGAATGCCCAATGGAATCACCGTCAAAGCCCCTGCGCAGTTCATATTCGCTGCACCCCCCATCAGCACCTCCCTCTCCAGCGCACCCACGAATCTTGCCAAACCAGTGTCGCCACCATCTGGGTCCGACCCACATCACCTTAAGACGCCCCAGCGAAGGATACATCAACGCCGCGACCGTTGACGATGTTGCTGTACGACGTGGGGCGTGACCACGGGTGTCGGTGGCTTAGGCCAACACGGCGAGGCCAACACGTGCTGTCGCCACGTGGCAGCCCAGGTGCACCAAGATGCAGGTGAGTTAGAAGCTGCAGCTATGGGAAGCACGATCGGGCGACCCGTTTCGCACAGGCGTCGCCGGGTCACTATAGTCTGGAGGAGCGTCGCCTTGTGCAGAGCTGGCAAGGTACTTGGCAGGGAGGTGTAGGACCGCAACCGATGGGCAGGAAGCCACGACACGTCATGACGCGTTGGTGTAGCCCGGTTCAGCAACAGGACTAGGATACAGATGCCGACTAGAAGTGTCTTTCATTGCGTTGACGCTGGCGCTGTCGTGGTGGATGTCGGGGTTGTTCCATCGGATAGCGTTGGCGGAGGCGTTGTCCGTGGTAGATGGCATCGCTCGTCGTAGAGCAGGGAGTCTGCAACGTGCTCCTGATCCTCATCGTTCTTACGCGCCGCATACTCCTTCCACCAACTGCGGGAGGGATGTGCCATGGCCATGGCAAGGGTCAAAGTCACAAGCGGTTAAGGTTCAGCAGTTAGTCCCTTTCAGAGTCCTCCGTCTTAGTTAAGTGACAAGGCGTAACGGCAAACCAAACTCCCGTCTGTGTTAACCCTACCTGCTCAGCGATTTGTCAAGCTGGGCGTGCTTCTCAGCTTCCGTAAGCTCGCCACGAATCGCCCTTAGGACATGATCAGGAAGCACAGGCTTGGACGGCTCGGCCATCTTGAGAAGCTTGTCAACCTACGCCTCCAGGTGTTGTGACTCTTCCGCAGATTATGAAATCTGGGAATTGACGATGAAATATGTAACCATAATCACACACGCGCTATGGCACAGAGTACCACCGCACGATCTCCATGTATAATGACGGACAAACTTCTCGTAAGAACCGTACGGAAATCGGCGCAGTGTGTCATGCTTTCTTCCATAGAAAAGTATAGCCCCCGAACATATTAATGCCCCGATAGCACAGCCATGGACCCCGCTGATCGCCGTATCATCTGCAAAGTGTACGTGGTGCATCCTCACGTTGTTGCGTTGTTGTCGCATACTGTTCCGGATTCAGTTACGTGTGGCTTTTACTGCCGGCCTCAAAGGTCTTGATGTAAATGTCAGGCAGTTATACAAGCACCCTTCTGCCCCGCCTTCCCATCCACAGATGCCTGCGCCAGTACGCGCGCTACACCTGCCCGCGCTGCAACATAGGCTACTGCTCCCTGCCGTGCTACAAACAACATGGCGAGCGCTGCACGGAATCTTTCTACAGGTACGGCTTGCCTGCGACCACTGCCCTGACTCGCTTCTAGCGCCCGGCCCCGAGATACTCCTAACAACCCTCTCCACCACAAACCCTCCTTCCCTCCCAATGCCCGCTTCCCACTTCCCAACCCCATCTGCCATCCTTACCATCCTCTAACAGGGAGCAGGCGGTGGGTCAGCTGCAGAGTGTTCGTGCAGACGCCGACCAGCGGCGGCGCATGGCTGAGATCCTGCTGCGGGTGCAGCAGCAGCAGCAGGAGGACCTGGAGGCGCAGCAGCCGCTGCTGGAGGAGCTGATGGGCACGAGGGGGAGGGGGCTGGAGGGGAGTAGCAGGGGGAGGGGGCGGAGGGGAGAGGGCGGCTTGGTGGGGCTGGAGGATGGGGAAGACGGGGAGGAGGAGGATGGCTGGGATGGGGAGGAGGAGCAGGAGGAGCTGGAGGAGGTGGAGAGCGAAGGGGATCAGGATGAGGAGGGTGGGGAAGGAGAAGGAGCAGGGGGAGAAGAAGGAGGAGGAGGCGGTCTGGGTCCGCTAGCCGGGCTGCTGAGTGAGGAGACGCTGGAGCGGCTGCTGCGGAAGGTGCGGGGGTTTGTGTGGGGGGAGGGGGGAAGGGGGAAGGGATAGATACCTATTCCACCTGCTTGCTCTTGTTTTCCGCTCAACTACACACACTCTGGATGCAGGCGCTGCTCGGGAGGACCTGGGTGCCCCCCGCGGGTCAGTGTGGGGGCACTGCCGGTGGGGGGGCACTGCCGGTGGGGGGGCACATCGCCCTGCCCCTGCGGGTCGCACCCTCACACCTCAACGTCACACCTCCGCCGCTCCACCCTTCCACCGCTTGTATCGTCCATGCTGGCCTTCCCTCTTTCCTAACCGCCGTCCCCTTCCCCTCCCCTCGCCTCAGGCCTCTCTGCACGCGGGTGCGGAGGAGGAGTGGGAGGTGGAGGAGGGCGACCTGAGGCCGGAGGAGTGGGCGGCATTCCAGCGCGCCGTGGCACTGGGGCAGGTGGGAGGTGGTGCTGGGGGGCAGAGGGCAGGGGGCAGAGAGCGGGGATTAGATGGACTGAGCCGCGGAAACACTGACCCTGACCGAGGGCGGGGAGGGTAACATGGAAAAACCTATTGACCTGCAGGACAGGGACGGGCAGGTGGGAGAAGGCGCACCCCACAGCGGGGTTGCTAGTCAAAGGCGGGAGTGCGCAGCGCGAGGAAGCCCTTGTGGGACAGCCCTGTGCATTGCTGGACACGCGATTACGGGGTCATTGGTTACGGCAGGCAGCATTCACTCATGCGCTCGACCCAAGGTTGGTGCGTTACCCCCGCACTCGCCCTCCTGCTGCCCCACCCCACCCCACCACCACCACCCCTCTCCCCCTCTTCCCCCCAGCTGGGCGGCCCCCCCTCCCGGCCGCCCCCCTGGCGCCCCTGGTGGACCCGCGGGGAGGCGCGCGAGCTCAGCCTCACTCCCGCGGGGCAGCGCAGGGTGGCACCGCTGGACCGGCAGCCCCGGCAGCAGCAGCAGCGGGAGGAGCAGGAGGGGCGGCAAGGGGGGGAGGGGCAGGGTAATGCGGAGGGGGCAGTGGTTGCCGACAACAGCAGCGGGAATGGAACCCCTGACGGAGGTGAGAGGGGTGACGGCAGCGGCAGCGCGCTTCTGCCGGAGCCGCCGGAGGAGCCGCTGCCGCCGCTGACGGCGCTCACTCGTACGGCGCCCTCGCCGCTGCTGACGTGGCACCTGACGGAGGTGCTGTACGGCTACTGCCTGCTAATGCGGCGGTACGATGGAGACTGGAGTCGCGACGCGGGGGCAGCGGCGGCGCTGCTGCTGTGTCTCACGGACGTCCTGGCGCCGCCGCCGGCATCATCCCTGTCTGCATGCAGCCGCCGTCGCCGCCGTGGGGGTCACAGATCCGCTGCCGGTACGACAATGACAAAGCCGGCGGCGACGGCGGCAGCGGCGGCGGACAAGGCCGCCGGGAAGGCAGCTGTTAGTGGTGGTGCTGGCGGTGGTAACAGACTGAAGCCAGAGGAGGGAAGGGAAGGAGGGCATGGGAAAGAGGAAGAGGAGGAGGAGGAGGAGGGTTCCTCGGCTCCCCGGTTGCCTGGCTCCGCCGCTGAGGCGTGTTTGCATGTGGTGGAAAGGGCGTGTGCGCCGCCCGTGGGTACGGCCAAGGTAAGCGGCCGTGTGAAAGAAGCCAAAGGCCGGAGCTGGGCGGGACTAATCATGCATCAGTTCAACAACTTACCACTGCCATCCCGAAACGCTTGGCAAGCTGGCAATGCTTTACAACACTGCTATACCACCGCTACATCACTGCACCGCCCGCCTTCCCGTCCGCCCCCACCCGTCCCTCTACCCGCCCCCTCCCCCAGGACCGCTCCTACGCCATCTCCGTACTGTACGATGTGGCCTCGCTGCTTCACAACGGCCGACCCAGCGTGCTGCTCGCACTGACGGACACGCGGAGACTCCTCCTGGCCGCCGCCGCCGCCTGCACCGCACCCCCACCGCCCCCACCTGTACGGCAGACGGTGGGAACAGCCGTCGCACGGGGGGCCGGGGGACCCGGCGGCGGTGCTGCCCTGCCCTCATCATTAACCTCATCATCATCATCGTCCTCGTCGTTGTCTCGAGCCCAACGGCTGCAGTTGACCGCCGCGGAGCGCAAGGTGTGGTTCCTGCTGGTGTGGAGCAACGGGCTGTCGGCGGGGCAGCTGGAGGCGGCGGCGGGGGAGGTGGAGGGGCAGTGGGGGCAGCAGCATGCAACGGTGGTGGCGCCGGCGGGGGTGCGGGTTGGGGCGGGAGCGGGAGCGGGGCTGCAGACGGGGTTTGGAGGCGAGGGAGGGGGTGCGGACGTGTTAGCAGCAGAGGGGTTGCGGGGGTTGAGGATACGGTAGTAGGGGTTGGTATGACAGGAGTTGGTTGTCGGTAGGAAGGTTGGGGAAACGGTTGACGACGTGATGTTCTCGTTAGTGGGCTGTTGGCTGCTCTGCTCGAGTCATTCATCACCGCGTTTGCGAACGCTGTGGCTGTGGAGTACGGGGGAGACGTCGGTGCTGCGGGCAATGTGGGCACCAAGCCGGGACGCGGGGAGACCACGCAGTCGCCGCTGGGCATCCTCCCGGACCCGCTGCTGCTGCTGGTGACCTACTGATGATTAGAACGTTGCTGTTACCGCCGAGATTATGTTTGTGCAATGGAGCGATTTGAGCCGACGATGCATGAATAGTCTGGCGCCACGGCACAAGGGGCACCCGAGGCAGGCGAGAGGCGAGACAAGGTGGTTGATATCCCTCCGCTCATTTACACAGGCGCTACGGCTGCCGCCAAAAACAAGCACCCATCCGCCTCCTCCACGCACACGTTCCCTCAGCTGCCAGCAGGCAACCGACAGACCAGCACAGGAGTGCACAGCAGCAGAGCACCACCACCACCACCACGCCGCATGATGCGTACACAGTCACGTCATCATGCTGCTCCACAACAGAAGCGAAACCAGTGAAGCGCTCATCAAGCCGCAGCCCTCGTCGTGCCGCCCAGCCCAGCCCAGCCCAGCCTGTTCCAGCTTGGCTAAGGCTTATTATTATCCTCTACCCTCCATCAGGGGGATGTCGTAACAACGCGTCGTCCAGTCCACCACCGGGCAGCAAATGAAGTGCACATGCGTAACGCGCTGGTGTTATCCAGCTGAGTCTATACCAGGACCTTCAAAGGTACCCGCCCACTTCGCCCTCTGCCTTCCATGTGACAACATCTCGACGTGTGCACCCGTGTTCCGATCCCGACATAGCACACATCCAACATACAGAAAGAGCTGGACACTACAAGACGCTCCGCTAACATTCCGCCTATGGAAGAACGCTTATGGAGAAAAGAAAAGAAAATGCCACATAACGACACAACCCTGGGTCTGCCACCTCTTCCCGCCATTACTCTTTGTTCGTTATCTTTGCACAATGGGCAACGTACAAGTGACGTACTGAACCATAAAACGGGACACCTCCGGTACAGAATCCGTACGACGACAAACGCAAAGCCAAAACCCCCACGTATAACCTGTCTTTGCAGCAAGGCGTCCGTAGTAAAAGCTGTCATGCAAGTAACATGAGAAACCAACGAAGAAGGAAACGAATTGAGCAATCAACATCAAAGCTGCTGCAACCACTGCCACACGTATCGTCTCGCCCTAACCAAAGCCCTAACGGCAACTCACATCTCCTGTGCGGACCGCTCCTGTACCGCTCTCCCTCCTCGGCAAGCTATTATATGTACGGTCGCCGACACTGTCCGTCTCCATAAAGCTACTTCAGCTTTGCCTTCCTCCTGCTCCTCCTAGAAACTACGACACCTGAAGCACATGCATGCCGCCAAAAGGAAATACGAAGTGACCAGGCAGACCCCACGGAATTATTAAATGCTCGGCCCGCCGTACGACCCACCGCTGTGCCGTACGACCCAGCAGCAAATATGAACTGTCCGAAGCACGCCTACCAGACGAAACAAGGAAGAAAGAAGACGCGTTGCGCAACATAAAAGACGAGCAGCCACCAGCACCATTCACAATCATCCGAGAACATCGAACATGCAGCAACCACACGAACGAACGGTCTCAGCTCTCAAGTACACCCGCAGCACACGAAGCATGCAGTACGAACAATGCTAAGTTCCATTCCCATCCTGAGTGGCACCCAGACGTCGCACTACCTACACTTGCAAGCCACACTCGGCAGGTCAGGTTAGAACGGACCAGTCTGCCAGCACACGCATGCTACTACTTCATAATCACTCCAAGAAAAACAAGAACGTACTAAAGAGCGAGCGAGAAACCTCACACCAACGCAACACGTGTCAGACAAAACATACATGCACGCATGCCGGCATGAATCGTATCAAAATACACACCGCCAAACATACAGTGGCGGCCAGTTTTCTTAACACGTGGTGTCCTATCAGTACACAGAAACACGGTGTCCTTGTCAGCGTGCTTGGGTTGTCAGGTGTACGACTCTGAACCCTCATGGTTTCATCATCAGAGCACTTGGCCCCTCTCCACGCAGCGCCTGGCGTGCGGCGACCCCCTCCACACCCCCACAACCCCTACTACGAGCGCAGGACGGTGCTCGTACGACAGCTTCCTACAGCGATGCAAAACCGCCAGGCAATTCCTCTACCTCTTACGCTATGATTAGCCTAATCCCTTCCGCCACGATGACAGCGAGGTGGCCCCAAAGCAATGCAACTCCTGCACCGCCTGCACGCGCAACACCGCAGCAGCTACCCACAACGAAAGCACTCCAGCCCTGGTCCCCCAACAACTCTGAGTCACCGTCCGCAGGCACGCATGCGCCGTCCTGTGTACACGCGCCCCTCCTAACCCGCCTGCCTGCATGACTGCTGGCATGCCTGTACCTGCCGCAAACCAATCGCCACCACCAGTTATGCTCTGCACTACAGACACGTTCGCAGCTCTACTGCTTCTAGCCTCCACAGCTAAGATCTTATGCGACAGCAAGCATCACCCAATAACCCCATCAGCATCGGCCCCGTCTAGCCGTTTTTCATGGTCATAGGACCACATGCCAGGCCTCCATGCACATAGCTCGCTAAAACAGGAGACACGGCAGCAGCAGCAGCAGCTATAGATTATCCTCCTGCCCGCCACCCTCCACCTTCAAGCAGGCCATCCACGGGCACCAGCTCATAACCCCTCAAGCCAGCTGCTAACCACCTCCGTCCATCCTGTCAACCACACCTCCTGCTTTCCTCACCCGCTTGCCTCTCGCCCCTCACACCCAATCCTCCGCCTCCTCCTCCGCCTCGCACCCAGCCAACAACATGTTTTCCCACACCACCTCCTCCAGCAGCGCCCCCACCGCCCCCGCCACCCCGCAGTGCACACAGGCACCCGCCAGCAGCTGCACCGCCCCCGCTGCTGCCACCCCACTGCCGGCCGCACCCCCCTGCTGCCCACCACCCTCCTCCTCCTCCGCCTGCTGCTGCTGCTGGTGCGGGTAGGAATGCAGGCCGGGGTCCTGCAGGTAGCCGTGCGGCTGGCAGCTGAAGCAGCAGCAGCTGCTGCCGCGCTGGCAGGAGTGACGCTCCTCCTCACTCTCCACCGCCCAGCACTCCTCCTCATCCTCGTCATGCTCTTGTTGCTGCGCCCCGGCGGCATCCCAGCTGCTTCCCCAGCCGCTGCCCCCGGCCGCTGCTGCCCTGGGCGAGCTCACCGCCTCCAGCAGCAGCACCTCGCCTCCCTCGCAGCACTCCTCCTCCTCCTCCACCCCCTCCTCGTCATCCTCCACCCCCTCCTCCTCCTCCTCCACCCCCTCCTCCTCCGCCTCCAGCGCCGCGGGCGTGTCCTGACGCAGCAGCAGCTGCAGCGGCCGCAGGGATGGGGTTGGCAGAGGAGGTGCAGGCGGAGGAGGCGACGGTGGCAGCGATGCTGGGAGCCGTACGGCAGTGCCCGCTGCGGCCGCCGGCAGCAGCCAGACAGCTGCCTCCACATCCACCTCTTCCTCCTCCTCTCCGACAAACTCTTCCGGCTGCTTCTGCTCCTCCTCTACATCCGCCTCACATGGCGCTATCGCCAGCAACTCTACCACCTCCTCCTCACATCCATCCTCCTCGCCCCTCGGCAGCCGCTCCTCCTCCTCCACCTCCTTTTTCCATTCCTCCCCCTCCCCCTCCTCCCTCTCCAGCTGCTGCACCCGCGCCCGCTCCTGCTGCATGAATGCCGCGATGGGGTCGTGCCCCCCGCACAGCGTGTTCAGGTAGTACTCGTCCAGCTCCTCATCGTCCATGGGGGGCGGCGGGCGGGCGGGGGCGGCAACCCCATCGCCCCCCTCCTGCTCCCCCTCCTGGCAGCCGCCATGCCAGCCATGCGGGTCGCCACCACCACCAGCACCACCAGGAGGGCAGGGGCTGGCGGGGCGCGGAGGCAGGAGGTGCTTCGAGGGCGGCGGGGCTCCCCCTGCTGCTCCCCCTGCTGCTGCTGTGCCCGTGATCGCTGCCATGAGATACGCGCCACCGGCCTCATCGTCACCGTCAGCTTCACAGCCAGCCGCCGCTGTTGCCAGCTGCGCAAAGGGGCTGCACCGGCGGATCCAATCGGAGCCCCCCCACCGCATGCTGCTGCTGCCGTCAGTAGCGCCATCAAAGCCGTCGTGATAGCCAAATGTCCCAGACTCCACATCTCCGCCTCCCCTGCTACCGCCCAAGCTGCCGGCCGAGCTGCTGCGGCCCGAGGTCAGCTCCAGGGGCCCCTCCCAGGCGAGGCCAAAGGGAGAGGCGGTCCCTCCGCGTGACCGAATGGGTACGGCAGAGGGTGAGGCTCCGGTGGTGGCCGCGGCGGTGGTAGTTGTCGGGGCGCCCAGGTCGATCGACGTGAAGAGGTCCCCAGAGGACAGCGAAGACGTGGGGGAAGGGCTCCTGATGAAAAAGAGGGGAGAGGATGGGCGGACGAGGAGAAGGATGAGAATACGGGTGTTCACACAATGCCGGCCGACACGGTGGCGCACTCGCGAGTTTTTTCAGTATGCATCAGAAACTTCTTCCCCAGACGAAAACGCTGCGCGCCTCTGTTCCTTCCTCACCTCATCCGGGCGCGCCAGGTATCAGGCAGGGGAGGCCGCCCCAGCGGGTCGCCCGCACGCCATAAAGCACTCTGGTTCAGGTCGTACGGCGGCCAGAGCAGGTTGTACAGCGGAGGTGATGCCGCTGCCGCCGCCGCCACTGATTTGTCTACGGCGGCGGCGGCGACTAAAGGTGTGAGCGGAGCCGGTACGGCAGAGGTGCGGAACGGAGGAGGTGGTGATGGCGGAGGCGGAGGGTGGTTAACATCCCCCAGATCGACAGTGACCAAGGGCGGGTAGGCATCGGCGGCCCCTGAGTGAGGAGCCGCGTGGAGGGGTAGGAGCGGAGGAGGGCGGTGCCTTTGGAGTGAGGGAGTGGATAGCTCCTTGCGTGGTGTCGGCGTTGTGGGCTTTGAAATACCGGTAGCTTCGGCGTAAGCGCTGCTGGTGTTGCTGCCTAGGTCGGGGGCTTTGTCGATGGCGTGGAGGTTTGGTGGGGAGCCCCGGCCACAGCGCGCAAAGGCTTCAGTTGGTAGACCGGACGTGGGGCCCACTTTGGAGACGAGGTCGCAGCTAGCAAACACCTGGCTCGATGTAGTCGCCCAAGGCTGCCTTGCCATTACGTCATCGCGCGGCGAAGATGCCAGCGGCGAGGCGAATGGGCACTGCCGGAGCATAGGTGGCGTTGTAGGCGCAAATTGTTCGTCTAGATCTAGGAACAGATCGCTCAGAGGGGCTGAGTGGGCGCGCTGAGCAGGCCATGGCGCCGAGGACCCAGCCATCGGCCCAAGCGCTACATCTGTGTACGCCGAAGAATCCTCGAGCAGCTTGAACGATGATTCCAGTATATGGATTCCGCAGTTAAGGTTGGAAGAAAACCTCCGTGCGGCCCTGCTGCATGAAACCTCGACGTCCATGCCTGCCAGGGTAACGTATCCAATGTCTGAAGTCTTTGCTCTCTTGTTCTCTATGCTGCGCACGTACACGTGCTTCGCGCCTGGCCAAGACATTGGTTCTGAAGCAGGAAACAAGCAGTTGCGAGCAGTTGCTGTAGTCGCGAGAAAGGAGCGAAGCGCAGGGCTGTTGGCATAGGAATCATCAATTGCCATAAAGCTATTGTCAAACGTTCCAATTTGTTGTGTGATGACGTGAAACTGAGTAGACTTCTGAGATGTGACTTGCAAAAAACGAGCTTTAGGAGCTTGTGTACGTTGTAACTGGTTATGCGCGAATTGACTAATTGAAATGGATATCCCTGCGCCTTTGTTGCCCTTTAGCCCCTTTTGCTTGCCGTACAAGCTGTCCCGTACGGCTGGGGCAAAGGCTGCGGCGGGTTGGTTTTCTTTTGAGCTGCATAATTCAGTATCAAGTGAGTTGATAGCTGCCGTTTGCAATTTTTATATAAGCCGAAGATGGCGTCTTTGTATGCGCCGTCCAGCAATGCCGTCTTCGCAGCTACACAAACTAGAAAAACATTAAAGTTATGCCCATTGCTACAATTAGAACGTAGACGCCCAATCCAAGGATCCGCGCCCCAAGGCGGGTCTACGCCGACTGTTCGGCAATCGCATTCATCGCCGTGCCCTCGGCGGACTTCCTCTTGCATTCGGACAGCAGCTACAGCCTCAGAATCAGCCGCTGAAGGTATTAATCTTGAAATGGGTGCAGTGGTTTCTGTGTGGGCCGCTCGAATTGTGGATCCGACCATGGCTACCTGCAATAGTCTCCCTGTCTTCCATGCAAACGGCTTCCTCGCAAATTCTAGCATCCTGATGCAATTGCATGGCGACTGCCTCGATCGCGCTTTCCTGCTGCCCCGCCGTCAGGCGACAATCCCGATGTGGCATCAACCTTCGTGCTTGGGGCGCTATTCGCTGGGTGGTACGCCGCGAACATCGCCTTCAATCTTTACAACAAGCAGGTCTTGAAAGCCTTTCCTTACCCGGTCACTGTGACGGAGGCTCAGTTCCTAGTGGGCAGCGCATTGTCAGTCCTAATGTGGATAAGCGGTATAATGAAGCCGCCACGGATTACTATGAAAACGGTGAGGACCTTGCCATGCCTGATGCTATAAGTGGATAACTCTTTCAAGGGGTCCCTTGGGAAGGTACCAGGGTCCAGGGCCAGTGCTACCAGCTCATGGCACCTCACCACACATATCCACGATGCAAGTCGCCCAGCTACATTCCATCCTGTACCCCGTTCATCACACGTAGCAACACTCTCCTGCCCAAATGCTCCATCTGTGCCTTCCCCCTTTCTGCACCGTGCTTTCTGCACCCACGCCCCCACACACAACGCTTTCTCTCCCCTCCTGTCCCCCGGCAGCTCCGAAGCGTGTTGCCGCTCGCAGTGGTGCACACGCTGGGCAACCTGCTGACCAACATGTCGCTAGGGGCGGTGGCGGTGTCCTTCACACACACCATCAAGGTAGGCGGGGCGGGCGGCTGGCGGAGGGTGGGGGGAGCGGTTGCGGGTTCGGGGTGGTGGTGTGTTGTGTGGTGGGGTTGGGCGGTGGTGGAAAATACCAGCAGCAGCGGCGCGAGGCGAGGCGAGGGAGCAGTTGCAGCGGCAGTAGCAGAGGCTCGGCGGTGCTTGGCAGGTAGCTTGGCGACGGCATTGCAGAGTGGCTGCCGGAGGAGCAGTCCTGCATGCGCCGGCGGCAGCAGCACCCGCAGCAGCCGCAGTGCGGACCAGTCTGAGGGCGGGCGTGGTGGTGCCAGGCAGCCGCCGTGCTGGCTGCTGCTGCTACTGCCGCAGCACACCGGTTGCGAGGACTCTTGCATGGGGAGCTTTGGAGCCAAGAGGGGGCTGGAGGGCCAGGGCTTTTCCAGGGCGGCGGCGGAACAGCTACGGCTGCAGGGGGGCGGGTCCGTGGGGAACCTGCGGCGGGCGGGCGAGCTGGGGGCGGGGGCAGCGTTCCAGCTGCGGCGGCGTCCGGACGGCGGCAGCAGCGGCTGGAGGAGCAGCGCAGGCAGCAGCAGTAGCAGCACATTGGTGCAAGCGCCGTCGGCAGTGCTTGACGACATCAGCAGCAGCTCGCAATGCGGTCTTCTGAGCCGAGCAGCAGCACCAGGGCGCACCAGGTGCAAACGGGCAGTAGCAGGGATCAGCGCGAACGGCAGTAGCAGGAGCGGCTACGAGCAACACGAGCGCCTGTTGACGGCTGCCGTTGTCCGCGGGTGGGGAGGGACGCAGCAGCTGGATGAAAAGCTGTAGCAGCACGGGGCTTGCCCGAGGTCCAGCGTGCGGGGCACAGGGGGGAGGCCCGGACGGGCGTGTAGGCTGCCCCTGGCGGCTGGCAGAACAGGAGAGGACTCAGCAGCTAGGGGGGCAGGCAGGCTGGGGCTGATGTGGCTGCCCGCATCCATGGGGCGTCTCCCGCTGGGGCTCGCGCGACTGCCTGCCTGGTCGCCTGCCGCATGTGCTGCGCCTGCCGCCGGCCGCGTTGGCTGGCAGGCAGCAATGCAGGCGGCAGGTCCGCTAGGGGAGTCGGACTGCGGGATGGGGGGGAAACTGAAGAGAGACGCAGAGGGCGAGGGCGATGAGGAGGGGTGTATCATCATTGGCAAGCGGCGTAGGAGGCAATGTGAAGCGGGGGAGCGCGGGTTATGAGGAGCAGCAGCGCTATGAGGGCAGCAAAGCAGCAGCAGCGGCAGCCGTGGGAGCAGCAGCAGCAGCGGCGGCGGGAGCGGCCTTCCTGTTTCCCACCCCTCTTGGTGCTGCCACGGGGGATGTGGTGAACCCGCCAACACCGCTCCCGCCCCGGGTACCGGCACCACCGCCGCTCCTGCTGCTGCTGGTGGTGCCGCTTGTGCTTACCGATGCCGGCGCTGGGGCATCCCGTCGCCCTGGGGTGCCCACTGCGGCCCCGTCTCGCCTCGCACCCTTCCCTGCCCGCGGCTTCCCCATGCCTCCCAAACCTGCCTCCGCTCCCATCCTCCACCACCCCAACCTTCCTCCTCCCTCCCTGTCTCCCCTCCTCCCTCCCTCTCTCAGGCTGGGGAGCCCTTCTTCTCCGTGTTCCTGTCCGCACTGTTCCTGGGGGACAAGCCCTCCCCCGCGGTGCTGCTCACGCTGCTGCCGGTGGTGGGGGGAGTGGCGGTGGCGTCGATGACGGAGGTACGGCAGGAGCGGGGGTGTGGGGGTAGCACGGACTGTTGTGTAGACATACCAGTCCAGCTCTCCATCATGCACTTGCATACCGTATACCGTATATGCGCGCAACCCATAACCACCACCACTGCAACCCATGCACGTGTCCATCTCCTTTCCGATCCTCCTGCTCTCACGTATTGGCCTGCCATGTCCCTCCCTGCGTACGGCACGTCACACCCGCAGGCGTCCTTCAACTGGTACGGCTTCCTCTCCGCCATGGGCTCCAACCTGACCTTCCAGTCTCGCAATGTGCTCAGCAAGAAGCTCATGCTGCGCAAGGATGAGGGCGGGCTGGACAACATCGGGCTGTTCTGCTGCATCACGATGGTTTCGGGGCTGCTGCTGCTGCCGCCCTGCCTGCTGATGGAGGGGTGGAAGATGACGCCCGCCACGTTGACACAGCTGGTAAGGGGTGGGTGGTGGGTGGGGAGGTCGTCAGTGGGGTTTTGGCAGTGGGGTAGGGGGTGCGGAAGGGGTTTGGGGTGGGTGGGTGCTGGGTGGTGGTTCGCACCCCACGCGACCTCTCCCCACCACATCCATGACCCACACCGCATCTCCCCTGCCCACCTCAACCCCACCCTCCTCCCTCCTCGACCCCTCCCACCTCATGCCTCTCCTTCCCACAGGGAGTCGCCGACCCTGCTCAGCTGCTGTGTTGGGCCGTCATGTCCGGGCTGTGCTTCCACGCCTACCAGCAGATGTCGTACATGATCCTGCAGCGCGTCAGCCCCGTCACGCACTCCATCGGCAACTGCGTGAAGCGGGTGGTGGTGATCGCCTCCTCCGTGCTCTTCTTCAAGAACCCAATCTCCATGCAGAACGCGCTAGGTGGGCTGGGGGGAGGGGAGGGAGGGGAGTGGGAAGGGGTAAAGAGGGGGGGAAGGGGACGGGAGGAGGTAACTGCGTGGGTCAAGGCATTAGGAGGTGCTTCGCTGCTGTTGCTGCTCTTGGTCGCTTGCTGTTGCCTCTTACCTGTGATTCGTCCCGCGTCTCGTTCCGATGATTCCTCCTCAGCCCCCGACCTCCCGCGGGGGTTGCTGTTCCCGTTGTCTCACTCCTCCTAATGTCTCGCGCCTCCCACCCAGGCACCGCGATCGCGCTAGCGGGTGTGTTCGCGTACGGGCAAGTGAAGCGAAAGGCGGGGATGAAAAAAGGCAAGTCAGCAAAGGCGTCAGAGTGAAGGGGGGAGGGGGCATTAGGGGTGCAACCCTTGTTTGGCACTGCTGGGGGCCGGGAGAAGGCAGAGGAGGAGGAGGAGGGAAGGAGGCGGGATGCTAGCGTCGTGGGGGCAGCAATGCCGGCGGTTCCTAACGGCTGCGTTGTTGTAGGTTGGGAAGAAGCCGGGGATTGGAAGCCGTGTTGGCTGTCGTTGTGCTGCCCAATATCAACGGCTGGCAACCCTCCCATCTGGGTACGACTGCCGAGTACAACGGGGTTCGGTATTAGGAGGAGGTGACGTATTAGGACGGGCAACCTGCCAGTAGGCGGTGGAGGAGACGGGCATGAGGAGGGTTGGACCCTAAAAGCATGGGTGAAGATGAGGACAGGAAGCAGGCCCCTCACACAGTTGGGTTGATGGCGTGTGTAAGCATAGGAGGCCTGCAGGTGCGGTGAGGAGGTTAGATTGTAGCTGCGGAGCTGTGGAAAGTAGTGGGGTTTAGGACACTCTGAATGCTGCTGGCACACATTGTCGTACTGCCTGCGGCGCTGGTTTATTGTAGTACTTGTGTTGGGGGGAAGGGTGTAATTACGTGTTGGGGAGTTTGGGATCTCGGACGGGAGCGTTCCACGCGGTTAACACGTGGTAGCGCAGCAGAGAGTGCGGTAAGCGAGCGAGGCACGAGAGGGTGCAAGCGATGAGAGATATAGGACTTTTTGGAACTGAATTAAAACTGACTAGAAGAAAGCGGAGAGTCAAGACACATGAGAGACGGATAGACGCGGAGAGAGTCATGCCTAACAATCGGACAACGTCAAATTGAGTCGCGGACACGGGTGGAGGTGGCGGGAGGTGTGGATGTGCAGCAGGCAGGCAGGCTGGCAGGGTAGCGAGCCAGGCGATGTGAGGGGGAGGTTTGAATAGCCTGGTTTGGCAGCCGTGGTGCAGGCGGTGGTGAGCATGGCTTTCCGCCGTTGGGAGGGAAGCCGCGATTTTGTGCCCTCTGCTTACAAAGGGATGTTGGGTTGGGCTGACAATGGGCTGGAAAAGGACATGCGGTCAGCCGCGTACCGAGGAGCCGTGCCTCTTGGAGGCGAGAGGTGTGGCGGTGCGTTGTTGGTTGTTTGTCGCTCTTAAAGAAAGGACAACGCCCACCAGGCTTCTCAAACAGTTGTGTTCTTCCAGGCTTGGCCACTGTATATATATTACACGCCTCGAAGGGGGAGCATAATTGTTCTTGCCCATTCACCCAAAGCTGCCGTACCCGCCTGCCGTGCAAGCACGGAAACATCGTACCGTATCCTGTAACCTTTGGATTGACAGGACTGACTCCACTGAAAGCGACATGTCGTTGCGTAAAGCGACATTTGGCTCCAGGTGCGGAACAGCGCCAAACACTGCCTGTATGTGTTCAGAGCGACAGACCCCTCGGTGCGCGCAATCAGATGTGGGTCTGAATACTGGTAAATGTGGGTATGTTGACCCAAGTCCAGGCCTCATCACATGACAGACGGAGTCCCTCCAACCTGCACTGAGGCTCCCCACAACATCGATTAACCCCAGGCACCACACCTCCTGCAGCAGCAGCAGCAGCAGCACACTGGCGCCTCCACTGCCGCAACAGCACTGCCGCAGTGTAGGATACACTATCACGAGGATATAGCAAAACTAAAAGAGTCGGGCGGCTACTCACACTTGCTGATTCATTGGTCTGCGAAACGCCTGGTTGACGTGTGTGGAAAACCCCCTGCACTCGTCTTGAATACCGTAACAGAGAACCAATTAAACCCCCCGGGAGTTCCTCCGTGGCGGGAACTCCTGCGCCCTCAGTAAAAGGTGCCATACCCCGCCCTGCCCTGCCTGGCGATCCCAACTACGTCGACCGACGAGGTCCTCTCATTCACCCGGAATCCGAGGACAAGCCCACGTCCATGCAAGCGCCCAACAGCACGAACGCTAGGAGGTGTATTCCAAAGTTCCAAACGCACACAAGCAGCTCCTCTCTCCGCACCGCCGTCCTGCCCTGCATGCATGCAGGTTGCCTCGCAAGGCAGCAATGCAGCAGCAACATGGCAGCGCCAAGGCCATGTCAGCGCGACACCTCAGGGGACCTCACCCCAAGATGTACCTCGCACCCCGCAACGTCCGAAGCCCACCGTATGAACTGCGGTGGGACAGATTAGCTGCAAAATATATCCCATGTTGCGCAACACACACACACACACACTAATGCAACACACACCGAATACACGCGTACATCCGTCGTCATAAACGGTCGCCGCGACACGTGTTTGCCGCTGCGATCGCAGAGATAATGAAAGCCTGACAGCAGCAATGAAACAGACCAACCAGCCAAGCGACCAGGCAACTCCTTCGAGACGTCGAGAAACGATATAGTGCGCTTACGACGGCCACAAATCACCCGCCTGCGTGTACTTCGCACAAACCACCGACGCTTATATACATTCCGTGCAAAATCATACGGCATCTTAACTCGCATGTTGCAAACATATCTCCAAAAGGTACCGGTAACTCAAAAATCCCTTTTCGCTCAGTATGTAATCTTCTACTTCTTTAATCGCATACCCGCCGACAAGTACGGCAATAGTAGTAGCACCCACTCCAGTTCCAAATGAAAGGCGTTGCCAACCACGCGGGCCACCGACCCATGGGTCATTCAGCGCCTCCCAGCCCGGGACTTCTTGCCCTTCTCCCTCCGCCGTGCGCCGCCCCGCACCCGCTCATCCGCGCCCCTTACCGGCGTCGTCGCCGGCCCCTCCGCCTCCACTGCCGCCGCCTCTGCTGCCGCCGCCTCCGCTGCCATTATCTCAGCCGCCAGGGCCCCCATCTGCTGCGCCTCCTCGCCCCGATCCACACTTCCGGCACTTGGCAGCTCCTCGGCAGCACCTCCGTCACCCTCCGCCTCCTCCTCCAACAACCTCACAGGCGGCCAAACGGCCATGCTCTGTACCGGACTAGGGTGGTTCAGGGACCCGCAAGACCCAAACGTCACCATTCCGCCACCCCCCGCGCCGCTGTCGCAACCAGCGCCACCGCCGCTGCCGCCGCAACCGCTGCCGCTGCTGCTGGCGGAGGCGCCGCCCGCCGCCAACGCCCCCGCCAGGCTGCCGAAGCGCCGCCGCGGCGACGAAGACGACACCGAAGGCAGCGGCTGGCTGTTGACACGCTCCAGCCCGCTGCCGCTACCGTACCAAGTGCCGTACGAGTGGGCTCCACCACCCAGCGGCGACGCGCGGAATGCTGGCATGCGGCTGCCGGCGTTGGGCACAGGTACCGGCCGGGCGCGGAGCGATGAAGATGCCGCGGAGTGGAAGTGCTGAGACAAGCAGCCTGACGGCGGCAGCGGCGGCGGCGGTGAGGCCTGCGCCGCCGCCCTCTTGTTATCCTCGTCAGCGTCGGAGTCAGCGGCGGCGACGCTGCTGAGCATCTGCAGCTGCTGGTAGCTGCTGCGGCCGTGACCGCAGCCCTCCGCCGAGGGGTCCGCCAGCAGCATCAGCATGGGGGCAGTCATGGTACGACGCATGCCGCCGCCGCGGACGGTCCCCGAGAACCTGGAGTCCTCCTGGACCGGTGCGCTGGAAGCTGAACCGACGCGGCCGCCGTCCCGTGCTGCTGCTGCTGCGCCCCCTAGCGCCCCGGACAGCAGACTTGTCGCCCAGGTCACCCGACCCGACCTTGGCCTCGCCGCCGGCTCCGAGGACGCAGCGGACGGCACGTCTGTGGTGGAGGTGGCGATAGCAGCGGGACCAGCGGCAGCAGCGCTGCTGGTGCTGTTGGCTGTGGCAGCCGCCCAGGCGTCCTCCCAGCTGAGACCGCCACTGCCGCCACGCTCACCGGCCGCACCAGCACCCTTCTGCCCTTCCGATGACCCTTCCTCCTCTTCCGCCTCATTCTCTTCCGTCTCCTCCGCCTCGTCCTCCTCCTGCAGCGCCGTTCCCTCCTGCTGTTGCAGCTGCTGTTGCTGCTGCTCCAGAGCCAGCCGGATGGCAGCCCCATGTGCCGCCACCTCAGCCTCCGCCAGCCCCACCCCCGACTCGCTGCCCATCAGCCCATGCACCGGCGACAGCGGGAGCTCCAGATTGACCCCACCCACAGCCCCGCTGCCTCCCTCCATAACCGCCGCCGCCGCTGCAGCAGCAAACGCCGACGGCCCCGCCTGCTGCCGCTGCTGCTCCTCCCTCTCCCCCTGCTGCTGCGGGTAGCGGTACTGCTGGACCCATGGTGAAGGCGGCCGGCCGCTGACGCCGCCCTGCCCTCGCCCGTACCCATGCAGCAGCCGCAGTTCCTCCTCCACATCCTCCTTGTCCAGGCCGGCAACGCTACCAGCCGCTCCAGCCTCCTGGTAGTAGTAGCTTCTGCTCCCATCCGCACCCCCATGATAGTACCCTCCATGGTAGCCATTGCCTCCGCCGCCGCCGCCGCGGTACCGACCCAGCCCTCCCTCTCCACCGCCGCTGCCACTGCCGCCCTGCAGCGTCCACAGCCCCTCCGCCTGTGAAGCCGCTGCGGACTGCGGCAGCGGTGAGTACAGCTCCGCGGCGCTGCCCCTGCCCGCGGTGCCGCCCGCGGCCGCTGACAGCACCCCGCGCGACATGGTCCGGATGCGGCGCCCCATGCTGCTGACCAGCTCCTTGTTGGTGGGCACGTGGGAGATGCTGCCTCGCTGCACGCCCTCATTGCCAAAGATGAAGTCCAGCACGTTGAGGTACTTGGAGCGGAAGACGTCGCGGTGCTGCCCGCATGCGTCGCTGTAACAGTGCATGATGGCGCCGCACCCCAGGCTGAACAGCAGCACGTCCAGACGCGGGCCGCCGCCGCTGCGGCTGGGGACAGCGGCAGCAGCACCGGCAAGGCTGGATGGGGAGGGCAGCACGGCCGCGGCTGCAGCGGCGGCGGCGGCGGCGGCAGCAGCAGCGGAGGCGGGTGTGAAGAGCGACACGCCGCTGCTGCCGGCGCTGCCGCAGAGGCCTGGGGTGCGAACGGGCAGCACGCGTGAGGGGAGGTGCAGGCCGGAGGAGAGGTGGCCGGGGCCGGGGGGCGGGGGACGAGCGTGGCTGGCGGGGTCGGCCCACAGCCGGCAGCACCTGCGGGAGGGACCGGGGCAGGCGATTCGGTGCAAGAAAGACGGACGAGCGCATGTGCATGGCGCCATTACCAATACACACAAAAGAGAGGAGGAACGCGGATTCCGACGCTGCCCAACGCCGTGTAAAGTGCCCGAGCCTCACAGGGTACCTGTTCGTTTCTGTACCGCTGCATTTCTCCCCCTTCTCCCTCCTCCTCCTCCCCCAGCCGCCCACCTGATGAAGGCCTCCAGCGCCCTCGCCGCGCAGTACATGGCCAGCTCCATGCGGCGGCTCTTCTTCTCGATCAGCGTGGCCAGCCCGCCCGCCCACACGCTGCCTGCAATCACAGCCCCCGTGTTGGTGCCGCTCAGATGGAAGCCGGCACACGCACCTGTGGTGGGGGGAGGGGGCAGGGGGAGGGGAGAGGGCGGGAAGGTGGGAAGGCAGGAAAGGGGGGGTCCGCATGTACTACAAACCTGCAACTCTTCAAGTACACCAGGTAGTGTCAAAGAGCGGGGCGTGAAAGCCAAGAGCCGCCGGCTCTCTGTCCTCTCCATAACGCAGCAACAGCAGCAACAACAGCCCGCGCAGCAACACCGCTCGACAAAACCCACATCTTTCACTTTTTTGATTTTTTTCCCACACACAACCCCGGCCAGTTTTCTTAACACAACCCCCTCCTCCTGCCCCTCGCCCTCCCGCATACCCGCAAACGCGGTGGCGATGTAGACCGACAGGAAGGCCGCGGAGCGCGCCACCCCCGCCGCCACCCTGGGCAGCAGCTCCCCCGGCCTCGCCAGCAGCGCCCAGCGGTGCACCAGCACCGAGGACACCAGGTAGAAGGGGACGTAGACGGAGAGGGAGGTGGCGTAGGCCTGGGGGGGGCGGGAGGGGCAGCGGGAGGCCGAGAGGGATGAGGGACGGGAGGGAAGAGGGATGAGTAGGAAGAGGGAGAGGAGGGGAAAGGAGGGAGGGACCAAGGAGGGTAGAGTGGAGGTAGACCGGAGACACAAAGCCGTTCTTTTAAAAAATAACAAGCAGGAGGCAAGAGGCAAGCCTCGCATTGTATGCATCATTACACAACACCACTAACGCCTACAATACCGCACCCGCGCAGCGCACCCCCAGCCCCCCTCTCTCCTCCCCTCCTCCTCCCCCTCCCCTCCTCCGAATGCCTCCGAATGCGCTCACTGCATGAGTCGGGATATGGGATTGGGATTCGTTGTTTCACTTACATAATGTTTTCTCCCCTCCTCCCAACCCCACCTGCGGCACCACCGACGCCGCATGCGCCGCGCAGCTCTGCCCCGGGTGGAAGAACTCGCAGGGTGTGCGGCGCAGGCGGCCGGGTGCGGCGTTCAGGTAGGCCAGCGGCGTGCGGGACAGCGCGGCCAGCGGACCCGGGGGGCGGCCCGCGGAGTTGCGCAGCGCGTGCTCCTGCGGGGGGGCGGGGTTGAGGAGGCAGGGGGGGATAGGGGGAGGTAGGTGCGGCGGAATGGCGTTAACGGGTCTGGGGAATGTATGTGGCTGGGTGTGAGACCCAGCCCCTTACAAACCCACAACGCTGCATCGCCCCCAGCGCTTCCTTCCCTCTCCTTCAGGGCTTCCCCCTTCTTACTCACCCGTATGGCCGCCCACACCGCCGGGTCCTTGCCCCCCACCCGGTTGATGAAGCGCACGTAGGTGGGCGGCAGCGTGCCGGGCTCCATGATGAAGGAGTAGAGGATCTGGCTGGCGGCCGCGCACATCAGCAGCGTGTCGCCGTGCTGCAGCCGGGTGGGGCGCAGCAGCGCGCGCAGGGCGGGGGGCGCGCTGGGGGAGGGGGGAGGGGAGGGGAGGAGAGGGAGGGGAGAGGTTCAACCCTGTCTCACATGTTCTTCATCTGGGTTGGGTTCGTTCCGAGTACCGGCACCCCCTCAGTGGACTCTTGGGCCCCCCCCGGGCCCACCTGGGTTTGTTCCCGGTGCGCACCAGCAGCGTGAGGCCGCGCAGCAGTATGTAGGTGGCCAGGCTGTAGTGCCGCCGCCGGGGGCTGGGGAGGGCGGGGAGGGCAGGGGGGTTAATTTGTAAACAGAATCCGCATTACGCTGGATAGTTGGGATAGCAAAGTTGGGTTGGAGGAGAGGAGAGCTGAAAGGGGCGGCTGAAAGGTAGGAGCACCACCGTAAAGACGCACAAACAACGCACCCCTGCACGTGCGTGCGCATGCATGACGTGGCAGCCACGAGGTGCGGGTCACCTTGCCCTGCGCGCCGCCCTCACATGGGATGGGATGCTACACATGCACACGCACACACGCATACGACGACTCCATCTTTCGGCAATCACAGTACGTTTCGCCTCGCGGCCAGTTATTTTAACACACGCACACACCCCGCACACACAGGCCGGGTGATCCGCTAGGACACCTCGCGGAGCCCCGCTAGACCCAGCTAGGCGGCAGGTCATCCCAGAAGCAGCATCAGCGGCTACACACGCAGCAGCACCAGCAGCCGCCTTACCCGGTGATTCGCAGCGACTGGCCGGCCACCAGACCAGCGACCAGGGCGCGCCAGCGCTGGGTACTGTGAGTGAGGGGAGAGGGGTAGGAGGGTAAATAGGGTGGAGAGGAGCAAAAGCAGGAAGAGGTGGAACGGGCTCCGAGTGAGCATGGGGTGAGCATGAGGGGCCAGGCAGCGAAAGGGGGTGAGACGTAGCGTCTTGTATCTGGTAGTACATCGTTAAGCCCGCGCTGGGGTATGTGTCACTCAAATGTGGAGTAAAGGCCATAAAGAGTAAGACATGCACATGCAACGTGGAGTGTCCTTGGTGGTGGGCTGGTAGGGCGACATGGCGCGGTGACTGCCGGGTTTAGGTGGGCGCGCGGCAACTAGGTGCAGGCAGGCATGCAGGCTGACAAACTGTGCGCTGACCTGGCTTTCCCGAAAAGGAGCGCAATGCCCTCATCCACAGCGGTGTAGGACGAGCCCAGCGTCGCTAAAAAGCATGTATGTAACACTGTATCCCGCAAAACGTCCGCAAGCGTCATCATTCGTTGGCGTCCCTTGCCACGAAGCCGTGATAGTAGGTACATGATAAAGGTAAGGGTGTGCAAGCCGCCCTTTATCAGGACACCCGCGGCAGCACCGCGAATTGCGGCTGTGCGAACGCGGTCCCACGCTCGGCGAAGCTCCGGAGTAGCAAGCGCGCTGAGTTCATCCAAAATGGAAGGCTCACTGGTGCTGGCCTCCATGTCCTCCTGCGGTGCTGACCGGAATAGAAGGCGCGAGGGGGGCTCAGGCCCCTCCACGCGGCCCCGCATCCTTCTTCCTTCTTTGTTAACACGACACGCTGAAGTAAAACATACAAGGAATGACTGACGCACCCCTACGCTCCCAACTTTGTGCTCACGGAAGCAGCGCTCAGCGTATACGTCAGCATAGGCGTAGTAATCGATGGGCTATATGATACATATGCAACTGAGTAACGCGTACAAGAGATGGCGGCAATTCAGCATGCTCATGAGCGATTGCAGGTTGGACGAGAAACGCCATGAAAACAAAATGCCGGAGGATTTGGGCCCTTATACAGTAATTGAAAGAATATCATCGATAGGGTTCCATAGCCGTTAGGAGTCAGGTGCTTAACCCAGCTGAGCGTGTGATAGAGTATACTTGCTGGCGAACGTCAAAATGCTTTCAAACTGTACAAAAGGGGTTACAACATGCCCTACACAAGGCAGGAGTAATCCTTACATCGCTGCTAAACCCGAATCTCGAGGCGTGCGACAGCAGCGGCATGTGCGGATGGATGCTACAATTACTAGCGCGGCTGACACGCAGAAGCTATATGCAGAACTTGACACTGCATGTATCAATTTGCGACGCGCCCCACCTTCAATGGTACGCAAGCGGGGCTACATAACTACCTATTTTTCTGTGGACGACGAAACACCGACGCCCGCGACCAGTCGTCTTGCTTTCATTGCCGTTACTATGAAAACACATACCGCGCTTCCACATTAACCATTACCTTCTGTAACGGGCGCCAATCTACGCCTTTGTTGTTTCTTCTTAGCTTCGCGCCCAAGTGCATCCATCGCCGGATGGACATTTACATGTGCACCCTCCATTGCCGCGCCTTGCGCGTCATCAAAACAAACCCCAAATCATACACGAACCCTTCACAATTCCCGCCCTACAGTGCTCCCTGCCCCCTCTAACAACGCTCCCTACCAATCAACCATTTCCCACTCCCACCGTGCTTTCCCCTGACCCTTCCCCATGACTCCAGCCAGCCCTAGACCCCAACCCCTTGCCCTCCTTGTCCGCTCCTGGCGCTGGTGCTATCTTACCGTGTGGTCCCGCACGCACACTGCCCCTCGCCCCTCGTGCCTCCTTCTCCGCCCACAGTGGCTGTCCCCCAGCTGGCGGGTGAAGGAGGCGTCCCACCCTCACCTTCCCACCTTCTGCTGCCCCCATCGTCGTGCCGCCTACGTCGTACTAAATACCTGTGTACCTCCCCCCTCACCCCTCCCCTCCTGACACGGGTCATGGGTCGGGTATCGAGCAATGGACGCTGGGCCCCTGGCATAGCCTTCCCACCCTCCCCGCCTCCCCATTATCATTCACAGCATGGTACTTCCTCTTTCCCCTCCTCCGCTCCCTACGCCAGCGGCTGACCTTCAGCGGGCCGGTGAAGGAGGCGTACGAGCAGCTGGCGGCTGCCGGGGTGGCGCGCAAGTGGGGCTGCGGGGTGTCGGAGGCGCTGCGGCGCCGCAACGTGATGCTGGGGGAGCTGCGGCAGGTGGGGCATGCAGGGGCCAGGGGGATGCTGCGCACACCCTGGAGCTACTCATGACAGCCCTGGAGGGCAGTGGGGAGGGGGGAGGGGGGAGGGCAGTGGCAGGAGGCCCTGTGGTGGTGACGTGCGGTACCGCGTGCCCCGCAGGCGTGTCACTGCATGTCCATGTGCCATGCACCATGGGGGGGTGGGTGGGCAGGGACCCAGTGCTTCCTGGCATTCAACCACGAACTCCACCGCCTCCACCACTCTTGTAAGGTCACTCCCTTCCATCCCCACCCGCTGTTTCTCTTTCCCTCCGAATCCCTCTCCTAATCCACCAGTTGGGCATCAAGAATCCCGACAAGATCGCTGTTCCCTCCGTGCGCAACGACGCAGCCTTCCTGTTCTCCGTTGTAGGTGGGTGGGTGGGTGGGTGATCGCGCGATGACGCGCCCGTGCACTCTACTGCCGAGCACCTATCAGACCTTCCTCACAGGCTGCGCGTGCCCGATCTCTCCTCCCTCACCCGCCTCCTTAGTACATCCAGCTCTAATCACTTGAATCTATTCGCCAGAGACTTCCATCATGGGTTGCCTGCTCGATCTCCCTTCCTAACTCCTGCCCTCCCTCCATCCCTCTGCTGCCTCAGGCTCCACCAGCCTGCTGGCGGTGGTGGCGGGTGCGGTGCTGCCGGGCGACTGGGGCTTCTTTGTGCCGTACCTGCTGGGCGGCGTGAACCTGGTGGTGCTGGCGGTGGGCTCCACCGCACCCGGGCTGCTGGCGGTGGCCATCGACGCGTTCAGCCAGGTCTTCCCGGACTATAAGGTGGATGGGCGGGGCGGATTAGAGTGTTGGACAGGAACAAAGCTACTGTGGCGTGGGGGGACGGGGGAGGATAGATTGGGTGGGAGTGGGTGGTTGGCACGAAGCGTGATGCGTGGTACCCTGGGGGCTCGGGCCCAACACGACCTCCCTCACCCGCACCAACCGCTTCCCACCCTCCTCCTTCCCCCTCACTCTCCTTCCTCCTGCAGGACCGCGTGCTGCGTCACGAGGCGGCACACTTCCTGGTCGGCTACCTGCTGGGGGTGCCGGTGGGCGGCTACAGCGTGCAGCTGGGGCGGGAGCACACCGAGTTCGCGGAGGCCAAGCTGCAGCAGGTGGGAAGGGGGGGGGTTGAAGCCGGGCAGGCAACGGAGAAGGCGAAAGTACCCTGCTGTGGCGATGGTAAGGCCAGTGGGCTATGGGGCGGGGAGTAGCTACCAGCATCCAGCAAGAAGAAGAGAAGTAAGGGTTGCCGACACCCGCCTCCCTCCACCCACCGATATTCCTAACCCCCTTTCGCCTCCTCCTTACCGGTGCTTCCAGCGCATCATTGAGCGCACACTGGCTGACGAGGAGATCGACAGCCTGGCACTGGTGGCGGTGGCGGGTGTGGCGGCGGAGGCGCGGGAGTACGAGGAGGCGAGTGCTGGGGAGGCGGGAGGGGTTCTTGTGCGAGATGCTGGGGAAAGGTACTGTGCTGGGAAGGAGGCGCTGGAGAAGCATTCGGCTGCTCTAGTGGCTAGGCAGACCGCGCGTGTGTGGACGGTCGGGCAGCGGCATTGGTCTGGGGATTACGAGGCGCTTTGGGAAGGGGCTTAAGGGGGAAGGTACCGTAGGAGCGGTACGTGTAAGGCACGCAGGGAGTTAGGCTGGCGACGTGGATGGATGGGTGGAAGGAAGGCTGGCGGAGGGGGGCCCACAGCGGTGGCAAGTGCAGTGCAAGCATACTGCCCACGTCCAGCGGACATTCAATAGACCTACGGCATTTCCCTACCTCCCCTCCCCCCTCCTCCCCTCAACTCCCCCGTCCCCCCATGCTTCCGGTTCCCCTGCCGCCAGGTCATGGGGCAGACAGCTGACCTCACGGACCTGCAGCGCCTGCTGCTGCGCTCGAAAACCCGCCTCAGCAGTGCCGCACAGCAGAATCTGACACGCTGGGCGGTGTGGGCAGCGGCGGGGCTGCTGCGGACCCATGGGTCGGAGCACGCGGCGCTGGTGCAGGCCATGCGCTCGGGCGCCAGCGTGGCGGAGTGCGTGCGGGCAATAGAAGAGACGCGAGGGGAGGTGGCGTGAGGGTGGGAGAGGAGGAGGGGGGAGAGTTGGTAGTCAGGGGAGCGAAGTGGTAGTGCTTGGGTTGTTGTAGAAGGGAGCGGTGCTGGTGTTGGTCTAGCGCTTAGGGGCCTTTAAGAAAGGTAAAAGGGGTAGGTTTGAGGAGGAAGGGAAGAATGAGAGATGAGAACGCAGACGGAGTGAGTGAGATCGGATGCATGCGAGGGAACAGCATGGGACAGGAGGGCAGGGCGGTGTTGCATGCGCAGGAGGGCTAAGAGGAACTGACCGTATGGTAAGGCGTCATCATGGTTTGCAACATGTGAGCCAGTCCGACCAGAAGGGCAGTCACGCAATCTGCAAGCATGTACAGCAGCCAGGAAGACGCATCGGGCCGGAGATGCCTTAGGGTTAGGATTGGACTGGATTGATGGCTCCGTAGGGACCGCATGAAGGCGACCCACGAAGGAATGAGTCTATACGGCAGGCGTACGGCAAATGAAGGGAACTGGGTGGAGTGCGTGTCCAAATGCGCTCGCATGTCACACTGTAGGGAGAGCACAGGGGTCGCCAGGGTTCCCAGGCGCCTCCCAGCGCCACCAGTGCAAACCCCAGACTGGCATGCCCGCTCTACTGGACGGGCAGGTTATCAGGAGGTATTAGTGATTTGCACGAGTCCTGAGCCATGGCCGCTATGCAGGGGTCAAAATGAGAGGTGGTTGGGCCGCAGGTGGGATTCTGAAACCCAGCTTGGCTGGTCTCCCGCAGTACTGACGTGTTAGGGTGACAGCGCACAATGTGCGCCTCCCTGGCAATGCAGTGATGTATGACATTTGCAATGCAAGTTCATATAAGCTGCTCCCCTTCAACTCTACGTTGCATACCGTTGGTTCTCAACAAAATAGGCAAATGTACCGGTATCACGTCCTAAGGCTACGTCTTACCTTTTTCTAACAAATGCTATCTGTCTAGATGTGGATGTCAGCTATCGGAAATCCCAGCCCGACGCAACAAAATGGAAGGAATCTCACAACCGGTTACCAAAGCAGTTACTAGCTTTAACTACAGGTGGTCCTATTCGCTGAGCACCATGAATCAACAACCGGAATACAGTGGTGCAGCATTGTGCAGTTGCTGGAATCATTGTGTATCCAACTGAGCTTCGTCTTACCATTTAGCAAAATAGGCAGTAGTGACGAGCGAAAGGTCCATTTATGCAGCTGACACCTCACGGCTCTGCATTACCCCTAACCTGATACCGTACGTTGTTTTTGTTGTTAAAGAAGGAATAAACTGCAGAACAGAGCCTTGCAGTGTCGCAGCACATCAGTGCATCAAGCATGGAATATAGCCACTATGGCAAAGTAATTAAAGCATGAACATAAGCAAACGGTTACAGCGGCAGAAAAGCTGTTCTTGCTGCATCAAATGGCCAGTCAGACTACAGCAGTTGCCTTAAGAGGTCCGGACGAACGATCGCTAAGACAGCGCATACGCAAGCTTTGCTTATGCCTCGAGACCAACGGGATTACAGCTCCAAGTCGAATGCCTTGAAACCTTGAACGAGACCAATATTGGAAAAAGCGAATCGTAGGAACTGCTGCGCTTTAACCCGTAGAAGACTGAGAATATTCCCGGGAGTAATCGTTAACATTGACGTCCTGCAAATTCAGGGTCAATGACAATGGTTTTCTGTGGTACAAATGTACGACCTATGAGTATGAACCCGCTCAATTAGCTGATTGCCAACCTAGGTTATTTGTCTTTATTTTTTGAGGCGAAAAGGTCAGGCGGCAGCGAGCATTTTACGTGGGGGTCCACCTAGCCGCGCGCCTAGTTTAGTAGCCTATTTGTGCGCGTTCAAAAGGCCAAAAGCTGCAGCCGATGAACGCTTGAGCTTCTAGCCATAGCCGTCGGCAAGGTAAGGTACTGTAGTATGCTTCGTTCTGCACTTGAATATTATTCTGACCGCCGCCTTCCTTTCTTACAGGCTGGGGCCCGTCGCAGATTGGCGAGGCTGCTTACACGTTGCAGCCATTTGCCCATGAGCTGGAGCGGGATTAGGCTCGGGGGGCTGCCTTGGTTCTATGTTGGGCCCTTGGGTGTTCGATTCTCAGGCCCTCGTGTCAGAGCACATATTAACAGGACCTCTGCAGCGGTATCGCCATGGCACTTTGGATGAAATTGGCGGTCAGGTTGTACTGCTGAAGCTTTGCGTCTCCAACGCCCTAGCGGGAAGCATCATCGGCCGCGGTGGCCACAATCGCGACCAGTTGCAGCTCATTTCTGGTGGTGCGCGCATTCAATTATCAAGACCTAATGAGCTGTACCCTGGAACACCGGATAGGGTGCTTGTGCTGACCGGCACCCTTGGCTCTTGCATAACGGCCCTCTTCGCTATTTCGGGCTGCTTGGGCATGCCTGGGCCGCTTCCGTTGGAGGCAGTTTTTATGGGCGTGAACACCCAATGGAAATTGGTTCTTCCTTCAAGCGTTTGTGGATACGTTCTTGGAGCGGGTGGGCGGACGGTCCGAGCAATCACTTCGCAGGCCGACGCCAATATTAGCATCTCTGCGGAGCCGGACAGGGATGCTGAGGTGCCCAGGGAGCGTATTGCTACCATTTCTGGAGGGAGCTTGCAGACGCTTCGGGCGATGGGCCTAATCGTGGATAAGGTAAGGCTCTTAATGGCATAGCGCCTTGACGGCATAGCTTAGACTTTTAGCATCTACGTCTCTGATGATTGGAAAGAGATATCATCCATGGCGCCACGTCGTATCCCAAACACGGGGCTTGAGCTCCTAACTGTCAGCTACGAGCGTAGCTTTGTTGTCGAATGCCACACCTTTCCCAGCCTTTTACACCCACCCTGTGATGAACTACCTTTTACCTGTCCGGTCGCACCACTACAGTTGCTCACGCGGCCTTTGATGGAGCCAGGGGAGGCCCCCTTCGAGGGTCAATTCCCGAGCAGCCGCATGGCGCTCCTGGCTCGCACCGGGCTCCTCCGCGACCCACCGGGCTTGTTGCAGCAGCACATGGCGCCGCACCTGCTGCAACAACAACAGCAGTTGCAACAGCAGGCAGCCACGCTTGCGCCAGCGGCCGGTCAGCCCATCTACGCCCAGTCCGCGGCCGCGCGGGGCTCGGCCTTCGTCTACTTTCCTCTCCAGCAGCTCTCAGCTGGCCCAGCACCGGTCGTGCCCTTGGCGGCGGCTATGAGCATGCCGCACGCGCCTTTGACCGTGCCGATGGCTGCCCCCGCTCCGGCTGCCAGTACCCTGCATGCACTGCCTAGTCTGTCCAACATGGCTCTGACGGCCGCTATGGCGCCGCCTGCTCTTGCTGCCGCTGCGCCGCTGCCGGCCACCTCGGCGGGAGGCTCGCTGGCGGCTGGGCAGCCCGCTGGAGGCCCGGCATCGCAGGCGGGTGTGCTGGGGCCGCGCTTGGAGGTCGGCATCGAGGTGCCGGAGAACCGCATCGGGCTGCTCATAGGTGGGTCGGTGCGCTATGGTCGGCTATTGGGTCAACGCTACCGTAGGCGGTACTCGTCTACTTTGGTGGCTGCCCGCCTCCGGACCGCTAGCTGTTCCTGTATTCTGACTCCGCATCTTTACAGCTTTCCAATGCCTTCCAATGCTTGCCGACGCTTTGTGCGTACTTGCGCCCTTGATACCCCTTTCTCTCTAAACGTGCTTATGTCTCCCTCTCCCTTTGCCACCTGCAGGTCGTGGCGGTGAAACCCTGTACCAAATGCAGCGCCTGATGAGCGTGAGTATCCACATTGCTCGCCGACAGGCGCCCCAGGCGGACGAGGCAGTGGCGCCGGCGCCCATGCGGCGTGTTACCATCTCGGGTGCCCGGGACGCGGTCAACATGGCGCATGCGTTCATCCTCCAGCGGCTGAGCGGTGGGTCGGGGCAGCGATCGGCCGGCGGCGCGGAGGGCGCGTTGCGGCACTAGGGTAAAGTGTTGCATACGGGTATCAGCCCAGCCTTGCCCGCCCGGCCCAGCCCGGGCCCGGGCCCCTTAGGATGGCTTCCCCCATAACAGCTTTTATGATCATGAATACGTAGCCGGGGCGGACGGAACGGAGGTGTGTGCTCATTGTATGTGTTTGTCATCATGGTCAAGGACTACTCGTCCCGACAACGGGCGGTGTTGCTCAGTCGCTAGGTGCGTCGGGCCATCTTGTTCTCTTATCCATTCCGAACGCCGTCATTTACGTATGCCGTCATGTGTCTTGTGGTCATGCTTCTGGGGGGGCGCTCGTCTTAGCACACACGATAGGAGGTTCCTTAATACATGTCGGTCCCTTCCGGAGCCAATAAGTAACGATGACCAATGATAAAGGGAGAAGCCGGTCAGGATCGGTTCTAGAGATATGTGCTTATCTGCGACTGGGCATTTGAAATCGGGGCATGTATGAAACAATGCTATCTTTGGTTTACGCTGGTTCCTGCGCCACTTGGCGTTGTGTCCTCGCCAAACTGCGATAGCATTATCAATTTCAGCTTTGCTTGTACGAGAGATGAGTTGTTTATAGTGTTTGGGGGGTTCATGAGTGGGACCGTTTGTTACGGGCAATTTTCGGGGCACGACATTTTAGCAACTACTCACAGGCATGAAGGGGCTTTAATCCACTCTCACTGTCATCAGAAACCCGCCATCACTTTCGGGATGTGGGGCATGTGTGATGTGCACCCTGTGTGTCCACGTCGTTTAAAACGCTCGCGGGCTGCGCGCGTGCATCCAAGTGGCTAGCGATGTTTGGTGGGTCCGGATGATTTTTTCCGGTTGAGTTGGCGCGGGTTTGCGTGGCTGCGGCTACAGGGGGACACCATGCATGGCGGGTGCTGTCGAGATTGAAGAGAGTTGAGAGCATTCTAAGAAATCTGTTTGGCTCTTGGTAAGTCAGGGCTGTTGTTGCGCTCGCCTGTACGGTGCAAGCTGGCGTGAGAGGGGGTCTTGCTGTGTTGATGCTGGTTGGTTTGTTTGACAAGACCCGAATCGCGAATTGGGGCGGATCCACATACTGCACTGTTCATTATGATCACATCATGTTACTGAATGCGGGAGTACCCGGCATGCTTTATTTCGACACATTCCATTATTTTGTCTTGTGCTCCACATCTTATTATTGGTATGAAAGCTGACGCTCGTGGAATCCTGCAACTCGGATTCCGGATTGCAGCGCATGCGCGGGCGTTACGGCTTTCATTCCATGTCTGCGCGTTAGTGCCCCGTGCACGGCTCTGTGAAGTGAAGTGCCACCCGCTGTGTCGTTTGTTGTACATCATACATCGTAAACGCATTCAGCAGGCTACATAGAAATCACCCTATGTGGTTGCGTATCCCAGTTGCTGTTGGTTGTGTCGCTCCCCAGGTTGGTAACCATTTATTGCTGCTACTGTTACTGCTGCTATTAGGTGTATAAACGGTTTCAAGAGCCGACGACTAGGTCTGGCTGGTCGTGTGGTTGGTTACCTCTGGCTTGGTTGGTTAGTGGTGGTCTGGTCTCCCCAGGAGGAAAAGCAGGTGCAGTTTGGCTGTGAGATTGAGCAGGTTAGGTATCTTATGAATGTGTCGGCGAACATTGTGGGGCTTTGGTCGCACCAATTGGAGCCGACACTGTCTTAAAACAAGCTAACACCTTTTTTTACATTTAACATGAAGCGTTGTAGGACAATCGCTTCCATGGATTTGTCTCGTTGGATTCTGCCTGGTAGCCCTAGATTGGGCCCCTTCTGAGCTTAATCGTCACGTCGTTACATACGTCCGCTTTCAATGTAACATCACCTCACTACAATTACCTGGACCCGGAACTTGTACTGCCGCACTAGCGCTTCTTGCTCATAGTAAACCCCCCGTGTGCTATAGCACCCCAACATGTAGCTGTTCTTTCGGTCACAGCGCGTGTAGTGTCACTGCATGTATCTGGCATCGGGTTCCTGTTCTCCGTAAGCTACCCTTATCAACAGTAACCAGCGTCCCAAGGCTTCCCTGTTTCCCCCCTGAAAAGAAAAAAGTAGCAGCCAGACGACGAGCACGCAGGCCCGCTACACCTGCGTGCTCGTCCACGCGCCATCTAGCAGCACAGTTAGTCATGGTCAGATTGGTCACCATATCTGTGTTTCCAATTAAAGTTGCAACATATAAAGAAGAAGGGCACCATTTCGCTCTTTTGCGTGTTGAATTGTCGGCCTGCACAGTGAACTCTAACTCCTCCATACCAACAGCATGTGTCTCCCAGGTTCCACACATCAAAACCATAAAGACTACACTCGGGGGGATACGAAACGCACGAGTGCAGGCCACTGATAGGGGCTCTCCATGGCCCCACAGAACGTCACAAAACGGTGTGAACACGACACTCCATGGCCCCACAGAACGTGACAAAACGGTGTGAACACGACAACCGACTGAGAACTTCGCAGCTAGAACCAAGAAGTGACTAATAGGCCTACAAATCCAGTTGCGTAGTAGGGAAGACCAAAAGGTCCCAAGCATTAAGAACGCTCCCTCTGCGACGCTTCAGGTCCTACCATTTTAAGCATCTAGGCTTTAGTCCCTATTACCCAGGCGCTGAAGTAACTGAGAGTTTCATTTCTAGGGTCGCGACTTGTAGCTGCACATGCAACGCGCGCGTGTTATGGCCTCGCAAGGCCTGCACCATCTGCTGCCTTTGCGAAACCATTGTCTCGGAGCCATCGGCGTATCTTAAGCTCTTAAATTCGTGAAGCGACGAACGCTACACGTCAATCGTTGGTGCCTAGGGACTCAATCAAGATGACCTCACAACGCTACACGCCTACGGAAGAGCTGCTTTGCTCCGTGCAAGTACAGCTCTTTCCTTGCCATCTGCAACACTAAATTTTTCTTCATTATCTCATAGCGTAGCTCCGTACCACTCTGGCCTTACTGGTCGTGCGCGCACGGGACATTCCCATTTGGCCACCTGTCCTTGCACCGTCACCGCTACCCGGAGTACTTCTTCTTACTGCAACCAGCCGCTACGCAGAGGGCATTTTAGTCATCTTTCACCACTAGCTAGGAATCATGCGAGGCGCACGTCTAGGACATGCTATGCCGGATTGGGAGAATCCGGCAGTTCTTGGCGTCAACAAACGAGTCAGCCACGCTCCTCTGCGATCCTTTCGGGACCTAGCCGCAGCCGTGGCCTTATTCCGGCCTACAGTTGTCGGCACCAACCCAGCATCCCTGCGTCCCACAGATTTAGATCAGCATCAGCAGGCCGCGGCAGCAGCGGACCTTGCTGCTCGGGGTGTAACGGGTAGCAGCGAGAGCGGCGTCCGCACACTCTCTGGGTGCGACTGGTCCTTCCGGCTGTTCCGGCACCCCGGAGAGGTGCCGGAGGACTTTCCGCTTCCCTCGTACGATACTGGGGACGGGTGGACGCGGGTGGGTGCGGGTTGTGGGGCTTAGGATCAGGTCGGGATGGCTCAAAAGGGTAGGAACGAACAAGAAAGTTTGCGGAAGGTCTACAACTGGGAGAAACGAGTTCCCATTTGCGGCTTTCCACGAGGCTTGTTAAAACGTGATAGAAAGGTTTGGAAGACCGGCAGAGAGGCATCAGTACGACAGGCTTCCAACAATCGCTGCCGTGCAAGGGGTACAACACGTATCTCAACTCCTACCAGAAGGCATCACTCCGTGAATCTCTGTAAACTTCCCACGTAAAGGCGCAACACCGTTTTACAAGGCTCGTTTCTAACACCATACATGCCATACCCAGCGGCCATGAACACCCCTAGACACGTTGCTGCCGCGCCACCACCCACCAAGGGTTGCCACGTTCACCCATAGCACGGCATTCACCCCCCTTTCCATCCCTCACCAGCTTTCCGCTGCCGAGAAGCCGTCCTAGAAGCAAGCCGTGCGGGTTACACGCACCATGGCATCCTCCTATATCCGGCACTATCACGGCACGTGCCGTGCATTACCCGGGCGCGACACCTGCCCACCTTCCACATACAACGCGCCGTCACCCGTATCGTAGACCATGTCCCCGTCCCTTTTCCGTCTCTCCCCAGAATATCTCTCCCTCCCTTGAATTCCTATTCTCTCCGTCACCACCTCTCTTTCCCCCCAGATCCCAGTCCCCTCCAACTGGGAGTGTTGCGGTCATGGTACCCCCATCTACACCAACTTCGTCTACCCCATACCGCGCGACCCGCCCTTCGTACCCGCCCACGACAACCCCACCGGCTGCTTCCGACATGCCTTTAGCCTGCTGCCAGAAGATGTACGGCAGGGGGACAGGTGGGGATTGTACGGCAGGGGGACAGGTGGGGATTGTACGGCAGGGGAACGGGTGGGTAATGATGGTGCGGGGGGCTGATCTGCCAGGGCTGAAAGGGCCGGCAACCATGATACATCAACCCATGGCGCAGCTTACATGTCACACGGCCAGGTTCTGCTCTTTACTCACTTGCTCACCCCTTCCCTTTCCTAGGGTGTTTCTCCAATTGGAAGGAGTGGACAGCGCCTGCTACGTGTGGCTCAACGGCCGCCCAGTGGGCTTTTCAAAGGACAGTCGTACGACAGCGGAGTTCGAGGTGACGTCAGCACTGGCGTCGCCGGGGGAGACTAACACGCTTGCCGTACAGGTATGTTTTCAGAAAACTGGCTGCGAGTAGGAACGCATTGTGCACAGGTATCATGTGCGTGGGGGGGGATGTACCGGTATGTGGGGTACGACACGTGGGGTATGTGGTTGATGTTTCACCCCCTGCTCAGCTACTACCCCTCTTCGCGCCCCTAGGTGTTGCGCTGGAGTGACGGGACCTACTTAGAGGATCAAGACATGTGGCGACTCAGCGGAATACACCGTGCCGTACGACTGCTGGTCAAACCCGCCGTACACATCACCGATTTCACCGTACGAACACCGCTGTGCTTTGACTTTGGTGGTGCTTGCAATGAAGGCGCTGCCGGTGCTGCTGCCGCTGCTGCTACTGGTGCTGCCACCGCTTTCTCCCCGACTGGTAGTGGCGGGTCGGCTAGTGGGGTGTTGCGCGGAGCCCGACTGGAGTTGGAGGTGCTGGTGGGGGGGAGCAGCGAGCAGGAGCTGGCAGGTGGGGGCGGGGGATGGGAGAGGAAGGGGAGGGGGGTTCGGAGGAGAGAGGAAGGGGTGAGCGCTTTGAAAAGGGGAAGGGGGGGGGAAGCCCCTAAAGCCAATTTCTCCCATCTTCTCGGCCTCATGTCGCCCTACGCTCCTTCCCGCCCCTTCCCACCGCAGATTGCTCCGTTGTCGTACATATCCTGGATGAGCAAGGCCAGCCCGCCACCCGCCCCGGTGTCCCCCCTCCCCAGTGCCGGGTCACCCCGGGTCGCTGGTACGGGACCGACCCGGCGGGTCACTCCAGCCGCACGGCAGCTGGGGTGGGCGGCGTGGCGCGGCTGTCCCTGGATGCAGCGGAGCTCTGGGGGCCTTATGTGTACGACACGGCTTTGGGCTGCGTACGACATTTTGATGCGGATGACACCGCTGCTGCCTCGGACACTGCTGCTGCTACTGTGGCGGCGGCGGCAGCTAGTGGGTCAAGACCCACACCTCAGGGGGCTGGGGGGCTGGGAGCATCCTACGCCGGAGATGTGGAACAAGGTGCATCAACGCGAGGTGCAACGCTAGAACCTGGGCTAGGTTCCGGAGCAGCATCAGAGTCAGAGTCGGGGACCGTCAAACAATCAACAGCCGGATGCAGCAGGGCCTTGCGGCTTTGGAGCGCAGAGGATCCGGCGTTCTACGTCCTGGTGCTTGAGCTGCGGCACGCGACCCGCGGGTCACTCGAATATGAGTCCTGTCAGGTATATGTCAGGTCGTACGACCACACCTAACCCGCACCAATGAGGAGGATAAGGAGGAGGAGGAGAAAGGGCCATGTCGACGTTGCTTATCGTGCTTGCTTGCTGTCTTTTCTGCTCAGCTGAATACGAAAGCTCGTCTTGTAATGTTGTTATATAATATCATGCATCGTCTGTGGCCTCCCTGGCGCGCGCGTACAGGCTGTAACAGTCACTGTAACTGCTCCCAGTCGTTTGTCGGGCCGCTTGCTGCTCCTACAACCCCGCCCCCCGGCCCCCTCCCCCTTCCCTCCCCCAGCTGGGGTTCCGCCAGACGGAGGTGCGGGGCGCCCGGCTGCTGCACAACGGCCGCCCGCTCATGCTGCGCGGGGTGAACCGGCACGAGTGGGACGACAGGTGGGGAGCAGGGAGAGGTGGGGGGAGGTAGGGGGATGGTAGGGGAATGGTAGGGGGGCGGTAGCGGTGGAGGGGTGGAGCCCGGGGTGATGGACCCAACCGTGTGACTTACACATCCACTCCACTACTTCCTTCTCCATGATTCCGCCCCACTTGTTGCTGGCTTTGCATGCGGGTTGGGCGTCTAGCTGTTTGATACCACACCCCTCTTGAGTCCCACAACCCTCGGGTGTCCTAACACCCAGCCATTCAGTTCTCTTAAACACATACGAATACCTACTCCTCGTCTCCCGTGGCGTTTTGGTGGGGTCACCCACTTCACCTGTGGCGTTTTCGGTGGGAGGACTTCTTCTTTCGGCAATCACAGTACGTTTCGCCTCGCGGCCAGTTATTTTAACACACACATGCTCCCCTGCAGGCGCGGCAAGGTGCTGGACGAGGCTCACATGGTCCGCGACCTGCTGCTGCTCAAGCAGGCGGGCTTCAACACGGTGCGCTGCTCGCACTACCCAAACCATGTCAGGTGGTGAGTGGGGGCGGGGCGGGGGGCCGGTGTGTGGTAGGGTAGGGTTGAGGGTCAAGAGAGAACCAAGCAACCAACTATGGTGACTGGGCAAGCCAGTCCGTGTGGTTTTGGGGGGTTGCAGATGGGGTGAGGCGTGTCGAGTGGGGCTGTACGCCATGCTCCACGGGAACCATGGCGTGCATGGATTGGGAGGGGTGGGAAGGGCGGGAAGTGTGGGGATAGATGGGATGTGGGAGGCGCACGCGACCCCATGTGAGGCACCGCGCCTCATCAGCTCATCATGTCACTACGATACCTCCAACTACACCTCACAACTACTACTACAATTAGGTCTATTACTACTATATCTCTCGACTGCTGAAAAACTTCCCAATGGTTCCTGCACCCCCTCTCCGTGCGTACGGCGGGATGGTACGACACATTTGCCGCCGTTGCAGGTACGAACTGTGCGCGCTGTACGGCATGTACTTGATTGATGAGGCCAATGTGGAGACGCACGGCTTCGACCCGTTCTTTCAGGTGGGTGGGAGGTGTGTGGGGCGAGGAGTTGGGCTGGGCTGGGTCTTGGGTGAAGTGGTATGGATGGCTATTGGCGAAATTGAAGCGCAGTACTGTATTACCTGTAAGGCACTCTTTTGCCGTACGCAATTGCACTGCGCGCTTTTTTCCATCCCTCCATTTCTCCTCGTCCCCGCCCCCATCTCCGGCGGCCTTCCCCTCTTCCTCCTTCTCCTTACGCTCCCCTTCAGGACAACGCCTCCCACCCCGCCAACCACCCCGCCTGGGCCCCCGCATTCCTAGACCGGGCCATGGGCATGTACGGCAGGTGCGTGAGGTGGCGTGAAGGGAGGGAACCCGTTCTGTACTCACCCCCATGCTCCTTACACCATGCTAACCATGCGCCCTCCCCTTTCCCTCCTCTTTCCCTGGCCTCCCGCCCCCCTTTCCTCACTCCCCCCAGGGACAAGAACCAGCCTGCAGTGGTGATGTGGTCTCTGGGCAACGAGGCGGGGTACGGCCCCGCACACCTAGCCATGGCGGGATACCTGAGGGCCAGGTAGGGGAGGGGGAGGGGAGCTGGGGTCTGCATGGGTTCACAGGGTAAGGGCTTTGCGACGTATATGACTCGACAGGGGCGGTATACCGCCGCTCCCCTGCGTCCCCCTAACAACTGCATGTGCTGCTAAAAATGCAAGAGGGCAAGCGACAGCATGGTGTGGTAGGGGGCCACCAAGTACGGAGCTACGAAGCTACCATGAACCAGAGCGAGACTTTCTCCAGCATTCCTCCAGCACTCCTCTTTATTCCCCCAGCCCGCCCCGCCCCGCCCGCCCGGGTGCCCACCCATGCTGAAGCCGCGTCATACAGCTTGTGAGCTTTCCCTTTTACCCCGGCGCCCTGCCTCTCCCCCCACCCCCCTCCGCCCCCAGGGACGCCTCCCGGCCGCTGCACTACGAGGGCGGCGGCTCCTGCACCCCTGCCACCGACATCATCCCGCCCATGTACGCCCGACCCGCACAACTCAAGGTGGGGCGGCATGCAGTGTGTATAGCGGTTCGGGGAGTGGGCTGGGGAGTGGGCTGGGCCTTACATGGGGTTGGGCATCTGGCACCTGGGGGATCGGGGTTGAGTTCAGGGGTAAGAATCGTGGTGTAAAGCACCGTGAGCACCTGTATCGCACTTGGTAATACATGACTGACCCATGGGTCGTTACTTTGGAGCTTCAACGGAAGGCGCAGCCTCCCACATGGTGTGTGATCGCCACCTACAGGTCGCCGCGCCGTGATACCGGTGCATCTATAATTCACCACCGAAGGCATGTGGGGTGCGGCCGCATCTGCTCCCTCTCCACCTCCCCCCTCATCCGCTCCCCACCCTTGCTCCCTCCCCCCCTCCCTCCCATGCATGTGTGTATTCCCCAGTCGCTGACCTCCCTGGTGGACTCGGGCGAGGAGCAGCGCCCCATCATGCTGTGCGAGTACTCCCACTCCATGGGGAACAGGTGGGGGGCAAAAAAGAAATTCCAAAGTGTGGTATGATAATGATACAAGTTGCTGACAATCCCTGGTGGAATCAACCGTGAGTTGAGCCGAAACAGGTGGGGGGCAGGGGAAGCAGGCGGGTAGGGGGTGGGATTAGGTAAACTGAGCCGCACGAAATACTGGCCCTGCAGAGTGGGAGGAGGGGAGGGTAATGGTTGTAGATGAACGTCGGGACGCAAATAGGGGAGGAATGGGTAGGAAATATCTGGAGGGCAGGGGCAGATGGGACGGAGGGACGGCGGCGGCGTCATAATTGTAGTAGTTAATATACCGGTATGAAGGTAACTCCGTTCTGCCACTCCCTCTGTCGCCTCTCATAATCTGCCGTACAACCCCCCCTTGTGCTGCAGTACGGGCAACCTGGACGCCTACTGGCGTGCGTTCGAGTCGCACCCCAGCCTGGCGGGCGGGTGCATTTGGGACTGGGCGGACCAGGCGCTGGTGGCCAGGGGGGAGGTGGGGAGACGGGGAGAAGGAGGGGGGAGAAGATGTAACCCCATGAGGAGATAAGATCCCATGCCTTGAGGCTTTCCTGGAGGAGAAGGGCGAGGTTGATGTCACTTCGTTACTCCCTTCTTGCTGCCCAATTGCGACTACCAGCATTGTTATATCGGTCACATCTCGCCAGTGTGCTGCTGTTGTTCTGCCGTACGTTGTCATAATCCCGTATCGCCATGTCGTACATTGTCATAATCCCGTACTGCCATGTCGTACTCGGGTGCCCCAGGACGCCCAGGGGCGGCAGGTGGAGTACTGGGCGTACGGCGGCGACTTCGGTGACACGCCCAACGACGGCCAGTTCTGCTGCAACGGTCTGGTGTTCCCGGACCGCTCTCCGCACCCCGCACTGTACGAGGTGAGGAGGGGGGAGGTGCGGGTGGAAGGTAGGTAGGTAGGTAGGGAGGGAGGGAGGGAGGGAGGGAGGGAAGGAGGGAAGGAGGGAGGGGTTGCAAGAGCTTGTGCGTAGGAGGTGGTGGGATAGCGGACGGATCCCTGATCCCCGCACTTTGTGAGAAGCGCATCTGTAGTGGGTCACTACGGCGGTGAAGACTCAGGTGAGGATGTGATAGGGTTGTAAAGAGGTGGAGAGGGCAGGGGCAATGCCAGTGTGCATTGCGAATTTCAAAAGAGGCCACCGTACGGAGGCGTAGTGGGGTCGTACCAGTAAGGCCGCACTGAGGTCGTCAGCGTCAGTTTGCGGCCAGTTGATTTCACCACAACCGGGCCGCCTCATCGCAGGCTAAGGCGGTTATGGCGCCTATTACATTTGAGTGGGAGGCGGCGAAAACGGCAGCAGCAGCAGCAGCAGAGCCCCCCGGGGAGCCGCAACCACCTCAAAGCGATGGGAGCAGCCCCAGCCCCGGCCACACCCCCAATCCAATCCTGCGCATGCGGAACAAGTATGACATGATTCGCTCGTCACACATTGCCGTACAATGGCGGTTGATGCTCAACGGCCGGCCTGTCGTACATGAGGCCCTCATGCCGGCAGGCAAGCCTAAGCCGCCTGACGTCATCACTGGGCTGTCATCGGCGGCGGCGCCGGAGACGGAGGCGGAGGCGGTGTCTACTCGCGACAGCGGCGGCGGCGGTGCAGGACCGTTAGTTGACGGCGGTTGGTACGACATGGTGCCTAGCGCCGCCGCCGCCGCCGCCGCTGCCACTGACCTGCCGCCGCGGTCGACGGCGACGCTGTCGCTGCCGACGTCAGCGGCGGCGCTGACAAAGGCCCTGGCGGCGGCGGCGGCAGAACTAGCGGCGGCGGCACCGGCGTCAGCCGTTGTCGTACCACCAGGAGCTCCTGACGGCGGCGGCGAGGTCGGCGATGGCTGCCTTAGTACAGTACGACTAGATGCGCACTTTGAGGCTCGTGCCGTACTGTGTGCGACAACGCTCTGGGCGGAGGCGGGTCACGTGGTATCGCAGCAGCAGCTGGGGCTACCGGAGCAGGTGGGTGAGCGGTAGGAAGTGCAGGGGGAAAGCAGCTGGCCCTTGAGCTTCCTTCAACACTGCCCCCCTAGCTTTCCTCGTCCTACCTTGTCTTGGCGAGTAGGGTCGAAGACTGCTTTGAGTTGCTACCAGCTGTTACCGGCTGTCGAGAAGGGCAGTGGCCGGGAGGAGCGCTGTGCCCGAGAAAACCGTTGTAGTTGGTCCCACACGACACGACCGTCAACTGATAGCCGTTCCCTTTTGCTTATGCTGCTTGTGCCCCTTGTTGCAAAGCTCAGGTTCGCAACCCTTCTTCCATACCTCCTCAGGTAGACCTAGGTGCAGCGGAGCGGGCAGCAGCGGCGGTGCTGGACGAGCGGCGGCAGCAGCGCACCGCGGCTGCACCTGCCCCCAACTCCTCCTCCTACTCAACCGATCAGCAGCAGCAGCCGTTGCTGCAGTACAGCCAGGTACGACACGAAACACCACACCCCTCCCCGGTAGTTACCCCAACATGTCTCTGCCGCCATCTCACCTCACCCTGGCTCCCTGCTCTCTCCATGTGTGGCTCCCAAACCCACACTGCTCCAACCCCTTCAACCCCCTTTGCACGTCGACTCCCACGCAGGATCCCATCAGCCATACAGTCACAGTCAGCGGCGGCCCACGGGGGCTGCTTCTCCGCATAGGCGGCGGCAGCGGCTGCATCGAAACGTACGACGTCGGGACAGTGGGCAGCGGCGACGGTGGCGGTGGAAGTGGTGGCAGTGGCTGCGGTGGTATTGGTAGTGGTGTGTCGCTGCTAGCGGCGCCGTTGCAGCCGTGCTTCTTCCGCGCTTGCACGGATAACGACCGCGGTGGTTTCTGCGGCGGCAGCTACGCGGCCCGCTGGGTGGCTGCGGGTCTAGATCGGCTGGAGACGCATGGTGGGTGTGTGGGTGGGGTTGCATGGAGTGGCTGGGGATGATAGTGCTGTTAAATCCTCGATGCCTAATGCCCAGCTCATCGTCGGGAAAGGGTGAGTTGGGGTTTCCCATCGCTTCGTCCTATCTATCCGCACCGCAGCGTTATCATCCGGACATGCACCACACCATGCACCATCCCACCCCTCGCTGTTGCCCCCTCTCCCCAACTCCCCCAGGCCCCGTCGACATCGCTGTAGAGCCCACACCTCCAGGGGTGCGGGTGAGAGCCGCCTGGACGATGCGACCCAGAAGGAGGCTGCCGGGGGAGGATGTGGGGGCGGGCGCGCAGGTGAGGGGCATGAAGAGGTGGGGTAGTGGGATGACTGTTTGTGGTGAAACACCGGTATGCTTGATGGCTGCCTGTGTGTTAAGGAAACTGGCCACGACCCGTGTGTTAAGGAAACTGGCCACGACCCGTGTGTGTTCATCGTCCCACACGCGTGGGGGACATCTGAGTCATGCATTTCAGGAGTTGGGTGCCCTATCCCCTCCCGCTGACGCGTGTTGCCCCCATGCGTGCATGCCTGCGAGCAGGAGGGAGTGGGAATCGGCGAGATGGGCGGAGCGCACTGGTTCGCGGTGCAGGAGCAGACGGAGGAGGAGCAGACGGAGGAGGGGCAGGGCGAGGGCGGGGACCAGGGTGGTGCAGGGAAGCAGCAGCCGACCGGCACAGAGGGCGCCCCCGGTACCCCTGCTGCAACCACCACAGCCGTTACGGCAACTGTCAACACAACCACCACCACCACCAGCAGCATCCAGCTTCCTGGCAACACCACCGCCACCAAGGATGCTGGGACTGCTGAGGTGGATGCGTCCGCATGCGCTTCTGCTTCTCCCGCTGATACCGCTGATACTGCTGAGGGCGAAATCCGGATCCAAGCCCTGTACGACATATCTGCCGCCTCCGGCCATGTCCATATCTCCTGGCACATGGACACCCGCAACGCCCTGCCAGCCGCACCCCCTACCGGCCTCCTCCATTCGCTGCCGCGTGTGGGGGTACGCAGCGCCGCCCCCGCCCGCATGCGCCGAGTCGCCTGGCTGGGCCGCGGCCCCCACGAGTGCTATTGGGACCGGAAGGCCAGCGCAAGGGTCGGCTTGTACGGCGCTGCCGTACGGGAGATGCGCACGCCGTACATCTTCCCGCAGGAGTCCGGTGGTCGTGAGGACGTACGCTGGCTGGCGCTGCTGCCAGAGCCGACAGCGGCGGAGGGTGGGGCGGAGGGTGCGGTGGCACCGGGCCTTATGGCCGTTGCGGCGTCAGCGCTGGGCCCTCATGAATGTTCCCCTCGCCCTGCTTCCTCTCCACCCCTCCTGCACATTTCGGTTTCAAAGCAGGCCTTGGAAGCCGTACATGCAGCCCGCCACGATCACGAGATCCAGCCGGATCCGCAGTGTCGTACATTCTTCCACTTGGATCACCGCCATATGGGTGTGGGCGGCGACGACAGCTGGAGCCCCAGCGTGCACGCGGAGTACCTGGTGCCGCCAGGGGTGTACGAGTGGGGCATGACGCTGGGTCCGTGTGTGGAGGCGGCGGAAGCGGAGTGGTCGTACTGCACCCTGGCGGCGGCGGCGGCGGTGGCGATGGCGAAGAAAGGTTAGAGTTTTCTTTCCGATGTGGATTGTTACAGAGGTAGGGCAGGAAGACAAAGAAAACAAGTCCATACCAGGGGGGTTGGAAACCCCTGGAAGCCTCCGGAGGGAACCACCTGTAAGTGGTTTGGCACAACTTTGAAGTGGTTTGGCGGGGATTCAAGCACGGTACGTTGTCGTTGTCGGCAGGGAGCAGCGGCAGGGGTTGCCATCAGCATCAGCATCAGCATCAGCATCAGCAGGGGAGCCGCCGTCGCGCATTGATTGTCTTGCGGAGTTAGAACCCGTTGGTTGAAAACGGTACCGGTTTATGTGTTGGCGTGGAGAATCTTGAGAGGATCCAGGGGCCGAAGCTAGGTGCGCAAAGCTGGGGAAGGAGTTCAAGTGGGGGTCAGACGGGGGCTAACGACGGTGAAGAGGCATGAGTTTGTGGCTCCGCAAAGGTTCGGATTTAGTTCGGAGAACTAATGTTTTCCAGCATTCTTCGGAATAATATTATGATCTGAGCGGCGTCCTGAAGTTTGCTGGGATGTTCACGACTGTCGCAATTCGCCGTCGTGGTTCGTTGGCACCTAGCTATACACCGGATGCATGGATCGCTTACACTTACGGCCATGCAACCACCTTCGGTCTTGTGACTGTAATTGAGTGGCAAGATGGTAGATGGTACCTGGTTTGGGATAGCCAAATCCATATTTAACCGTACCCTGTCGTATCCCACGTTTCTCGGTACCCAGGACTGCTGCTGCCACGCTTTCATGCAGCGCACATGTCAACCGTTATTGATTAATTGTAAACACGGCCTAAAGTGATCAATTCTTTCAATAATTGCGCTTGACTTTCTACAGGCCTTCAGAATTTTGGACTGTCCTTTCCTTCTAAGAGCTTCTATATCACCATGGGAAAGACTTGATATACTTATTAGAACCACTGTTATAAGTGCGTGATTCGGAGTGGTACAACCCGCTATAGTTGGGCGTGTTAAAAAAGGGACGGAAAAGGGTGCAGCTTGCGGGACCACGTATCCCTTACGGAAGGCTTGGCAGCAGAGCTACGGACAACCATGACAACAGGGTAAAGGGCCCCTGCACAGGACATTATGTTCTGCTGCTTCTCCGGTGGACCCCCGGGTGCAGCCCGCCAGGTGGTGCAAGAGCAGCAGCCTGCACGCCAAGCGGAGATCCTGGGGTTGCCTGTGCAGCAGCCTGTGCAGCAGGAAGTATTACACGCAGCACCGCAGCCAGCACAAGATGGGTCCAACCGACAAGAATCGTCAAGTCGTGATAACACTATTGCTCAGTTATCTCAGGTGCGTTTGAAAGCACAGTTTCCTACGGGGCAGGCGCACAGAGCGACGGTTGTTGGAAAAGCATGTCTTCTCAACTCGTTGTGGCGGCTTAAAAGCAATGATTGTTGTGTTTATGCCTTCGTTCTATGCAGATACTGGCTGGGGTGCCAGCAGCGGGAGCACGAAGTAACGACTTATGGGCAAATTTGCAGAAAAGCGCTGACAGTGTTGTCGGAGCCCTGGCTATAACTGCCGCGAGGTAGGTGCGCTGCCATTGCTTGCTTAGGGCCGGTGCAGGACTCTTAAGGGCGGGGCGTGAACTGGCGTGGAGTTGCCTTAATGGCACCGTATCGATGTAACTGAAAGCGCGGACCATGTCGCTCCTGCTGCCTGTCTTTGCGGCCTTGATTTTGTAAGAATGCTCATGATTGCTGAAAACCCAGGAAACGGAGGTTAATATTTGGGCTGCCTGTTTCCGGTTTCCTCTCTGGCACGCACAGCGTAGGCTGACGCGCGGGTCTAGTCCTTACAATTGAGGTCTAACATGCACACAGCCCAATTATTCTCATAAGCGTTTGGCTGGGCACGATGTAAGGGCAGGATCACGTCCTGCCTGCATACAGACTACCACTCCGGAAGCCGACTCCGGAAGCCCGAACGAAGCTTAATGCATACCCGGGTTCCCCTCCATTTCCTTCCGCGCCCGACACAGTTTTTACATCTTCACATCCTCCCGGCGCTTCTGCAAGGTTGTGCCGAACAGTAACTCGCCTCAGTGCGCTGGGTTGCGGAAAAGCGGATGGGAGCTCTGCCACTCAGCAGAGGCTCCCAGCGCCGCTCAGGTGGCTAGCAGCCGCGCACCATCCTACTTCCAGGTACGACCCTTCCATACCACAGGCATGCCCGGCTGTACTTCACCTCTCTCTTCGCCTCAGGCAGGGCTGCTATCGACTCACGGCCCTCCAAAAATGTTTGCACCCGCCTGATCACAGTGTCCTCCCACCATCCTACCGCTTTCTTTGCGCCATTCCTCATCCCTGGCCACTCTTACTCCTTCAAACCTCATCTCACCACATGTTACATAATCCATTTCCGATGGTGCCCTGTTGCAACATGACAACATCCCTCCCTGGTTCGCTGACGCCACCCTCCCGGCCGCAGTTGCCCCCCAATGCGCCCGCCTCGCACTCCCGCGCGGTGCCGCCGGACCTGCAGCTGCTGCACCAGTGCGGCTGCCAGGCCTTTGTCACGCTGCCGCTCTACCAGGTGCGGCAGCCGGACGGATGGATGCGGGTGGGGTTGGGAACCTTCAGTCGGTACAGCCCTGGTCTCACGTAGCGGTGGGCGTCATGCGGCACCCTGCAGCACGCTGGCCAACGGCCGCAGCAACCTACAAAGCTGCTGTAGGGGCTGGTTGGATGGATGGCCGTTAGGAAAAAATGCAGACAGGAAGCAAAGGCTAAAGGGAAAGCAAAGCCAGAAGGCGACACACAAACAGGTGGAGGTTGTGCACATTAGGAAGATTCCGGCTGCATGGGGAAGAGGCGGCGCTGTTGGCTGGCAGGCTCCCATCTTTTCCCCGTCCTCCTCATCTTCCTCCCTCTGCAGGGTCAGGTGGTGGTGGGCGCGCTGCTGCTGGCGCATACAGAGCCCATCCCCGCCCTAGCTGAGCACCGCTGGCTGGCGGCCTACCTGCCGCTGCTGTCGCTCTACCTGGCGGAGACCTCGGCGCTGCGGCTGGTCAACTTCACGGAGAAGATCCAGACGGCGGTTGGACTCAACCACCTGGCATGGATCGTGTCCTCGGAGCTGGACAGCTGGTTCGAGTGGTGCCACCCGGATGACACGGAGGCGCGGCTGGTGCTGCTGGCGCCGGGTGAGGGAGTGGAGGGAGGGAAGGGGTGGTAGGTGAAGGCGGGTGGAGCGGCTGGTTAGGGGAGGTGTACAGCTTCCTGCGGGGGCCGGTGAGGGGAGAGGTGGTGGAGCGGCGAGAGCTGCAGTTGATGTGGGTTGGTGAAGTTGCGTGTGGGTTGCAGCGACACCCCACCCCCTGCCCCACTCACCGCCCCCTTCTCTCCTGCCCCCCGTCCCCTCCCCTAAACAGACCAGACGGCCGCCATGGTGCTCTCCCGCTCCGTGGGCACCCTGCGCGCCTTCGACCCGGTCAACTCCATTGACGTGCTGCTGTCGGGCGGGGTGCGCAGCAGCGGCTCGGCGCTCCACTCCACCCGGCGCTCCTCCACTCTGATGGACCCGGAGGTGGGGGCGGCACTGCGGAGGGACTCCTCCTTTGCGTCGCGATCCATGCCCGTGGCGCCCTCGACAGGCGGCAAGCCGGTGAGGGTTGGGCTTGGATGAGGGGAGGGAAGGCGGCGGTTTAATTGGGTGCGTGGGTGGGTACAAAGGGCAGCTGGGGCTGTGGGCGGGTCGGGTGAAAAGATAAACTCTCTTCTTTCCTTTCCTTGAATGCAGCCCCCATTTACTCACTTCAGCGCATTCAGGATTGCCTGTTATCCTCCCTTCCACTGCTGAACGACAGCCGTACCCCTTTACATGCAGCCATCCACCCTCTTACATCCCATCTACTCGAATCCCCCCTCCATGCACCCCAGCACACCGAGGAGGGGCTGCTGGGCACGCACATGTCGCTCTCCAACACGCTCACGCGGCGCTGCCTGGCGGAGGGCTCCAAGCTGCTGTTCGTGGCGGATGTGATGGCGGCGCTCAAGAAGTACGGCGAGCCGTGGAAGGACGTGTTCATGGAGCAGGCGCGGGTCACTAACCCGACGTGGTGGGTCGGGGAGCGGGAGAGGAGTGGGAAGGAGGGAGGAAAGGAATGTAGAAGGGATGAGGGAGAGAGGGAGGGAGCACGGCTGGAGAGGACGGGGGTCGTACCTCGTGCGTTTCGGGAAGGCAGGGTGGAGAAGAGGTTGCGGTTGCAAAGCAGCCTACCTGCGCAGTCTGCCTTAAATCACCACCCCCAATCACTTCCCGGCCCGTCCCCCTTCTGACGCCTTAGTCTGACGCCTCAGTCAGTTCGTTGTTTCCTCTTTTCCCCCCTCTCTTCCTGCAGGGTGGTTGCTGCGCCCATCGCTCACGGTGGGCGGCACCTGGGTGCCATCCTGTGGCTCTCCAGCTCGCGACTCAACCCCAACATGCTGGCCCAGAGCGCCAAGGCGTCCGTACCGCTTCTGCTGCACACAGTTGCCAGACAGGTGCGCCAAACTCTCTATCCCCCCCAACCCAGTTCGCCACTCCTCGCTCCTCCCCTGCCTTCCGACACCTTGCAACTGCACAAACACAGTCCTGGTAATGGATACCACCATCTACTCCACCCTTCCCCCGTTCCCTGATGGAGCTTGTCTTATGTTTAGCATTCTCATTCAACGCATTGGGAATTCTTTTTCTTCCCCCGTTCCCTCTCCTCCCCCAGATGGTCCACATCATCCAGCAGGTCAGCACCGCCGCCGGGGCAGTGGACGACCCCACCGTCTTCTGGTCGCAGCTGCTCGCCATGCCGCACCTCAACATCCACTCGGGCGCGCACGCCACCGGCACCGGCCTAGCCACCGGCGGCGCCACCGGGGCAGGCTACACCGCCACGGGGCACGTGGGGCTGGACACCAGCGAGCTGGGCGCCTCCTCGCTAGGCGGCTCGGGCATGCCGGGGTACAACCTGGGCGGTAGCGGCTTCAGCGATGCGCTCATGGGTGGCGCGGGCGGGGGCCTTATGGGGGCGGGTGCGGGCGGCATGGAGGCGGGCAGCAGGCAGCTGCGCTACACGGTGATGGTGCGGTCGGACAGCGTGTCCACGTCAGCGCTGGTGCGCGCCTACCAGACCGCCATCCTGCAGCACCAGCGCTCTGCGGCGGTGACGAGCGGCTCGGAGGTGGCGTCGGCGTACGAGGAGATACAGGTGTGGTGGTGGGAGGCTGCGATGGGGGGGGCTGCCTTTGGGGGGTGTCGTCGTGCGCTTGTGGGGCTTGCGGGAAGGAAAGGCGCGCATGCGCGTAGGGACCCCACCAAACATCTTGGAACCCCGCATGCTGCAGCACAACTCCGTTTCCTAATCCTCCTCAGGCTGCCAACCCATCCTCCTCTCCTTCCTAGCGCACTGCAAGCCCGTACGGTCCCCCTTCTCTGCCCCCTCTTTTCCAATCCGTCCGTCCAGGTGATCGCCAAGGCGGGACAGGGTGCCTTCGGCTCCGTGTACGTGGCGCTGTGGAAGGGCCTGGTGGTGGCAGTCAAGGTGATGCGGCAGCAGGCGGAGGGGCGGAGGGCCATGCGCACCGCCTGGGAGCTGGCCGTCACCAAATCCGTCAGCCACCCCAACATTGTCATGGTGTATGCCATATTCACGGATGTGGTGGTGGTGAAGCTCTCCAAGCGTCTCATTCGCTTCGTGCCGGCGGCGACGACGCTGGCGGACCCTGCGGCGACGGGCGGGTCGTCGTTTAGCGGAGGGAGCGGCGTGGGGTTAGGTGGCGGGAGTGGAGCGGCGGGGGTGGCAGGAGGAGGCGGAGGTGGGGAAGGGAATGGGGGTGCAGGGGGTGGCGGTGGTGGTGGAGCGACGCCGATGGGGACGGGGACGACGACGACGCAGTCGGATTCGGGGGCGCGATGTCAGGTGGGTGGAGTTCCCTAGGTTGGTTCGGTGGGTCGGGAGCTGTGGGCCTGCGAGGGAACGGTTGGCGGTTGGGAATTTTTACGGGCTGGATTACGCGTTAGCCTAGTTACCTAGGTGGGTTTCTCCATCGGGCACGGTGGCGACTCTTCTTCCTGCTCATGCCAGACTGTTAGCCTCGTGCCGATTACCCATGTTTAGTCGTACACACCGACCGCCGCCTCAAAACAACCATGCCTGCCTTGTCCTATCCCGGCTCCGCTGGGTTCTTTGCTCCCCTTTTCTTCCTCTTCCTCTCCTGTGCCTCACCACCTCCTCCCTGCCTGCCAGGTCATCATCATGGAGTACTGCAACCTGGGGCCGCTGCACCACTACGTGGCAGAGCGCCGCTACGCGCACCAGCAGCTGGCCCAGCAGCAGCAGCCACAGGGCGCCGGTGGCGGTGCTGCTTGTGCCGCGTCAGCGGAGGGGAGCTCCACGGCTGACGGGACCGCTGCTGCTGGTGCGGCCTCCGGAGCAGCAGCGGCGGCAGCCAACGGCGGCTCAGCAGCCCCGGCGGCCACCACTAGCACTAGCCATCATAGCAACCAGCACCACGGCTCCCATGCACCCGGCGGAAATAGCAGCAGCAGTAACCACAACGCCAGCGCTCAAAACAGCGGCAGTGCAAATGCCTGCATTCAAGGTGGTGCGCCGCCGGGGGCTTGCGGCGGAGGCAGCGGCAGCAGCAACACGCCGCTGGGCTGCCTGCCTGCGACTGCGGTGACGGGTCCTGTGGAGTTCAGTACGACATTATCCACGCTGCTCGAGGTGGCCTCGGCGCTACAGTACCTGCACTCGATGGGCTTCATACACTGCGACCTCAAGCCGGAGAACGTGTTATTGAAGGTGCGTGGTGCGTGAAGGGAGCTTCCAGTGTGTTCTGCGGCTAACAAGCAGGGCAAAAACCGGGCCTCTTGAGGCATTTTGAGAAGCCGGCCCCTTCAGGCGTTTTGGGAACCAGGCATTTTGCATGCCTCAAATCAACACCAACGTGCCCCGCAGGCTAGCCCGGGTGACCCGCGGGGCTTCACCATCAAGGTGTCGGACTTTGGGCTCAGCGAGCTGCTGACCAGCGACGGGCCGCTCATGGGGGAGCTGGGCGGCACGGTGACCCACATCGCACCGGAGATTGTGACGCACAAGCGCGTCACCAAGGCCGCGGATGCATACGCGTTTGGAGTGGTCATGTGGGAGCTGCTCACAGGTGGGTCCTGGGCGGGGAGAGGGGCCTGTGCCGCGTGTGTCTCCTGGCTTCCCACGGGTCCCCTTCCTCCCGCGCCCCCCCCACCCCTCCCCCACTGCCTTCCCTGATCCCTCAGGCAGCCGCCTTTATTCGGACCTGTTCAACTCCAGCCGGGAGAAGCGCGTGCGTGACAAGCTCATCCTCGCCAAGGTGGCGCACGAGGGGCTGCGACCGGTGTTCCCCGAGGGCACCCCGACCGAGTACGCGGTGCTAGCGCGCCGCTGCTGGGCCGCCGACCCCACCATGCGGCCCACCTTTACGGAGGTTCTCAATGAGCTGGAGATCATGCAGCGGCGCTACTGCAAGAGCGTGCAGGCGGCGCTGCCGGGGTTAGAGGGCCTGCTGGGCGGTACGGCAGCGGCGGGAGCGGGGACGGCAGCAGCGGGGGCAGGGGCGGGGACGGCAGCAGGGGCGACTGGGTCTGTGGCGGGGGCCACGGCAGCGGCAGGGATGGGAGGCGGGCCTGAGGGTGGGAGTGGGGCTGGGTCGGCGACTGGGAATACCGCCGCCACCACTGGCGGCAACACGGCGCCTCTGCCGTTGCAGCCTTCACAGCGGCCGCAGTCGAATCAGCCTATCACCCGGGCTGCGACTGAGGTGGGCATGGCGTCGGCGGTGTCTCCCCGGGGACCTGGCTCGCCTCTTGTGAATGCAGTCGGTGTGTCGCATGGGCTGCTGCCACCACAGCACCCGCAGCAGCATCAACACCCGCAGCCACAATGCCCCGCACCCTTCGCCTCGCGTTTTGACCGGGTCAGCGGCGGCAACGGAGCGGCGGCGCAGCAACAACCGTACGGGGGCGGTGGCGGAGGAATGAACGTGACGGCCTTGTCGCCATTGCGCGCTGGGAGCGCGCATGGGACGTTGCAGCCGTCACCCCTGCGGCAGGTGACCACTGCGCGGGGCTCTGGAGCTTGCGGCGGCTATGCTGGTCGCGATGCGGCGGCCGCAGGTGCGGAAGGTGAGGGCGAGGCTGCTGTGGACCGAGAGGGGCAGTCGGCTGGGAGCTAGGACGCGCTATGGGAGGTATGCAGTGGTCAGGCAGGGCGCATGCGCGCATGCATGCAGGGGAGGCAGGGGGCCTGGCGCTTTGCCGCCTGTCGCCGGGTGGTGTAGGAACAACGGCATTGGTAACGGTGTGGTAGCACGTTTAAGGTGGTAGCCAAGCAGCCCCTTAATTATGATGTAGCATGCGGTTATTGTAGCATGCATGGCTTAAGACTCAGTGACTGTTGGTGGTGCTGATTTGTGGCATCGGGGTTGGTAAGTGCACGCGTGACAGTTGGACACAGGCAGTTTGTGGGGATGTCGGTTTGCGTTTTACGGGGCGACCTTGGGTCAAAGGGCGGCACTGGAGGTCGGTTGTTACCAAGTAAGTACCCAAGAAGTGTACGATATGGTGGGCATCGGCGGCATTGCTAATTAATACATGTCGACGGGATAACCGGTTGACCGCGGCATCAGTATTCTTGTGGGGATTGGCCGAAGGACTGTTGACGTGAGGATATGGGGTTGGATTGCGGCATGTGAGGGAAAAGGGCCCTGGGAATGGAGGAGTGCTTGTGTGCTGACCCAGCCGTTTGCTGTCTTGCGAACGGCCTTATTCCTTCGGGCACCTGTTGCTGCCCCCTCCCGTTATTCGGGAAATGTGTTGCAGCGTTCTGGCGCGTGCCGGTCGCGGGCAGCATATTGCGATGCTGTGACGTGCGTTTGCTGGCAAACTAAGGAGCAATGGCTTTTATTCATGAAAGTGCATCCCACGCTTTGCAAGGAGCGGGGCTTTCAAGTTCCTAAGAGCGCGCGCGTATGGTGACTACATTAAAACAGAAGGTACTGCTTCAACTTGCGGTAGACCGCAATTTGGGGCCCGGTGGGAAGCGACAATCGGGCGCATCGTCGCGACATCATTTGGGAAGACGCCCAATACCGTAGGATAGGTCGTTTGCACAGGGCCAGCTTGGAGGCCGTTGCTTGTGGCTGGTGCTGCTGCTGATAGTAGGGTGCATAATCGCTGTTGACGATGTGAACGATGATATTACGATGATGGGAGTGTTTCTAGGCATTTGTGTACTTTGGCACCTGCACGCACCTGCAGACCGCAGCAGAGGTGCACCGCAGGGGGGCCGAAGGGGTCGTTAGGCAGGGGGGTCGTAGCTGTTGCTGGGGTTGTGAATGTCACGTGGCATCCAACGGCGGATTTCGTCCCCGGAGTCCATGCACCATGCAGGACACACGTGGCGGCGCACTAGGGAGTGGAGATGCATAGCGTAAAGGACATGTCAGTGGTGGTGGAAAGCATACCTGACGATACACTGGGTTCTCGCCTAGTACGCTAGGTGGTGCTTTGCCGACGTGGTGGTGCGGCAAAACAGCTGGGCTGTTGCTTATTGCGTGGCATGGCACGCGGCCGTAATGAATGTGATTGAACACGGTGATAACTGTTGCCCCGGCTACCCAAATGACGGGCCAAATCAGTACCTAGGTATTAGATATTTGGTGTGAACGACCGAGCTTAAAACGCTGCGTCCATGGTTCTTCAGCGTTGCTTGGTCACTGCTGCAGCACAGCAGACGTACAAAATCCCAGCTTGCAGTGGTGGCTTGGCTAGCCTTTGTGCCAGGGAAACCAGGGAAACAAAGTTGCAACCGATACAACCAACCTTCCTTGAAAGAAGAACAACCAAGGCTTTTATTGGGTTAAGGGGTTGTCTTCAATGCTGTTTACATAATTGGTTTCTATAATGGCCAGAAGCTACGGTGTCGAGGTTCCCGCGGACACGGATTCGGAGCGGAGGATCGACGGCCTTAGGTCTCACGAAACATAATGCGGTAGCAATGTTTGCTACTGTATCGTCACTGTATCTATTGCCGAACTCCCGTCGCCCACCCAAGTGTGTATCCAGGACAGGAAACCTCCTACACACTCGAATCCGGTTATCCTATGCTCCTTAATTGGCTATACTTGCCTTTAGGATCCTACAATTGACCAAGCAGCTTTAGTGGCAATTAGCAGGACTTGTCGCGCATTCGCACGCGACAATGCTAGACCGCGCACTCCTACGGTTGGAGTCTGCGGCATCGACGTCGCCGCGCTGCCAGGCGATGCATGGTACACTGATAAGGTATATATTTTAGGTAAAAATGGGCGGACATCTGGCGCATTTCCTGCCCAAAGTGGTCCACTACCACCCATCCGGGCTTGCAGGCCTCGCCGGCAACTATGGGCGTTCAGGGCTGTGCAACTTTTAAACCAAGTAAGGTTATGAGAGCCTACGTAAGCGACAAGGCGCAGAATAGTAGTGTGTGGATTTCCTTGCGAGCGCCTTCTCACTCGACTCGATTTTGTGGCGATTAAACAATTGTTGCCCCAGTCCCTAGGGCACACCCGTTATATACGCAATGTATATCACACTAAACGTATATTTCGGCGTATCGCATAGAACGGTTTCACCTGCGTGACTTTCTGGAATTTCTACCCTTCTACCGCCCCTGCCGAGCCACGCTGCGCAACTAAGCTTGCCCCCCGGTGCCCCTCCGACTGCAAACCAGCTGCCTCGCGGATCGGTTCGGCAACGCCGAAGCCGTGTCATGTGCTTTACCCACCGCCCAGACGGCAGCAGCGCACGCAGCAAATCGCGTCTGAAAGGATCCCCCGCGGACAAGGTGCGCTTGGGCGCTGGAGGCGTGAGTGTAGCCGGCTGTGCCTTTTTACATCGCAAGTTGGCGAGACCCATGTCCTTTGAGTTGTCAGATAACATGGGTGCTTCAGTTTAGCAGCTCACTATGTACGCCAGCTTTCCACTAACAGCTGCGCCCGGTTCCAGCTACTTACACGCTTGCCGGCTGCCTTGTTCTTGCTGCAGTCGCCCCCGCCCGTGGACAGCCTCGCCTCAGCGACCTCCAGCTTCGACGCTGACGCGCTACTTGCAGAAGAGCACCTGGTTGCGGCTGTGCAGGTGCGTGCAGGGCGGGATGTCGGAGGGAAGCGGCCATGGGTGAGGTGGCAGAGCGGAGCGAGTTTGGGATAAACAGAATACCACCGAAAGCGCAGGAGGGGCGCGACCGGCCAAGCAGGTGGAAGCGGGTCGAGAAGTTAGATCATGAATGAGGAGATACGATGGCAAGACAAGACACGGGAAACGGTCGGGATTGATTCCGGCTTGTGAAGCGGTAGTATACCGTTTGAAACGGGATGGTCCGAGACCCATTGGTTGAGGGAGGGTTAGTAACCGAGCCACGAGGGAAGACTGTCCTGGACAGTCTGTCCATGACAATAATGAGATCGCAGTCAGTTGGCTGAGACAGGGATGATGGAAATTGCTAACAAAATACTTGCTTCTTGGTAACCTATGGCTTGACACGATAGGGAAAGGACATGGCCCCGTGTTGTTTCCTTGGTACCTCTCCTGCTTGGTTTGCCACCCATGCGTCCCCATTAGCACAATACAAGGACGCGTTTGTGCGTTATGCAACATTGTCCAAGTAATTACTTCGTGCTGAACATGTCAGCTAATACCTCCGCGGCCCGTCCACGACACCCCACAGCCCCTGATTGACGGCCTGTCTGGATGGCGAAAGCGATGGACCGTGGTGGGCATGTGCTTCGTGGCCTTCGTGCTGTGCAATTTAGACAGGTAAGAGGATCAAGTCTTGGGCGTTTGACCCCGGGTGCATTGAACTCCTTGTTTGTGGGAATGCTTCAGCATCGTCCTGGCATACCGGTACTCTTACTCGTTGTTAACCATTGAAGGAGGCCAGGAACCTATATATGAAAACCAAACATGTGTGTTTCTTTGACATAAGCATTTCCGCTTCGTCAGGTTACCGGTAGTGGCATTGCCATCAACTTAAGCAACTGCAGCCGCGCTGCATCCCTCATGTAATGTACTGAACGTCGTCATCATCAGTGTTGCCATACAGTTCCAACGGATCCCTGAGTACTATGTGCACTTCGTGTCGCCATCTGTAACGAACACGTTAGCTTCGTCAGCATGCCAAGAATGTATTACTACTGGCCGTTTGGCCCTTACACCAGAAGTCTATTAGTAAGATATAACGACAGAGAAGCAGTCATACATCATTACAAGGATTCGCAGCTTTAGGTGCGGTCATGACTAATCGACAAACCAGTTGCGATTACGATAATTCAGTTACGGTCACCAGCGTGGCGCTTTACTAATAAAACTGGCAAATCTTATATTTCTTTGTTGACATAATTCGATGGTTCTGGGTTTATACTTCAGGGTGTCAATACTCATAGTGGTAACCGCTGGTGGTCGGGGCATACCAGGGGAGCGACACTGCTACGCGAAATCTCCACAACGCATCGCATGAAGGCTCTTTACCAGCTAGTCTCGCGTATCGGTGTCAATAATCATCTCTTTCCTGGCTTACCATGATACTCTCGATGTCTTTCGCTTTCTGTTGTGTCTGTCAGCTTGCAGTTGTATTCTTAGCAGCCAGTGCATCAGCAAAGCACAGAAGCGGTTTTTAGGAAAGAGTGTTCCTGTCTGGTCCTCAGGTTGTCGCTCGCTCTCATTTTGCAGTGGCATGCCCAACTGCTGCGCCCGCCAATTCTGGCCTCGCAGCAAGGCAGGCACTTACTTCCAGGCGGACACGATAACAGAAATGAGGTCCGCAATATGTTGCTTTGCAAGTTCGAAAATGTAAAATCGCCGAAGGTTAACCTGTAAATGTGCATGCCATCGGTCAAGAAACTAAAAGCGCTCCTTGTCCTTGAAGAATGCTGGTCTCCTCAGCTGTTTACGCGTGCGGTAGTACCAGCTGAAGCAATCCTGCGAGGGCCACCTCATAAGCGTGGTTCATGTGCTCAGACTGACCCAGGCATACCCTTTCCAGTCTGAACCTCCACATGAAACGTTTTCCATCCGGCAAAGACGCGGTGCCTCAAACGTACATGCCAGTAGCCGAAGCGGTGGAGGTTAGGCTGGTGAGGGCAACCTCTTAAGAGGCAGTTTTGCGGTTTCCAAGCACTGGTCCTTCACACCACCCTCACAACAATTTCCCAGTCCGTACACCCTTCGTGCCCTGACCGCTTCCACAATGCCCCCATCCACTAGCGGTCCATACAAGAGAACGGGACGTAGCTATTAAACCTATTGTAATCCAACCCCTCAAACTCTTTAGTGACTCCCTTCTCCTCGTTCCCTATCGGGCTTCACTTTCACGCACCTGCACGCCCGTACACAAGCGTGCAGCACACCGGTAACCTTGCTTGTATCAACGAACCCCTTCCTTTTGTTCGTCCGCCCGTCTATGGTGACGGTCCCTCGTTATCATCAGCCTTCTTCATCCTTTCTCACTGCCGTGCGAGGTTATACCCGTGTAACCCCCTCCTCTCTTATGGCAGCTATTCCCCGGTCTCCAAAGCCCGGGCCTTTCCCGCTAACCCCCTCCCCCTCTTGGCTCCCTTTCCTTATCCACCGGCTCCCCCCGCTCCCCCCTTCCCTCCCTGTCCACCCCCAGGGTCAACATGTCCATCGCCATCCTGCCCATGGCTCAGCAGTACGGCTGGGGGGCGGCAACCATGGGGCTGGTGCAGTCGTCCTTCTTTTGGTGGGTGGGGAGAACAGAAGGAGAAGATGAGCTCCGGTGGTTGGTTGGGGGAAAGGGCAGGAAGGCTATAGTGGCAAGCGGTAACATGAATGGCCGTCATGACTAAATCAACATGTGGTAGGTGTATGTGTGTGGAGGGTGACATTGCTGAAGGGAGCCAAGTGGAGCCACATGCATGTGCCAGGGACTATATTTTCCTAAACCAACATGCTGCATACATTACGGCACTCTTCTATCACCAGTTCGGCTCGACTTACGGATATTCCCTCAGGGCTTACTTGTCAGCTAGTTTACCACTATCACACCACATATTGGATATCCTTCTCCTCCCCCCTCCCATCGACAGGGGCTACCTGTTGACCCAGGTGGCGGGCGGGGTGCTGGCGGACAAGCTGGGCGGCAAGTCGGTGCTGGGGCTGGGGGTGCTGTGGTGGTCGCTGGCCACCGCCGCCACCCCCGCCGCGGCCGCCTGCGGGCTGCCCACGCTGCTGGCGGCCCGCGCGCTGATGGGGGTGGGCGAGGGGGTGGCCATGCCCGCCATGAACGCGCTGCTGGCCAAGTGGGTGCCGACGGGGGAGCGCGGGCGCAGCCTGGCACTGGTGTACAGCGGCATGTTTACAGGTGGGGGTGAGGGGGGGAGTGGGGAGCGGGGTTGTGAGGGGGGGGGTAGCTGGGTTGAGTGTGCATGGGGAGAGTGACGGATGGGGAGAATGGCAAGGAGGTGGATTACGCGGTCCATGACATGCGGTGTGTTGCGGAAAACTGGCCGCGAGTAGGAACGAGCTGGAACGTGCAGTGTGTATGTCGTCGCAGGTGGTGGCGTGCAGTCGCCCGGATCGGGGTTCTAGCGGCTGGAGGATCGGCATGGCGGGGAAGGAGCGGAGGCGGGGTAGCCCCTACCTGGCTGCTCTGCGGCCGGCCCCAGGACACGAACCCCTCGCCTCACCCATCCCCTCTGCCCTCCTACTGCATGCATCACGTCCCCTCCGGCCTCGCTCCTGCCTCCCTTCATCCCCTTCTCCCCTTCCCCACCCGCCCTCAGGTTCCGTGCTGGGCCTGGCCGCCAGCCCGCACATTCTGTCCTCCTTTGGCTGGCCCTCCGTCTTCTACAGCTTTGGTAGCCTGGGCGTCATATGGTGGGCGGGCGGATGGGTGGGGACGATCCCTCAAGCGCATGCAGCAGTGCAGCGTCCCTGGCTTTACCCCATGCACAGCCATTATAAACCTTGCTTGCATCCTAGGTACCGGTACACACTGCATGTTTCCAGTCGACTCCAATGTCCCCATTTGCTTACCCTTTGCCTTGCACGTTCCTAACGCCCCTCTTCTGTCCCTGTGTCCCTGCCTTGATTCCTCTCTCCTCCCTTCCCCGCTCCCTCCCACAGGTACCTCATATGGCAGCAGCAGGTGGCCAGCAGCCCAGCGGAGGACCCACGGGTCACTCCCGAGGAGCGCGCCTTCATCACCTCAAACCTGCCGCCCAGCAGCCAGGAGCGGGCGGGGCCCATACCCTGGGGCGCTCTTCTTAGCAGGCGGGAGGTGAGGCGGGAGGGGGGTTAGGGCGTTGCACGTGGGCGGGGAGGGGCGTGTCGCGTGAGAGAGGCAGTGGTTGCATTCCCACCGCAATTACCACCCAACCAGTCGTTCCCAAGGAGGTACCGACTGCGCACACATGCGACCCGACCTGCGACATGTCCTGCTTGGGACGGGGGTGGGGGACCCGCAGCTGCGCCACCATCCACCCAACCAAGCCCGTTGCTGGTGACCTGGTGTGCGCCGCCGCCCTGCCTGTGCACTACCGTATGCCGCTCACCAGCCTTGCCCTGGCGCTTAGCAGATCGGGCTGATCGCGTCTGCTGTCCCTGTCCCATCCCGAACCCTTTTTCTTTTCCAGGTCTGGGCGATCATCCTTTGCCACTTCTGCCACAACTGGGGCCTGTTCATCCTGCTCACATGGATGCCGGCGTACTACAGCCAGGTACGGGCAGACCGTTGTTCCGTACGCCGTACTGCTGATCTGCTGTGCGTTCTGCCGTACTGCCGTACGCAATACGACGATGAACCCGCCCGTTCTACTGCTATCGACATGCAATTATGCCACTGTTGTTAGTTTAGGCTTTAGGGCGCCCGGCTATCGGCGGCGTCAAGCGCATGTTCGTACGTTTGTTGCAAGCTGCCCACCTCGCACCATTTCCTTTTTTACTAACCCGCAACCCGCAACCTGCTGCTCCTCATCCCAATCACGGAATCACCCCTTGCCAGGTCCTGGGTCTGAACCTGCTGCAGAGCGGGCTGGTTTCGGTGCTGCCCTGGCTGGCCATGGCGCTCATGGCGAACGTGGCGGGGGCGCTGGCGGACGGCATGGTGGCGCGGGGGGTGGGGGTGACTACTGTGCGGAAGGTGAGGGGGCGGCGGAAGGGGTTGTGAAGGGCGCCATGACCTTGTGGGATGATAAGGGTTGTACGACAAGCGGAGTAGAGTACGGAAGGGGGATGGCGATGAGCGGGAGTGAGAGGGGGGGGGGGCGTCACGAGCACGAGGAAGGTGCGGATGGGGCAGGGTTTTCGCCTGACGTTCGGCGAGGAGATAGAAGGGGAGAGAGTTAGGGATATTAGGGGGTCCCTAGGCATACGGACAAAGTGAGGCATGCGCCTAAGGAACCGGGCAGCCGCCTGGCGTTGCGGAGGTGCTCAGGGACCGCCCACGTCTCCATGCAGCCCTCGCTTACTGATGGAGCTCAAATGCGAGCCTGCACGCTATCCATACGCGCCTTGATAACCTGGATCCCACCTCGGTCTCTAGCCGTTCCCTTGCATTCTCTCCCCCGTCATGCGGTGCCTTCTTCACCCCGTTCGTACAACACCCCTCAGCTTCTAACCCTCTTATCACCAACTCGGTACCTTCCCGGCCCCTTTCCGCCCCTTTCCACCCTTGTGCAGGTCATGCAATCAATCGGCTTCCTGGGCCCTGCGCTGTTCCTCTCCCAGCTGGGCTCTGTGGGGTCGGCAGCGGGGGCGGTGGCCTGCATGGTGGGGGCGCAGGGGCTGGACGCCTTCAGCCAGGCGGGGCTGTACGCTAACCACCAGGTGGGAATGGGGAGGTCCAAGGGGAAGGTGTGGAGGAAATGGAGAGGTGCATGTTAGGGCTCACTGGTCGAGCGCCGGAACGTCTGTGTGTGTGTGAGGGGGGAGTGGGTGCGCCGGGTAGGGTGGGCCCAAGCAGAAGAGCCCACCATGTGGGTCTGCACGACCATACCCACCAGTGCTTGTGGTTCAATTTGGACCCACCTGGAGTAATTTTGCTTTCCGTCTACCCTACTTTTCTCCCAGGCTTGTTATGGATCCGAATCTCACGGGGCCCTATGAACACATGCACCTGTTGCTTGGCCGTTTCCGCTGCTGCCACCGTCTTGCACGGAAAAATCTTATTATTATCTTCTTTCATACTCTTACCTACGTGCCGCCTATTCCCTTCATATGTATGCAGGACATCGGGCCCAGATACGCAGGCGTGCTTTTGGGCCTGTCCAACACCGCAGGGGTGCTTGCAGGCGTGGTAGGCAGCCTGGTTACTGGGCATTTGCTGCAGGCGGCAGGCGGCTGCGCCTCTGGGGCAACAGCAGCAGCAGGGGCGGCTGCGGCAGAGGGGGCAGTAGGCGCTGCGGCGGTAGGGGCAGGGCTGGGGGCCGGATGGGGCCAGGTGTGGGGGGTAGCTGTTGCGCTATACCTGGTGGGGACGTTAATTTGGTTGACCATGTCGACTGGGGAGCGTATCTTCGACTAGGTTGATTGAAAGCGGTTTGAAGGAGTCGAGTGTGTGTGCATGCGAGTGTGAGTTGCATAAATGCTTGCAACCGTCACGCGGGGGTGCGTGTATGCACAGAGCATTGAGCGCAGGGAGGTTGCATGGTAGTTGTGCAGGGAGGGGCGAGGGTATGAATGAGTGCATGTAGATAGGGTGGTGCATGAGGGAGGACGCATGCGAGGGCGATGGTAGGGAAATAGATCTGGTGCGGGTAGAGGTAGGGGATCAGAAAAAAAGCCAAACAACGAGGAGTGCAAGATAAGGGGTGACGAGTGCGTGGAGGAGTCCAGCGGGCTACTGTCTCAGCTGAGGTGTGCTGTGGCTGGGCACGTATTTAGGCCTGCTGATGCGGCATTACGGGCCCCTTTTCCGGGCTTGCAAAAGCAAGAGGCCGGGGTGCCGCCGTTCAGTGCAATAGATTGAGCGTTCGAGACTTAGCCAGCTTGCCCTCTCTGACAGGGCTGGCCGCCAGCAGCACATACACGCTGGTGGGCAGATGTGTATCTCGCCTCCTTGCTTTGTCCCTCTCTCATATTCCAGCTTTCTTAGGTCACTCCACAGTCCTTCCTCCGTCCTGCGCACCCCGCCCTTTTGCAACCACAACCGCTCGTCCACCCTCTCTGCTGCATGGATTCACACTGGCGTACCTTGTGTGACACACTGTGCGTGTGCGGTGTCAATCGGTGTATGTCACCCCTTCCGTACACTGCTGGCTGTGCCCCAAGGAGAGCAGGTCTCCAACACATGATGTGCTGGCCGGCAAGCGCACAGGCCATACCTGATGTGCGGCTATGTATGTAACCAATCCGATGGCACATGCTTGCCCGTTGGTTGGTGGGTTGCGGGTGCACAAGCCAATGGCGCCTCCTTGCTTGGCCTGCTAACCCTACGTACGCCTGGCTCCGCACCGGCTTTCCGTCGCCCATCCAGGTGCATCTCATTCCGGCCCGTTTCGCCATGGGCCGCTGTATATGTACTGCGTGTGTGTCGACATGTGTTTAGGTGGCATTTTGTTGGAATGAGGATGCGCGCCGGGCAGCGACATGTCGATGAGTAACGTGTTGACAGGCAGCGCTTCGAAAGCCGGGCGCCTCTACTGACGGATGCACAGCAGGTCTATAGCCGGACGCGTCGTCTGCAGTCGGATGTATGTTCCAAGAGGTGGACGCTTCAATGAGGCAACACATACCCACGGGTGGACGTGCATGTGGACAAACTCCTCACCCCGCCAAACCATGGTGCATGTGCATACCTACTGCGTGATCCAGAGGAGCGAGGGATGTGCGGTCCCTTCAGCGCATGTCTGGCCACAGACGTTGGGCGTAAGGCGGTCATCAGCGTTAGTCAGCAGCATGCAGCAGGGTGCATTGTGGTCGTCGACATGTGGGTCTTTGGGCCCTCTGACGCTACCAGAAAATTGGCATCTGCTCAACAGAGCGATAGCTGTCCCGAAGCACCCATTTTTGGGGGATTTAGCCCTGGAAATGAGACTGAGGGGCCGCCCTCTTGGGTTATAAGCCTAGGGTTCCCATTTTTGTCATCAGCCGTCATACGACAAGTTGTACGTTCCGGATAAGTCGTCGTGGTGTAGTTGGTTATCACATTCGCCTCACACGCGAGAGGTCTCCAGTTCGATCCTGGACGACGACACGATTTTGCGTTTTGCAGCCACCAAGGTCAATTGCAGGACGTCGTACCATGGTCTGGGGGCAACCAACCGCCAAGGTAGAGATTGACCAGTCCTTAGGAGTGATTTTGGCTTCTCCGAAGGGTGTATGCATGCTCCATGTGGAAGTCCCAGACAGCAGCACACGTCACAGCAGCAGCAACACATACAATGGAGGCAGTATGACAAAAGAGCGCCCCTACCTCTTGCCACCCCTCACCCAGTGACACAAGAGTCAGGTAGGATAACACACCTTATTAGCTGCTTGCTTTGTGGGCCATGACGTGGGAGTCTTGACGTTGGGCATGCAGATGGCTGCACTGCTCGATGTGCCTGCCGCAGCTCCAAGGACCGATTGCCGGCATGACGGCGGTCCCCTTTTCCGGGCTTGCAAAAGCAAGAGGCCGGGGTGCCGCCGTTCAGTGCAATAGATTGAGCGTTCGAGACTTAGCCAGCTTGCCCTCTCTGACAGGGCTGGCCGCCAGCAGCACATACACGCTGGTGGGCAGATGTGTATCTCGCCTCCTTGCTTTGTCCCTCTCTCATATTCCAGCTTTCTTAGGTCACTCCACAGTCCTTCCTCCGTCCTGCGCACCCCGCCCTTTTGCAACCACAACCGCTCGTCCACCCTCTCTGCTGCATGGATTCACACTGGCGTACCTTGTGTGACACACTGTGCGTGTGCGGTGTCAATCGGTGTCACCCCTTCCGTACACTGCTGGCTGTGCCCCAAGGAGAGCAGGTCTCCAACACATGATGTGCTGGCCGGCAAGCGCACAGGCCATACCTGATGTGCGGCTATGTATGTAACCAATCCGATGGCACATGCTTGCCCGTTGGTTGGTGGGTTGCGGGTGCACAAGCCAATGGCGCCTCCTTGCTTGGCCTGCTAACCCTACGTACGCCTGGCTCCGCACCGGCTTTCCGTCGCCCATCCAGGTGCATCTCATTCCGCCCCGTTTCGCCATGGGCCGCTGTATATGTACTGCGTGTGTGTCGACATGTGTTTAGGTGGCATTTTGTTGGAATGAGGATGCGCGCCGGGCAGCGACATGTCGATGAGTAACGTGTTGACAGGCAGCGCTTCGAAAGCCGGGCGCCTCTACTGACGGATGCACAGCAGGTCTATAGCCGGACGCGTCGTCTGCAGTCGGATGTATGTTCCAAGAGGTGGACGCTTCAATGAGGCAACACATACCCACGGGTGGACGTGCATGTGGACAAACTCCTCACCCCGCCAAACCATGGTGCATGTGCATACCTACTGCGTGATCCAGAGGAGCGAGGGATGTGCGGTCCCTTCAGCGCATGTCTGGCCACAGACGTTGGGCGTAAGGCGGTCATCAGCGTTAGTCAGCAGCATGCAGCAGGGTGCATTGTGGTCGTCGACATGTGGGTCTTTGGGCCCTCTGACGCTACCAGAAAATTGGCATCTGCTCAACAGAGCGATAGCTGTCCCGAAGCACCCATTTTTGGGGGATTTAGCCCTGGAAATGAGACTGAGGGGCCGCCCTCTTGGGTTATAAGCCTAGGGTTCCCATTTTTGTCATCAGCCGTCATACGACAAGTTGTACGGTCCGGAAAAGTCGTCGTGGTGTAGTTGGTTATCACATTCGCCTCACACGCGAGAGGTCTCCAGTTCGATCCTGGACGACGACACGCTTTTGCGTTTTGCAGCCACCAAGGTCAATTGCAGGACGTCGTACCATGGTCTGGGGGCAACCAACCGCCAAGGTAGAGATTGACCAGTCCTTAGGAGTGATTTTGGCTTCTCCGAAGGGTGTATGCATGCTCCATGTGGAAGTCCCAGACAGCAGCACACGTCACAGCAGCAGCAACACATACAATGGAGGCAGTATGACAAAAGAGCGCCCCTACCTCTTGCCACCCCTCACCCAGTGACACAAGAGTCAGGTAGGATAACACACCTTATTAGCTGCTTGCTTTGTGGGCCATGACGTGGGAGTCTTGACGTTGGGCATGCAGATGGCTGCACTGCTCGATGTGCCTGCCGCAGCTCCAAGGACCGATTGCCGGCATGACGGCGGTCCCCTTTTCCGGGCTTGCAAAAGCAAGAGGCCGGGGTGCCGCCGTTCAGTGCAATAGATTGAGCGTTCGAGACTTAGCCAGCTTGCCCTCTCTGACAGGGCTGGCCGCCAGCAGCACATACACGCTGGTGGGCAGATGTGTATCTCGCCTCCTTGCTTTGTCCCTCTCTCATATTCCAGCTTTCTTAGGTCACTCCACAGTCCTTCCTCCGTCCTGCGCACCCCGCCCTTTTGCAACCACAACCGCTCGTCCACCCTCTCTGCTGCATGGATTCACACTGGCGTACCTTGTGTGACACACTGTGCGTGTGCGGTGTCAATCGGTGTATGTCACCCCTTCCGTACACTGCTGGCTGTGCCCCAAGGAGAGCAGGTCTCCAACACATGATGTGCTGGCCGGCAAGCGCACAGGCCATACCTGATGTGCGGCTATGTATGTAACCAATCCGATGGCACATGCTTGCCCGTTGGTTGGTGGGTTGCGGGTGCACAAGCCAATGGCGCCTCCTTGCTTGGCCTGCTAACCCTACGTACGCCTGGCTCCGCACCGGCTTTCCGTCGCCCATCCAGGTGCATCTCATTCCGCCCCGTTTCGCCATGGGCCGCTGTATATGTACTGCGTGTGTGTCGACATGTGTTTAGGTGGCATTTTGTTGGAATGAGGATGCGCGCCGGGCAGCGACATGTCGATGAGTAACGTGTTGACAGGCAGCGCTTCGAAAGCCGGGCGCCTCTACTGACGGATGCACAGCAGGTCTATAGCCGGACGCGTCGTCTGCAGTCGGATGTATGTTCCAAGAGGTGGACGCTTCAATGAGGCAACACATACCCACGGGTGGACGTGCATGTGGACAAACTCCTCACCCCGCCAAACCATGGTGCATGTGCATACCTACTGCGTGATCCAGAGGAGCGAGGGATGTGCGGTCCCTTCAGCGCATGTCTGGCCACAGACGTTGGGCGTAAGGCGGTCATCAGCGTTAGTCAGCAGCATGCAGCAGGGTGCATTGTGGTCGTCGACATGTGGGTCTTTGGGCCCTCTGACGCTACCAGAAAATTGGCATCTGCTCAACAGAGCGATAGCTGTCCCGAAGCACCCATTTTTGGGGGATTTAGCCCTGGAAATGAGACTGAGGGGCCGCCCTCTTGGGTTATAAGCCTAGGGTTCCCATTTTTGTCATCAGCCGTCATACGACAAGTTGTACGGTCCGGAAAAGTCGTCGTGGTGTAGTTGGTTATCACATTCGCCTCACACGCGAGAGGTCTCCAGTTCGATCCTGGACGACGACACGCTTTTGCGTTTTGCAGCCACCAAGGTCAATTGCAGGACGTCGTACCATGGTCTGGGGGCAACCAACCGCCAAGGTAGAGATTGACCAGTCCTTAGGAGTGATTTTGGCTTCTCCGAAGGGTGTATGCATGCTCCATGTGGAAGTCCCAGACAGCAGCACACGTCACAGCAGCAGCAACACATACAATGGAGGCAGTATGACAAAAGAGCGCCCCTACCTCTTGCCACCCCTCACCCAGTGACACAAGAGTCAGGTAGGATAACACACCTTATTAGCTGCTTGCTTTGTGGGCCATGACGTGGGAGTCTTGACGTTGGGCATGCAGATGGCTGCACTGCTCGATGTGCCTGCCGCAGCTCCAAGGACCGATTGCCGGCATGACGGCGGTCCCCTTTTCCGGGCTTGCAAAAGCAAGAGGCCGGGGTGCCGCCGTTCAGTGCAATAGATTGAGCGTTCGAGACTTAGCCAGCTTGCCCTCTCTGACAGGGCTGGCCGCCAGCAGCACATACACGCTGGTGGGCAGATGTGTATCTCGCCTCCTTGCTTTGTCCCTCTCTCATATTCCAGCTTTCTTAGGTCACTCCACAGTCCTTCCTCCGTCCTGCGCACCCCGCCCTTTTGCAACCACAACCGCTCGTCCACCCTCTCTGCTGCATGGATTCACACTGGCGTACCTTGTGTGACACACTGTGCGTGTGCGGTGTCAATCGGTGTATGTCACCCCTTCCGTACACTGCTGGCTGTGCCCCAAGGAGAGCAGGTCTCCAACACATGATGTGCTGGCCGGCAAGCGCACAGGCCATACCTGATGTGCGGCTATGTATGTAACCAATCCGATGGCACATGCTTGCCCGTTGGTTGGTGGGTTGCGGGTGCACAAGCCAATGGCGCCTCCTTGCTTGGCCTGCTAACCCTACGTACGCCTGGCTCCGCACCGGCTTTCCGTCGCCCATCCAGGTGCATCTCATTCCGGCCCGTTTCGCCATGGGCCGCTGTATATGTACTGCGTGTGTGTCGACATGTGTTTAGGTGGCATTTTGTTGGAATGAGGATGCGCGCCGGGCAGCGACATGTCGATGAGTAACGTGTTGACAGGCAGCGCTTCGAAAGCCGGGCGCCTCTACTGACGGATGCACAGCAGGTCTATAGCCGGACGCGTCGTCTGCAGTCGGATGTATGTTCCAAGAGGTGGACGCTTCAATGAGGCAACACATACCCACGGGTGGACGTGCATGTGGACAAACTCCTCACCCCGCCAAACCATGGTGCATGTGCATACCTACTGCGTGATCCAGAGGAGCGAGGGATGTGCGGTCCCTTCAGCGCATGTCTGGCCACAGACGTTGGGCGTAAGGCGGTCATCAGCGTTAGTCAGCAGCATGCAGCAGGGTGCATTGTGGTCGTCGACATGTGGGTCTTTGGGCCCTCTGACGCTACCAGAAAATTGGCATCTGCTCAACAGAGCGATAACTGTCCCGAAGCACCCATTTTTGGGGGATTTAGCCCTGGAAATGAGACTGAGGGGCCGCCCTCTTGGGTTATAAGCCTAGGGTTCCCATTTTTGTCATCAGCCGTCATACGACAAGTTGTACGGTCCGGAAAAGTCGTCGTGGTGTAGTTGGTTATCACATTCGCCTCACACGCGAGAGGTCTCCAGTTCGATCCTGGACGACGACACGCTTTTGCGTTTTGCAGCCACCAAGGTCAATTGCAGGACGTCGTACCATGGTCTGGGGGCAACCAACCGCCAAGGTAGAGATTGACCAGTCCTTAGGAGTGATTTTGGCTTCTCCGAAGGGTGTATGCATGCTCCATGTGGAAGTCCCAGACAGCAGCACACGTCACAGCAGCAGCAACACATACAATGGAGGCAGTATGACAAAAGAGCGCCCCTACCTCTTGCCACCCCTCACCCAGTGACACAAGAGTCAGGTAGGATAACACACCTTATTAGCTGCTTGCTTTGTGGGCCATGACGTGGGAGTCTTGACGTTGGGCATGCAGATGGCTGCACTGCTCGATGTGCCTGCCGCAGCTCCAAGGACCGATTGCCGGCATGACGGCGGTCCCCTTTTCCGGGCTTGCAAAAGCAAGAGGCCGGGGTGCCGCCGTTCAGTGCAATAGATTGAGCGTTCGAGACTTAGCCAGCTTGCCCTCTCTGACAGGGCTGGCCGCCAGCAGCACATACACGCTGGTGGGCAGATGTGTATCTCGCCTCCTTGCTTTGTCCCTCTCTCATATTCCAGCTTTCTTAGGTCACTCCACAGTCCTTCCTCCGTCCTGCGCACCCCGCCCTTTTGCAACCACAACCGCTCGTCCACCCTCTCTGCTGCATGGATTCACACTGGCGTACCTTGTGTGACACACTGTGCGTGTGCGGTGTCAATCGGTGTCACCCCTTCCGTACACTGCTGGCTGTGCCCCAAGGAGAGCAGGTCTCCAACACATGATGTGCTGGCCGGCAAGCGCACAGGCCATACCTGATG